AAAAAGAGATAAGCTATGACGTACATTTGAATTAAACTGATCTTTATCACGCTTCTCTTGAGACCCAAAAGACCGACTGTAATGTTTATAACTATGATCTATAGAACAATTTCAAAAAAAAAAAAAAAGAAGGCAAACAGAGCTTAATGAGCTGCTACGAGACAGTAATTCATCACAAGGCGATTGTGATGTGGCATGATTAATGCTCTGGAAGGATATCTGTTTTTACCAGTTGGGTTGTTAACTGTCGTGGCCAGTTTTATGTTGTTGATACGCAGATATTGCTTATTGATCGCTTGCTCAACAAAGAATACGACAATCGGAGAGTATATGACTGACAGGAACGCCTTATTTCTGTACATGTTTGGCATGAAAGGAAGAACTGTTCTTCATTGCTTATTGACAATGGATAGATCGTGTTATTCTTATAACGTAATTATATATAACATGCTGCCAAAATCCATGCCTTTTTCTTGACTGTTACCCTTTTAATGAGAATGAAAGCAAGTGTGTACAATGATTTTCATTGCTCGGGAGTTTATTTTATACCTTTGACCTACTCAAGGAAGCAGATTATAAAGACAATAGAAAAAGACGGGGCTTATGATGTTGTATGATGTTGCTTTTATATATTATACAGGTTTATGAAGCTTTTTTTTGTTTTGTATTCAATATTGGCGCCACCTGCGATCACATTCCCTAACATAGTAAGCATTGACCCCTTGCATCCATGGACTATTTATGATTTCGGAGACGGTTATTCTAAGTTCGGGATCCGGGTGAAGCATAGAATATAACAACTTTTGAGGCTCCTTGGGCATTTCGCTGAAACCAATAAACCTCTTATCTTCAAAAGCACGAAGATACAGACGGTATTCAGAATCCTTCCTCTCTGCCGAATTGAAGGGAACACCAGAGTAATGCATAGTAAAGAAGACGATACCAGCAGACCATACATCAGCAATGGTACCCCAGTAGGTAAGATCTGTAAAGACTTCGGGAGCAATATAGGGTGTTGTACCAACAATACCAGACGATTTGCGGTCATTCGTTTCGCTTTCTGACCTAAAGACATGACAAGAACCAAAGTCGGCGATTTTAAGAATGCTGTTTTGGAGCAACAAGTTCTCGGGCTTGAGATCACGATGTGCGACGCCAGAATCATGAAGATATTTGAGACCAGACATGAGTTGCTTGAAGTAGGCATATATCTCTTCGGGTTGGAGTTCACGCTTACAGATCAGAGTACTTAGGTCACCTTGTTCGCACTATATATGAAATGAAATGAGTTTATATGTTTGGGCTTATCGGAAAATATATTTACATATTCCATGATGAGTCCAAACTTATTATGATTATCATCCATCTTGACGAAATCGATAGTGTGCAAAACATGTTTATGATGCAGGGTGTATGTAACAGCAAACTCATTGACCAAAGCTTTCATGTAGTGAATTCTGTTGACCCTCTTTTTACATTTCCTAAAGACTTTAACAGCCAAGGATTGATGATTAGGTGTCTTTCGAAGCAAATAGACATGAGAGGATACACCTTCACCAAGGCCTCTTCCGACAATCCCATAACTGCTTAAGCAGACAGCACGATCTGCAAAGGGTTGATAAGGGCCATTATCCGTAGGAACAGGAGGCTCCGAGTTGAAAGATGGCCAATGGAATTTACTGACAAGACCTTTAACATAAGACCAGATCGAAAAGCGGCGTTTGGATGGATATTCTCCGGTAGGTTTGGCCTTTGAGTTAGAGTCGGAGGATTTAGCGGTTACTTCACTATCATCATTGGAATCATCATAAGAAGTGCGACCAGTTGAATGAGATGGAGTAGGAACATTATCATCGTAGTAGTCTTCATCAGAAGTATGATGATTTGTATTCATTGACAACGGAGTTTGATTTAAAGTGATTAGATGATTGGCAGCTCTGGAAGATCCATGAACGAGCAAGCGTTGAGGCGTATTGACGATCATTGATTGATGTTATAGATGTTTACAAGAAAGAAAAGAGAATTGAGAAAAACGCGATACGCTAGGACCATTTTATATTGCTTTTTATTTTTAGCGAGCTGATGTTCCTTTTGAGCGAGCTGGTCAAATATCCAACAAGCATTTAGATTTTTTTTTATTTTTTTTTTTCGATAAATGGAAGCGCCTATCAAACACTATAATCGATCCGAGTATATAGAAACAGTAAATAAATAAAGAAACATGTTGTGATATGGTTTATTATCTCATATTCACTCTAGGACACAGGTAACAAAGTGAGTAGAAAATCAGTCATCTGTGGTAGTCAGAATATTATCCTCGGTGGAAAAGTAATGGCAGATTGTTTTGAAGACATTCAAATGACTAAACTATACAATAATCTAGACCATCATTCAAACAGACTGTGTCATCCGTGGAGATCTTCGACGAGCAGGTGGAGGACATGCTGTGGTTATTGCCATCGGTAGATATTGTTTACTCTCTTCCAAGTCTATTATCAGACCGCCTTATAAGACATACAAAGGGTATTACTACTAGAGAAAGTATATCTCCATGATATCTAATGCCTTTTTTTGTAGAATATTTAGTTATTATCCAATGAAGATTGGTGATCACGTCACTATTGGTGAAGGAAGTATTGTTGAAGCAGCTACGATAGGATCTCATGTCACTATTGGAAAGAATTGTATTATTGTAATAGACAGCTGACAAGTGATGATGTACAACCCGATTGACACTATTTTAAATAGGGCCGATTTGCGATTATTAAAGACTGTTGTTGCATCTTGGATAACACGATTATTGCACCCAATACGGTAGTACCTTCATTTAGTGTCTATGGTGGATCACCAGGTAAAGAAGAATACTTGAAATGTATAGATGATATTAAACAAACAACAAAATAGGAAAATATCAGGATGAGTTACCAGAATGTACTCAGGAACTTTACGAGAACAAGACAAAAGATTATTATGCGAAGTTTACTCCCAGAGATTAAGATAATAATGATCATAAGAACAATACCCTTAATATCCCCCCACTTATATGCTTACAGCAATGTAATTACCAAAAATAACATTAAAACAAAAAAATATTACGGACAGTTTCAACATGTTGAAATCAAAATTGTTAATCACTTTATCTTTTGAGGTTCTTTTTCATTGTCTTTTTAATTATTATGAAACTTGTTTCTCTTCTCATCTGTCTGTCTCCATTGGCTCTGGCTTCCATCACAATTCCTAATGTCTATCTGATTGAATTTGATAATAGAACTCATGTAAAACGTAATATCGATCAGAGGCGTAATCAATTCTATGAACAACTTGATTCATTACACATTCAATACAACGTTCGGCATGAATACAACCTGATCCATGCTGTCTCTCTCGAATTTAAGTCTCCGAGGGATACAGAACTGTTCTTTGAAAGTGCAATGGATGTCAAACGCGTTTGGCCTGTGGTAATAAATTATATTGGGAATATGACCTTTTCGGCAATTTATTTAAAGAAAATTATAGAGCACAGTAGCAAAGCCCAAAATACACCAAGCAGATAGCGTACCTTCTATCGCTCCCTTGTTTAGTTTCTATAAACAAACAGGTGTCACTAAACTAAGAGAGAAGCTAGGGTAAAGTTTATGATTACAAATCAGCATTTTACTCACAAACGATAAAGTCTCACAGGAGAGGGAATCAAAGTGGGCGTGATAGATACTGGAGTAGATTACACACATCATGCCTTGGGTGGCTGCTTTGGACCTGGTTGCCGTGTTGCATATGGTTATGATTTTGTGGGAGATGCTTACACAGGCGATAGTGAACCTCAACCAGACGATGATCCTCGGGATACTTGTAATGGCCACGGAACCCATGTGGCAGGAATTATTGGTGCCAACGATAAACACATGAATCTTACTGGAGTTGCTCCCGATGGTAACAGTGAATAGAGATGCTTACTCTTATAGAGCTAATCGGTTTTATTTTGAAAGTAACGTTTGGGGTATACAGAATATTTGGATGTTCGGGTGGAAGTTCAACAGAAATTATTATGAAGGCCATGGAAGCAGCTTACCTTGATGGCATGGACGTAGTCAACCTATCACTAGGTGATATTGGATGGCCAGAGTCACCTGCTTCCGTATTAGCAGATGAACTGTCACTACAGGGAATGATTGTATGCGCAGCTGCCGGCAATGAAGGAGAAAGAGGCATGTTTGAAGTAGGTTCGCCTTCTCTAGGAAAGCATGCTATTTCTGTGGCCAGTGTTGATAATGCCAACGTCCTTTCACACGTTATCAGGGCAGGCGATCTGACCATTGGATACTTGACTGCGACCGGAGGCTCATTCATACCACGAAAGACCAGGATGATACCCTTATCTAACCAGTTTTTAAAAGCCAATGATGGCTGTGATCCTATTACAGTAAATTTGAAAAATATAGTTGTCTTGGTGAGTCGAGGCGGTTGCCTCTTTACGCAAAAGGTAAGGAAGTAAAAAAAAAGTTATCGTCTAAAGGACCCTAATCAATGTAGAATAGATTATAAATGCTGAAAAGGCAGGAGCTGCTGGAATTATCTTTTATAACAACTTACCAGGACCGGTTATGCCCTCTGCTCCTGAGAGTAATGCAACAATAGAGTACGGTGGAATTTCAAAAGAAGACGGTGAAAAACTATTCGAGTACCTAAAGACAAGTAGTAAAGTTGAATTTTTAAAATACGATCATCATCTTGGTGTGCCAACCGCAGGTAGATTATATTCTTTTATAAGCAAGCTTCCTCACTAAAGCATTACTTCTTAGGGACGATTAGTTCATTCAGTTCATGGGGTCTAGGGCCTGATTTAAGCATAAAACCAGATATTAGCGCACCCGGGGGTCAGATTTTTTCAACGTATGTGTTATTTTTTAAATTTAAAAACATAAACTAATGTGTGCATCCATAGTTATCCCGTTAACCTTGGCGGTTATACTACGTTAAGTGGTACGAGCATGGCAAGTCCTTTTGTCGCAGGCATTGTCGCTCTACTTGAGCAGGCAAAGGGCGGACAGCGAAGTCTGAATGTGCAAGAACTACGAGCATCACTCATGAACAATGGTCATCTTATCAGTCCTTCAGGCTCTTCAGAAATTGATTCAGTAGCCAGGCAGGGTGCTGGATTGATTGATGCCTATCAGGCGATTAGCTCGACCACTCTCGTCACACCAGAACAAATTCGTCTGAGCGATGAAGATCATGGAGCAGAAAACAACGAATATATATTGACGATTAAAAACAATGGAAGACTACATACAGAATATACAATTAGTCATCAGGCATCTTTAACAGCTCAAGGCTTTGACAATAATAGGATCTTGAAAAAACCAATATCAATTCCCAGTCAAGAAGTGAGCGCAACAGTAGAGATACCTCAATCCGTCGTCTTTGTAGAGGCAAATGAAGAGGCAACTGTGGTAGTTCGTATCATTCCTCCCAACAATGTGGATCAGCCGTCTATTTATTCTGGTTACATTGTCATATCTGGAGATACAGATGATGATGTAAAATATGTACCCTACGCTGGACTCACTTCAAGTCTATCAAAGATTCCAGTACTCGTCAATAATGGCACTATGCCGCGAGTGGTCAGTGACAAAGTAAATATGCTTTCGCCTGCTTTGATATCCTTTCAATTAGCCGAGTCCTCTGCTCTGATCACTGTCACAGTGATTGATGCAGTCGATGATGCCATCAGTTATGGATATGTGCCAGAAGGATATATCACTTTTCTAGGCAGAAGTAATCTAGATGATCCTAATGATGTCTTTTTGGTATCTTGGCATGGCAATGTGGTTGATACGCCAGAAAAGGCTGCCATGGGAATACTTCATCGTAGTACACTGCATCCTTATCAAAACTTTATGATATCTTCATCGACGTCATCACGTGTTAATCCAGCAACGATGGGGACAATGCTAGAAAAGGGTAAATATCGACTCAAGATTATGGCATTACATCCTCTTGGTGATGCAGGAAGGTATGAAGACTATGATACTTGGATTTCACCAGAGATCACTTTGGATTAATTTAACATCCGCTTGAATCAGAATCAATAAAAATTTCCCTTATAATTTCCCTCTTTTCTTTTTTTTTTTTTTTTACCAGTTGTTGCGTGCCACGGTTGCAAGGACACACAAAAAAAAAAGTAGATTAAATAATTAGATTTATTATTTATTTAATGACACACACATTTATAGTAATTATCCCCCTTCTTTTTTAGCGCATAATGGAAAGACCGAAACGACAGAGTACAGTGGATAAAGATTATAGGGAACATAAAAGATCAAAAAAAGGCGAGGTATAACAAAAGCAAATTGCAGGAATCTATTCTCTAAATACAATATAAAGACCGCATCTAGTCCAATAAAAGAAGAATCACTATCTCCGTTTGAACAACTATACAGAGATGTCGTCAATTATAGAGATCCAGAAGAGTAAGCATTTTTGATCAATCTATTCAATACTATGATTAACCTTAAATGTTTACTGTAGTGAGGATTATGATATTACAGCCATCTTTATGAAATTACCTTCTAAAAAGGAATATCCTGACTACTATCAAATTATTAAACAACCCATCGCGCTTGAAACAATCAAAGTAATACTTAATGCAACAAAAATGCGCTGATGAACTAACCTATTGGTATAGAACAAGGTTGAAAAGAACATGTATCAAAACATTTCTCAAATGAAAGCAGATATAGAATTGATGGTTTCTAACGCGAAGAAATACAATATGAAAGGATCTCAAATTTATGAAGATGCTATCAAGATTCAAGTAATAATAGAGACAGTTTCCTATTCACATAGCTAACGTGATAAACATGTAGAGATATGTAAAAGGATGGCAGGGAGTGAAAGAAAAGGCAGTATTGAAACTTCCTGGTGAAGCATTTAATAGTGCTCCAAAGATTAAGGCGATTAAATTGAAAGCGATAGATAAACCCAAAAAATGTACGACAAACAGATGGATGTATCATTTGTATTTGACTAACATTCAACGTGTGTAGCCTCTATCAATACAAAAGCACTCATGACAGCTATCATCAAACGAGAGGTTAAAAAGGCATTAGAGCTGCTGGATACAGATCCACAGATCGACCCAAATGAATTGGTACCTGCTGAAATGTTTAATGACAAGTTCACATGGGGTCCGCTTCATGCTGCTTGTTATTATGGCGATATCAAGCTTGTAGAGGCTCTCATTGCGAAAGGTGCAGAGGTAGAGAAGCAGGATACTTGGCATTCAGCTACTCCCCTTGGTTGGGCTGCCTTTGGTGATAAGCATAACGTGGTTCGATTGCTATTACAAAAGTATAACGCTAATAAGAATGCTAAAAATGTGCATGGACAAGTACCATTTGAATTGGTATCAAATCAAGATGATCCAAGATGGATTGGGTTATTCAAGGTGAGATTTCGAAATACTAAAGAGAAAGAATGCACAAGATAACACATTATTAGAATGCACCTTCAGTACAGCAACAACAACAGCAACCACAACCACAAACACAGCAAGAGCAACAGTCTCAGTCTCAGTCTCAGCAAATGAAACAAGAACCACCCTCTCAACCATCACAACCTCCTCCTCCTATTCCTTTATCACAGCAAGCCATGCCACCACCTTTGCCTCAACAGCAATCGGTTCAACTACCTATGATGACCAATACCATGCCTATGGTATCTGTACCACAGCCTATTAAAGCCTTTCCTACTATTCCAGGCGTACGTCAACCTGTATATCAAACTTCCCCTGATGGAACGATCAGAAAACGACGTGGACGTCCACCAAAGAGTGAAACGGACGCATTAGCTGTTCGACCAACCACTGAGATTGATATAAATACCTTTGATCCTGTAGCCTTTGAAATCGAGCTATTCAATGCTATCAGAACACACACTGATAATTCGTAAGTAAACAAAAAGAAGAAAAGAAAATGTATAATGACCCTTTTATTAGGAATCGTCTTTATTCTGAATTATTTGAAGATTTACCAGATCGGCATGAATATCCAGAATATTACAGTGTGATCAAGAATCCACGATCGTTATCTGAAGTAGCAGAAAAGATGCAGACACGAAGCTATCCAAATTTATATGCTTGGATGAGTGATATGAAATTAGTGTTTGAAAATGCTCTCAAGTTTAATGAACCTGGTTCACGTATCTTCCGTGACGCTAAACTGCTATTGGTATGTGAGATATACCCTCTTTTCTTTTTTATTAACCTTTTTCTTTTTTGCAGCGTTTATTGCATCGACTTAAAGAGCGTATCTTGGCTAGATTAGGAGTTCCTGTGAGCCAAGAGGATGCAATCATGCGATTAGATTTAGCCAGTCGGCCGTTTGATGCAGAAGCATTAAGCGAAGATAAGCGCAAAATCAAACGATTCTTGACGAGTAGCAAATCTCGAACTCAGAGCATAGAACCAGATCATCACCACCTTACGTACCAACAACAGGCTACGGCCACACCTATGATCCATCCATTGCTCCTTCAACAGCAACAGCCCCAAGCCCAACCTTCGTTTTTACAACCTCCACCACCTTTCCTTATGCAGCCCTCCCTGCAACCATTACCTATGATGACACCTAATGCTTTTATGCCACCGCCACAGCCACCGATGATGGAACAGCATAATATAGAGTTGCCTAAATCACCGCTGACGAAGGCATCTAAGGAATTCTATGCCGTGTTTGCAGAAGGAGGTAAATAACAAATCAATGACCTAACCTCGGCTTATTCATCGCCCATAGTAGGTTCTTTCTTGAACGAATTGACTGTGTCCTCCAAAGACTTTTCCCAGCGGCTGACTGGCGACTATTTTGGACATAGCATCGTCGTACCTCCTGGTACACAGACACTTGACATTCAAACAGACTTACCTAAGCCCCTAAAGAATGAAGACAAACGAATTACAATTACCGTATTGCAGAACAATGTAAAACTGAACCCAACTGCGGATCTATCATGGACGACTGTGCCGCTGACAAAAGGCATGAACGTCATCAAGATCAACGTGACAGCAAATCTAAGTCAACCTGATTCAACAGTGCCTGAGTTCAAGTCCCAGATGTATCATCTTTTTATTACTCAATAAACTATAGTGAAATGTACATGGAGCGCTTTTTGCCTGATGGGTACACGGTCATGGCCGAAGCAAAGAGGCCGGCGGAGAGTCCGAGGGCGATAGAGAGCATTTGAAGAGGGAATGCGATATGACCCGTGTCTGTTTTGTGGAGCACGGAATAAGCTCCACGGACACCTATAGATGAAAAATGAGTTTATAATATACTATTTTTGAAAAGGACAAACGTACCTATGCTTCCTGGTACGAGTAGAGTAAGTCCTACGCAGAGAGGAGCCAGAGGTGGCTCACCTGTGACTTTGAGTGCAAAATTAGAGTAGAGGCCGACGACAAAGGCAGCAATACTGCCTACGATCTGACCATCGGGTATGACTTTGCCCAGAAAGAAGGAGAGACAGAATGCGATGGCTGCCGCAACACATTGGGAGATGTACTGTTTACGACTGGAGCCATAGGAGAGTGAGAGAGCGATGCTGAGGGTAGGTAAGAGAGCGATTGCGAACCAGGGTGACACTGGCGGCTGATCACATAGGCCATACTCGGATACATTGGGATCAATAGCGCCGTAGACGCTGCTGCCCATCTGCAACCCGTATGCTAGTTGAAATGCATAAAAAATAGAATAGACGAGCCGAACGATACCCGTGGTAACCTGCCGTGCAGATAGTTCAATCTAATCCCAAAAGAGAATGAGCATAATTGGCAAGAGATTAATGATTTACATTACCACGCCTACGGTCATGGTGTATCCTGGAAGTAAGATAAGGATCGCAGGAAGGACAACACTGGTGAAACAGCAGTATCTATAGAGAGCACGAGCAATGATAGCCACGATGACCGAGGTAGATATTTCAAACACACGCGCATATATGGGGAAATGGGCAGAAAGGATGTAGAGAATAGAGACGAGTAAGCCAAGGCCACCGCTGACGCTTGCGTCAATCCAGGTGCCGTTAAACAAGAGAGCTGAGCCGCTGAAACTGCTTGCGGTAAAAAAGAAGAGGGTTGCCCACGAACCGCACGTCGGCGGCGCTGTGGCTACATCATGAAGTAGAATAAGACACCGATCAAGATCCACTTGACCCTTATAGAACGAGTTCATGATATCATTAATAGTGGCAATTTTACCGGTGTCGTAGCCTTGCGGTGACTTGACCATGATCGACTGACTGTCACTGCCGTTCGTGAATGTAATCAAGACAGAGTCTGGTAAGAAAGAAAAGGCTGCATTGAGTGATAATAGACTGGATGTATGCTGCAGTGTGTCATCCTTTTTGCTGTATATTAGTAAATGCACTTTTTCTTTTTGTCTTTTTGTTTTTTGTTTTGTTTACCACTCGATGACAAGGACACCCACATTTTAATAAGAGTCGGCCCAACAAGATGATAATGCTCTTCTTTTTCTCAAACAGTACACTGTCTTGATTACTCTTGTCTGCATCATCCACTGCTTCTTCTTCGTCCCTTCTTGTTTCGTTTTGATGCAGATTCTGTGGATCGTCTCTAGAGACCATGATGTCAGCCCGTCGCATGCTAATGGCTGTTGCAATACTATCCCCTCGAGCGAGATTTGGTGTATACACTTTAGATTCATTTAAACTCGTTGTCGACCTCCACAGCGATGGTCTCGTCTTTTCCTCCAAGACCACATCCTTGTCCGTCATGGTCATCTGGGAGGCCAAGCTGAGCTGAGAGCCATCATGGGTGACTTTGGATGCGGATAGGTTGCGCACAAGTGAATGCATAATTTAAAAAGAAAGAAGAAACTCTTTGGATCTCGATGAAAAAAAAATACCTTTATAATTTAAGAAAGTTATATATTTGATTTTTAGTTATTCCTTTTTTAAATGCTTGGATCGAATTGATACATGAGCTCAATGATCGGCTTCATGAACGGATGATGCCCTTTAGAAAATGTGTGTAACTTGTAGGCTCCGATAAGCTCGGACAGAGAACCAGACAACCTTTCTTTTTTTCTTTCTTTCTCTTTTTCATTTTTTTATGTCTTGTCAATCCAATTCAACCAACAATAAAGACTTGAGCTGTCTTCGTTGCAGAAAAAAGAAAGCCAAGTAATGCTTGCGAAATAAAAAATAAAGAGAGAGAGAGAGAAAGTAAAAGCAGACTCTATTGACACAAGTCCCATTTAGATGTTCCAAGACAAGACCAAGTTGTACACGATGCCTTCGCTCAAATCAACCTGTAACTATGACAACAATACACTACATTAGTATAAAGTCTAACTTTTATATTAGTGTGAATACCCAGATGCACCACCGAATCTAACAGATCTGTCACAAAAAGTCTTGACGCTCTATGATTCACTACGAGAACTCGAAGGCGAATTTTTAGTCAAGTATATGCAGAATATGGAACCAGAACTGAGTGAAGAAGAATCGGTAGATGCGACACCTACGATTGACACTACACAAGAAGAACATATCACGATAGAGGAACCTGCTGGTTGGTCAATGTCATTTGGATCTTCAGGCCTTTGTCTGCAAGCCGTCACACGCAATCTATTTGAATATCGCATTTTTATTAAATCCATATCACAGCAACTGATCAAAGGATTCGGCATGAATTATTTGCCTAAACTATGGGATCCAGATGCAGAAGGATATCATAGCGAAGAAGATATCGAGGAAGAGTTGGATGAGGATGAGTATTTAGTGAAAATACCCGCTGTGCCTATTAGCCAATTACTGAAATCAATGGAAATAGAGGCAGCAATAAAGAAGGATAAGATGAATGATAGAGTCATACAGCGATTTTTACAGTTGCATTTACCTCACATGATTCAGCATGTTGAGTCTAGAGAATTCAACAAGGAAAACGGAAAATATGATCACTTGGTGACGATCATGCAGCACCTCGTGCCTTTACTAAAAGAAAGGCGACTACCCAAAGAAGTATATGAGCTATGTATGATTACAAGTTATATCGTATCCATTCAGTTACTCGCCAAACCAACGATGACTTCAAGCGAGGTGATAACACCAGCACCGCTACCGTTTAGTATATGGCAAGATTGCATAAACTATCTTTGTTTAGAAATGATTGAGTTAGTATTAAAAAAGGCCGATAAAATACCACATAAACCAGTATGCCTATGTTTATTGTTATTAGCTTGGTATCAAGTAGATATTAATAAGACAAGAAATGATGTATTAATTGACCTTGGAATAAGATTATTATATGAGGATTGTGATACATCAAGCGAACTAAAGGTCATGATGATTCATCTGGACATGTACTCATCCATCTTTCAGTCAAGAACAAGTTGTGCACTTGAATTATGGTCAACGATAGATAGAAAGGATCAATTTAGAGAAACAGGATCAATAGTGATGTTGTATAAAGCAATACGTCTACTCTATTCAACAACACAATTGGAAGAAGAGAGAAAGATTGATGTGGATGAAATATTGACAATGATAAAAGAAGTCGAGATACAAGAACAACAAGGACAAGTGAACATGATTCATTGGGTGACCAAGTTATTATTATTCAGGCCTTTTACTTTAATTAATCAAGAAGAACAAACGTTGACCAAGACTACATTTTTAGACATGTCATTAGTTGCAGCAGATAGATTGTCAATATGTCTTGGTAGAGAACAAATGAGCGATTATTGGATAAGGACAAGTAAATATTTAATAGAGGATGTGGGATGTAGAATCAAGGAGATTTTTATACAAGATCAGCAAGTTATCAAACAAGTAGATTCAATACTGAATAAAATAATGTTATAAACTTTGTACTGTGATGGGTTTATTATTCTTATTTATAAATGTACAATTATTATTGTTATCGCTGTATATACTTGAAATAGATGAAATTGTAGATGTAGATGTAGATGGTGTTAATATGGGTATATCTTGATCTTCTTGTTCTTCTTCTTCTTCTTCTTCTTTAATATTCTGTTTTAAGGGTGATTTGTCATGATGATTGCAAGTATTGTTGTTATTATGTTTCATTGAAAATTCATGATGATCATCATCATCGTCCTCTGCTGCCATCACTCTTCTATTTGTTCTTCTTGTCCTAGTATTTAATACTTCTTCTGCCTTTGTGATTGTATTGTAAAGCAGTAATCTCTCTCTTAGATGGTACTTTTGTTTACTTCGTTTATCATCCCTATCCAATTTCTTATACCCCAATGTATATGCTTTATTAGCTATCTGTCTCGGTGATAATGATGTTGAACTGAATATGGTACATGGTGCTTGTTTGCTTGCTCTTTTTGACCAAATTGTTGAAGATGACATGTATTAAATGCATTCAATTTTATATAAAATCAAAAGAAAAAAAAAGAGAGAGAATGAGAAGTGACCTTTTTACTCTTTCCTCTTCTGCGCTTATCCCCTTGGTCCTTTGCGGACACAATCGGAAAGGTAAACATATGAAAACGTTGGTTCTTTCCGAGGGTAAAATTCATTATTTAAATCTCCGTTACAGCACTCACTTTTTAACAAAAAAGGTCAATTTATTGTATTTATAGTCCACCTAGTACCATTCATTGGTGCACGTTCCGAGGAAGGAGAAGGGAGAAGGGATAGTATAGCTTAATATGAGACAAATAAAAGGAGAGAAAGAGAGAATTGATTTTATTATTTGTTGCATAAACCCTTTTCTTTTTCATCGTGGGAAGTTGACCTTTGTGTGTCAGTGTGACATTTTCTTTTTTTCCTTTTTCCTTTTTGCTTATTGTCAGAATGACTGTAACTCATTGTGAAGTCAATATAAAAATAAACTAAACTAACCTGATAATAGAATACTATTTTATGGAAATATCATGACGACATAACATTATCAGAAGATAACTCTATTGAATTGACAACAGAGGAATGTGTTAATTTAATAGCACTTGGGAGAACAGGCGATGGTAAATCAAGTCTATTGAACGATTTACTCGGCAAACAAGTATTTAAACAAAAAGTATCAGCCAAAGTATGTTTATTCTTTATTAAAGAAAAGAGGAATTAATATGCTTCCTTAGTCTCAAACAAAACAAGTTGAGGATTCAGTTGGCTTTTGGGCTCCACTAAAACCTTATATGCATGGTAAAGACCAATTTGGATGTCATATCAGAGTATTCGACACACCTGGCTTTGGTGATTCCCAATTTCAAGATGAGACATTCTTCCCAGTTATCCAAAACACAATCAATCATATAACTGCCTATCAAGGTGGTATTCATTGTATCCTACTCGTATTCAAGATCACAGCCAAGTAAGTTACACTTCCATATCTGTCTTCCCCCCTTCTCTCTCTTTCTTTATTCTGTTTTATCCACACATGTATACATGAGCAGTTCAGATACCATCATCAAAAGTATGGATGCCCTTCATAGACTCATGGACTATAGAAACGATTTTTGGGATAATGTCTTGCTTGTATTTACACATGTTGACATTGTCAATGGTGATACTGGTCGTTATCAATCACACAAGCTGTCATTGAGAACAGCAATAGCAAAGCAACTCAAGGAACGATATCATCTCGTGCATGATTTACCCATGCTATGGATTAGCACTCAGAAATATTCATGCTCTTATATTAAAGGTTTAGGTGACTGTGACTGTGAAAGAGGCGCGAGATATCATGCAGATTGTCGAAGGAGGTTGTATGAGCAGGTCATGAAACGAAGGCATCGTCCTTTTAAGCTTAATATAGAAGAAGAAGAAGAATAAAGTGGCTCTATATCATTTATACAGAGCAGTACCTCTAGTATTCACATAAAAAATGGAGACAAAATGTGCTCGCATATGATCACCAGCTGAACAGTGACTACACACTTTCAATGTGTAAATGCTCTGTTACTGGGCTATTTCATAGTCTGTAAGCATTTCAGAACTCTAAATTCCTTTGGAAATACCAGAGTTTCTTCTTTCAGTACGCCAAGCTATCTCATGTTTTCGTGTTTCCCTAATATAATTAACTCTTCTTTTCAGTAAAGGAAGGGGTATGCAAAAATGAATAACAGTCGTTCATGTCAATGTCTGTTATAAACAGACATTATTCTGCATGCGTAGGAAAACAAAGCTTTGCAAAGTGGATACACATAGCTCGTTACCAACACCAACTTGCGCTAAAATCCTCAGTTAAAATTTGTATGTCGGGTTTTAATTCTATGGTTTCCTTTTATAAAACGAGCAAAAAAACTCACAGCTGGTTTCATTAGATTAACCTAACCAATTCAGAAAGCTGGGATATGTGTTTTATACATTCTTGTAATGTGTGCACTATATCCATGGCTTCAATTAAAGTGTTATATACCGTAGTGCGCCTAGCATTGGCCAATCGAGTCTGCGTCATCATCTCAGCGGAATTATAAAAAATACACACATGAACTCAGACAACGACGCGTAATAGCTCTCTGTCATTTTTTTCTTCTTTCCCTTTCTTTTAGCACATACAACATTAAATAAACATGAAGAAAGACGGAATAAAATCTTATTATCAAGCAAAAATTGAAGAATGCGAATTAGTTTTAAATGAAAAGACTCAGGACTTACGTCGTTTAGAAGCACAACGAAACGCTTTAAACGCAAAAGGTATAGTTAATCTTGGTACTTCTTTATTCTTACCATTATTATTAGTACGTCTTTTAAAAGAAGAACTTCAGTTGCTGCAGGAACCCGGTTCATATGTTGGTGAAGTTGTAAAAGTAATGGGTAAAAAGAAAGTTTTGGTCAAGGTAAAGATAATCAATAGATCGCATTCACACACAAAGCAGCCATTCTAATTTCTTTTAAAAAGGTTCATCCTGAAGGAAAATTTGTGGTTGACATTGCCTCTGACATTGACATTTCTCAATTGACACCTTCAACTCGTGTTGCACTTCGTAACGACTCTTATCAACTTCATAAAATATTACCCAACAAGATTGATCCTCTTGTTTCACTCATGATGGTTGAAAAAGTACCCGACTCTACTTATGAAATGGTCGGTGGTTTAGATCAGCAAATCAAGGAAATTAAGGAAGTGATTGAATTGCCAGTGAAGCATCCTGAACTTTTTGAATCCCTTGGTATTGCTCAACCCAAGGGTGTTCTCCTTTACGGTCCTCCTGGTACAGGAAAAACACTGTTAGCAAGAGCAGTGGCCCACCATACAGATTGTCGTTTTATTCGTGTGTCTGGTTCAGAATTAGTACAAAAATATATTGGTGAAGGTAGTCGAATGGTTCGTGAATTGTTTGTGATGGCAAGGTAAGGAATTTTGTTTGAGATAAGAATGATGCTAATTATGGTATAGAGAACATGCACCTTCGATTATTTTCATGGATGAAATCGATTCTATTGGCTCAGCTCGTATGGAAAGTGGAGGAGGAGGAGATTCTGAAGTACAGAGAACCATGTTGGAACTACTAAATCAACTGGATGGTTTTGAACCTACAAAGAATATCAAGGTCATCATGGCTACAAATCGTATAGACATCTTGGACGCTGCATTACTGCGTCCTGGTCGTATTGATCGTAAGATTGAATTCCCTCCACCAAGTGAAGAAGCACGTGCAGACATTTTAAAGATCCATTCTCGTAAAATGAATCTAACAAGAGGCATCAACCTTCGTAAGATTGCTGAAAAGATGAGTGGAAGTAGTGGTGCTGAAGTTAAGGCTGTTTGTACAGAAGCTGGTATGTTTGCTTTGCGTGAACGTCGTGTTCATGTCACTCAAGAAGATTTTGAAATGGCTGTTGCAAAGGTTATGAAGAAGGATTCAGATGCAAATACAAGTTTAAAGAAACTCTGGAAATAAACTATTTAATTGCTATTTTTTTGTATTCAAGAGTTTTTTTTCCAAGTCTGCTAATTCTGCTTCTAAAGTGTGTAGTTTGGTATCGAGTAGCTCATTGTATTCTTGTTCTGAGATCTGGTGAATAGGAAACCAAGAGGGTAAGTGAAATTGACGAAAGAACGTCGATATATGAGTCTCTTCTGGATTATTTTGTTGTTTAATAATCATTTCCTGTCGCCAGTTATTGCCTGCTGTGTATATCATCTGAAGACCTGAGCAGATCGCTCCAAACATGATTGCACCAGAAGGTGCTGTCTTTGGTCCACCTAGATGTGCGATTAATAGAGCGTATATGGCAAAAAACTTGAATAAAACTTACGAAAGACTGCAGATAATAAACCACCTGTGGTTGCACCTGCCATTGTACTGCTAATCAATGCATCTACATCTTTTGTCTGTGAATCTTTCAGTCCAAACTGTGCATTCTTTTGTCGTTGATAGGTAATAAATGTTTCTCTAACCACTAATCAAGCTGCATATTAGTCATGCATAATGCATATATACAAGTATATATAGCTTACAAAAAAAAGTAGTAGCAAACACACCACAGCTCATTCCAGTAGAAATAGCATATTGTTTGACAGGGGCATTCTTTAGGACAGCTATAGTAGCTCCACTGGTTGCGCCAACAGTGCCTAATTTGTAAAGTAAGTAGCTGATCATACAAAATAGCTTCCTTTGAATTTTACCTGAAATTCCAGAACCCCAAAGTACATTCTCAAGCGCCTCTTTACTTCTTGCATTCATTTTGTGACAATTAAAAAAAAAAAGAAGTAAAAGGGCTCAAGCCACTTTAAGTGGCGAACTGGGTTATAATTGCATGATGTGTAACAGCCACAGGGGTGATTTTTCCTAAAGAGGTGGTTAGCTATGTAAGAAGAGTTTTGACGATAAGTGTTTGAATTTATTACTTACTGCACTAAAGATGAAAATATGTATATATCAAAATGAAGGATAAAAATAGATGTGAGCGATGTAACAAAGGACTTATTCCCTTTTGTTGTGGATAAAATGCGTTTGTTTATAATATTAGTCATGTTGCGGAAGCAGTCTGCGCATTTAATCTTTAGCTATACTATAGAATATATAAACTATATCAATATAAGGGGATTATACAACTATGACTACAGCAATGATTATGCCATCCATGATTTTAGCAATTGGGGACACTCTACTACATCTCAGATACATTCAGCAAGTATTTACGAAAAGCCTTTGCTAACAGTATCAACAATAGCATTATAGTTCCAAATACCTCATCTCTGACATATATTCCCGTCTAATATAACATTTCTCTTTTTTCTTCTTTTCACCGCAAAGAGCCTAAGCTATTGTCATGGACTTTCTGCTCTTTTCTAACTAATAATAACAAATACAACAATGGTTTAGAGGCACAAGACAAATCACAGCAAAATAAGAACACTGTTCCTTTCACAAGAAAAAGCTTGCAAAAATATCCTGACGCAGCTATTTGTTATGGATGCCCTTCTTGCAACAAATATTACGAAGGAAAACATGATCTGCAAGAACATGTTTTATCGTAAGAAAATCTAATGTGTACAGCTACTACTATAAAATTACTGATAATATTGAAGTGTGTCAAGAGGGTCGTCGCCTGTGAATGACAATAGCTGAGTTGTTGGTGATGTCAACGTTAGCAAGGAACTCTTCGCGTACGGACGAAGGTGCGAAGAACAGTACAAGGAAAAGAGATTATCACAAAGTATTAATGAGAAGGAGCTACTGTAGGCCTTCTTATAATACGTACAGTGATTCTAATGCGGCTCTTAAAGAACCATGTCAGGTGTAGTAATCCTAAGCAAGGATATCAAAACGTCCAACATTCCAGAAAGCGTACTGCCTGGGACCACTCAGGCAAAGATGCATAAAGAGAGAAGAAAAGGCTGGAACATTGAAATATTGAATAAAAAATTAAGCGATAGCTTAAAAGTGATTCAGGTAATGCAATTTTTGGGTTATAACATTAAATAGCTGGCTAGTGCACTGTAGGAATACTGCACGAATAATCATACAAAGGTGAGCGCCCAATGGAAGCTGACTGCAATAAAGAAAAAGGCAGATCACATCTTTAGTCCAGCTATAAATGCGGGTGAAGCCATGTAAGCTTATATGAGTATTAGCTAAGGTAGGCAAGATTAACTTTGTTTTGTAGCCTTGCAGAAACTTTCCATTCTCAGAGTTAGAATGGATGCGCTCATTCATCCACCCTGTAATGAAGTTTCTGTTTGGATCGGATGATCCTTTGTTTATTCCACACACGTAAGCTTTTTTTTTTTGAAATATGGTATAGTACTTGTACTGTATTTTTATGAACAAGTAAAGATTTGGCCGGCCCATTTGGGCTGATATAAACCACATTTTTTTATTGGACAGACCCCCTCAGTTTACGCGGTGCGTATGATTACTACAAAGCTTAAGACCTATATAGCTTGTATGTCGAGTTTTAGTTTTATAGTTTTCTTTTATAAAGGAAGCAAAAGAACTTACAGCTTGTTTCATTATATTTACGAAGACTAAATTCAACAAGCTGGGATGTGCGTTTGATATTTTCTTGTAATGTATGCACTACATTTGTGGCTTCAATTAAAGTGATGTATGTGACATACCATTTTTGTCGGGAATTGAATGTAGAAAAGAGTGACTTTGCATATTGTCCAAGTCAGTGCGCCTAAATTACGTTACTTAAAAGCCATGGTTACAGCAATAGAATGGCAATGGCAGCAAGGAGATTACTCTGTATATACAAGGCCACTTGAAAAATCAGCCAATGATCAGCGTGAATATCGACTACTAAAGCTTGCAAATGAACTACAAGTGTTACTTGTTAGTGACCCTGATGCAGATCGTGCAAGTGCTTCTTTAGATGTTCATGTCGGAAGTCTGAGTGATCCGGTAAAGATGACAATGTTCTTCCTTCTTTCTTTCTCTGGAAAGAGAGAGAGAAAGGGGAGAATGCGTTGAGAGTATAGAAGAAATTTACATTCTGATTAATAGGAACATCTTCAAGGCTTAGCTCATTTCTGCGAACACTTGCTATTTATGGGAACAAAAAAATATCCTAAAGAAAACGATTACTATAGCTATCTTTCTGAGCACTCAGGTAAGAGCATATATGTAAGTATTATACTTTTAACATATTATATATTAGGACATGCGAATGCTTTTACGGGAACTGTCAATACCAACTATTTCTTTGAAGTGGGTCACCAATGGCTCGAAGGTGCCCTGGATCGTTTTTCACGCTTTTTCATTGATCCCCTATTCTCTGAAAGTTGCACAGAACGCGAATTGAAAGCAGTTGATTCTGAACATAAAAAGAACTTGCAGTCAGATTGCTGGCGTATATCTCAGATAGAGAAACATCTGAGTGACCCTAAGCATCCATGGCACCTTTTTGAAACTGGTAATTTAGAAACACTACTGGAGCGCCCGAAAAAGATGGGTTTGGACGTTAGAGAAGAACTATTGAAGTTTCATGATGCGTATTATTCTGCAAATATCATGAAACTAGTTATCTTAGGTCGAGGTATAAAGGGCAAAGATAAAGATAAACACCCTTCCTCTTTGAACTAACAAAAAATGGTGATAGAGCCACTGGATCAATTAACTAAATGGGTAGTTGAAAAGTTCTCAAGCGTGAAAAACAAGCATATTCCTGTGCCTTCTTTCCATGGACATCCACTAACAAAAAATGAATTGATGAAGCAAATATTCATAAAGTCAGTGAAAAAGAGCCGTACTTTGGAAATCACATTTCCATTTCCAGATCAAACAGCATTTTATGAATGTCAGGTAAGAGAGATATGGATCAGCTAGAGGAGAAAGGGATATTGTACTAAATCAAACAATTAGCCTGCAAACTATTTAGCTCACTTGATAGGTCACGAAGGACCAGGGTCAATACTGTCCTTTTTGAAGAAGAAAACATGGGCGACAACGCTAAACTCAGGTCTATCTTATGGCGGTGTCGGTTTTTCCTTTTTCCACCTTAGCATCGAGTTGACAGAAGAAGGGTTACGCAAGTTTAGATTTAAAGAAATAATATACTTTTTTGCGTTTGTATTGATACATTCATATTTATATAGGCCACTACGAAGACGTTGTCGTCTCTCTGTTTGAATACATTGAGTTGATAAAGAAGGAAGGCATTCAACAGTGGATATTCGAAGAAACCAAGTCTTTAGCCGAAATAGAATTCAGATTCCTCGAGCAATGCACTCCTTCACAGTACACTTCTTTCTTGAGTCAACAGATGCAAGAAAACTATCCGCCTCAGTGGGTCATTAGCGGTAATGCCTTGCTTCGAAAATACGATCCTGATTTAATAAAAGTGCATCTGGAACTATTGAGACCGGATAACTTCCGCTTGACCTTGGTCAGTCAGGAGTTCCCGGATGGCATCGAGTGCACCCGTATAGAGAGATGGTACTCTGCAGAGTACGAAGTACAGCCTTTGAGTGAAGCGCTTGGCCAGGTAAGACATATATATTACATTGATAAAGATCAACCTAAACTATCTATTTATAGCGTTTGGTCAATATTTCTCTAAACCCACACTTCTCTTTACCGGCCGTCAATGAGTTTATACCTACGGAACTTGAAGTTGTAAAACAGGAGGAGAAAACAAAGGAACCTACGCTCATACAAGATGAGCCGATTAGTAGAATCTGGTATAAAAAGGATGACACATTTTGGGTGCCCAAGACAAACGTTTGGATATGCCTCAAGAATCCTTTAACATTTATCACTCCAAGACATGCTGTGATGTTGGCGTAAGAAAAAGAAGAGCCTGTAGTCGGGCATACAGAAATTAACTAATATTCTCCCATGCTTGATAGACTGTACATAGGCTTACTTTCTGATTCACTGACAGAGTATTCATACAATGCAGAATTAGCAGGGCTCAACTATTATATTGCACAAGAAGCAGAAGGAATCGCAGTAAGATAAAAGAAGAAATACATCGAATGGTCAATGTGACTCAGCATTACGTTAGCTCTTTGTAGGCGGTTACAGTCATAAGCTCTCACTTTTACTTGAAAAAGTAGTATCGAAAATGAAGGATCTCTGTATCGAGCAGCGTCGATTCAAGATGATCAAGGACGAAATAACACGAGAATATGAAAACGTTCTCTTGGAGGCACCTTATCAACACGCAAGCTATTACTTATCTTTTGCCTTGAGTAATCGTAAATGGACATACAATGACCTCATAACCCAAGTCAGAGATATACAACTTGAAGAGTTACAGGCATTTATACCTCTTGCAATCTCGACACTTCATATAGAAGCGCTTGTACACGGATCAATGGAAAAAGAAACTGTATTAGGAATGTTTAGCAAGATTCAAGATGTATTGACGCCTAGACCATTATTACCAAGTCAATGGGCTGGTTCACGAGCAGTTGCTCTGTCTGATGGCCAGCATTTCGTGCACACCTTACCTGTCTATGATAACAATGAAGTCAATTCGGCCATTGCATATTACAGCCAAGTCTGTAGAGTAACAGAGATTGGACTGCGTAATCGACTATTCTTGATTGCTCAGATAGCAGAAGAACCTTGCTTCAACCAGCTCCGAACGCGTGAGCAGCTAGGCTACATTGTCTTTAGCGGGATCAAGAACGTACATGGCACTCTTGGATTCAGAGTGATCATCCAAAGCGAAAGAGAGCCTGTCTACTTGGAGAACAGAGTTCTTGATTTCTTGGAGGAGTTAAAAAAGATAATTGAAGAGATGAGCGAGGCGGACTATCAGGCACAAGTTGACTCATTGATTGCTGAAAAACAAGAAAAGTCCAAAAATTTGTTTGAGGAAGGATATCGGTACTGGTCAAACATCATGTCAGGATATTATGAATTTAACGAGTCTACAACTGATGTCTTGGAGCTAAAAAAGATCACCAAGGATTCTCTGTTGTCCTTTTACAATAACTATATTTATCCAGCATCGCCCATGGCCCGCACGATGTCTATCCATCTTAAATCACAAAAGACTCCTGTTGAAGAAAAGCCATCGCTAACTGCTGAAAATATATATTTGGTATTGACTGCTCTGAACTACTTGGACAAAAAAAATGTATCGGAAGACGCGTTCCGCGACTGGATAATATCCTATGCAGGGGATACAGCACAGTTTAAGACGGAATTAGAATTTAGCCAGTTTCTGGAAAGCAAAAAGATTGCAACAGGACAAGTCAAGACGATTTTAGAAAAGATCTATCAGGGACCAAGTGGTCTATCTCAGCGTGATCACACACGATTACCAGACAAATATGAAGTCATTGCTGATTTGATTGATTTTCGTCGTAGAATGCCATTATCACCTGCTGCTGTGCCGGTTTTAAATAGTGTATATTTTTAAATTCAATGGTGTAACTTTTATCCTTTCTCTCTTTTTATTTATTTCTCTCTTTCTCTCTCTTTAGAAAATAAATGTCGACTTGGAATCTTCCTAATTTTCCACTTTTCGCGAATATTGTGAAATATGCAACCCATGAGAATAATGTTGCTATTGATGACGCACGAATGAGTACTTCATTTACTTATTCTCAACTTGTTGCTGCCATTGTCAATCTTGCCGGGATGTTGAGAGGACAGAAAAGGTTTAAATAAAAAATATGCGCCATGTAACCTTTATAACATTTAAACTAGACAGCTTCAAAGGGAAAGAATAGCTATTTTATGCCCAAGGTAAATGATGGAATTTATGCAAAATCAAAATTAATTTGGTGTTCCCAGCGGGTTTCCATACGTGGTCGCTTTGTTTACTGTTTGGGCTTTGGGTGGCATTGCTGTGCCTTTATGTAAAAGCTTGTTCGTACGCGTATTGAATATTTTGATGATCTAACTTTTTTCTTTCAAGGCACAACACATCCTTTACCTGAGCAAACCTACAGCTTACAGGAATCTCAATCCAGTTTTATACTTGGACATCCAGTATTCAAAGAGCGACTAGACCAACTTTCAGAAGCAACCAAGCTGGAATACGTCATGATAACTGACGAACAGCTACTGCACATGGATAGTAAACATGTGCCTGAATGCTCTGATACCTTCTCTTTGGATACGAGTGCTTTGATCATTTTTACGAGTGGCACAACAGGCAAACCAAAAGGCGCGGTTCTCACCCACCACAACTTGGAAGCGCAAGCTTCATGTTTAGTCAAAGCTTGGTACTGGGCGTCAAATGATAGAATCCACCATATATTACCCCTTCACCACATTCATGGTATTGTTAATGCCCTTGTCTGTCCTCTCTATATCGGTGCTACAGTTGAAATGTATCAAAAATTTGATGCTGCAGCCGTTTGGTCTCGCTGGTCAGACATGGAACGGCCTAGGCTTACCGTATTTATGTCAGTGCCTACTGTATACGGTAATACACAAGAGATCTGTACGTTACAATGTGTACTTATTTTTGCTCGTAGCCAAACTTTCACAGTACTATAAAGCACAAGATGAAGACAAACAATCTGAATTGACAAAAGCTTGTAAGCAGTTTAGGTTCATGGTATCTGGATCAGCTTCACTTCCTACTACGATACGTAATACATGGAGAAAGCTAAGTGGTGGCCAGGTCTTGTTGGAACGATATGGAATGACAGGTAAATGCGAGATCGTGATGGGGCTGATAGAAATATTGATGTGTGTTCTTTTAGAAATTGGTATGGGATTAAGTCAAGAATATGTCATATGGGAACGTGTTGAGGTATGATATTAAAAGGACAAAAATAGGGTGAACACAAGCTAAATTTTTCTTCAAGGGAACTGTTGGAATTCCCCTTCCTGGAGTTCAAGTCCGTATCGTGTCTGAAGCAGATGGCAGAGATATCACCGATTTACGTGATACACCCGGTATTCTTCAAATTAAAGGACCTACTGTCTTTAAAGAGTATTGGCAACGACCTGATGCAACAAAAAAGGAATTTACAAAAGATGGCTGGTATGCGAAGGATATAGCATGAAAAGACGAGACTAATGTATCTCGCGTAGGTTCATCACAGGAGATATGGCACAAAGAATAACTCATAAAGGATATTACCAAATCTTAGGTAGAAGCAGTATTGATATTATTAAAGTAAGTGCGTGTTACATGAACAAAGGATTACTAGGTCAGATTGTAATCTTTTGTGTATAGACAGGCGGTGAGAAAGTATCTGCACTGGAAATCGAACGAGAGATGCTTTCTTGCGATATAGGCATTCAAGACGTGGCTGTCGTGGGTATTCCTGACCCTGAGTGGGGCCAGAAGGTCTCTGCTGTAGTTGTCATGGAGCATGGAAGAGTAATAGTGCATGTTTCCCTTATCTTTTTTTAACTAATTTTTATTGGATAGGAACTTGACTTGCAAACATTACGCGACAAATTAAAAAAAAGACTAGCCGTTTACAAAGTTCCAAGCCAGTTAAAGTGTGTGCCTGAATTACCCAAAAATGCAATGGGAAAAGTAACCAAAAAGGATTTGGTGGCATTATTTCAATAAAGGAATGACCCACAACTAGATATTCTCTCTTTTTTTTTCTTTATGCATACATTATTACTATTACAGCTTATCCTACTCGCCTTGTCTGTTCACGTAATTTATTGTGAGCAATACGAACCTTGTTTGGCAACAGCAAAGAATCAGAGATTAAATCATGGATACACATTTGCCTTGGCAAAAGTAAAAGACACAATCTCTCCTCTAGGACCTCAAGAGGCGTGCTATTTCAGCTGTGGGGCAAGAATTGTAACACATTCTACAAACAAAGGAGACATGAACAAGTTGACCGCGATGGATTCAGCAGCTCCTTACTTGAGCATTATTGATTTCCTAAAGATTGGACAAAGTTATTTCATAGTAAGTTGGTAAAATGAATACAAGACCAAGACTATTGATCTACCTTTTATGTAGAATCACTTGGGTTTAAAGGAAGAAGAAGGAGGTAAGCTTTTTTTCCCTTAAGTATTGATACAATCGAACTTACAGATGCAATCATATAGGCACGGGTATAGGATGTATGCATGTTGAAAGGTAAAGGCGAAAGAAAGAAATAGAGGGAAAAAGGATAGCAATAAACAGGCTTTACTAGCCTAAAATCAGCAAAGTATTATCCTAGAAATCATCCTCTTTGCCAGAAGGCAGACACTGCCATCTGTGGATTCTGGGGCACGGTAAATTTAATTATAATAGAGATATGTGTGTACTTACAACAAGAATGCATATAGCAACCAATTCCGGAAGCAAAACAAATGTCACCATAGAAATGCTACAATAAACCTTTATTATTTATTCTTTAAACATGTGAGCCATTATTTGCTCAACGACTGGTTCAGCAAATCCTAGAGTTGTTGTGTACTCACATCGTGAACAAGTGATGAGATATTTATCTAATTTTTAACGCATGTAATCCTAAATAACCTCAATTTGAATACACAACGGTTATCCATAGAGAAATAATATAGTAACCTGTGTTCATTGACTGATCAACAGTGGCGTCACTGTCAGAAGACTTTGAAAGGTTTGAATATATGAATCCAGCAGGACCGAATTGCTGATGATGGTTCACTTTAATGAAAGTATGTGAAGCTTCTTATGATCAAGTTTTATATTGTGACTGAGTTCTATACAACTTTGAAAAATTTTAAAGACGCGTTTTAACACGAAAGTCTTGTAAAAAAATTAAAAAAAGAATGAATATAGTATGTTTATAAATTAGAGTTTATTTATAAAAATAACAAGAATATCAAACCTACGTTATCCTATTAAGTAAGTCAATAAAAGCAATTCTTTCACAAGTAGAATGAGTAAGAAAGGGAATGGGAATCAGTTTCAACAATGTTCACATCAAATGAAGAACTCAGGCAATGTAGATAAGGAGTATTTTGTTAAATCATCCTTTAAAGCCATAATCCTTCCTTACTCTTTCTCAAAGAAAAAAAGCCTACCTTTTTTAATAATTGTATTGCAAAAGAAAAGAAAACATCATCCCAATTACTGTTTACAACATTTATATATTCCCGAAAAGCAAAGCCACATTCCTCATCAAAGAAAACTGGGAGACTTTAAAATAAACGCCGCTTTTCTTTCCGCTCTTGAAAGAGAGAAAGAAAACAGCAATGCCTCACGCGTCAATTGTTGAATGATTACAAGCAGAACTCAGCTGCTCCCAAAGGCTGAAGTTAGTAGTCTCCGCCAACAGACTACTTTCTCTCCTTTGGTGACTTACTCAACTCTTATCTTCATTACTTCACTTCATGAAGTTGCCAACGTATACGTATTTATGCAATACTATCTTTATCGTCATGAGACTGAAAATGGAGCAACATTCTAGTTGATTCTTACATGAAGCGTTTGACGACCACCAATTTTGACCTTCAGTACCTCCTATAACAAAAAACCAAATGTTCACGCTGCATAATAAGCAAGTTGTCCTGTAAGAGCACAAGGGTCACGTTTCAGATTATGAGCCTTTCCTTTTCCTATTCAGTTCTCTCGTTATATCTTTTTCCCTTTGCTGGATCTTGTTGTTTGTTACATGTTTATATTGGTTAATAACGTCAGCCAATCAAAAACAAAGTGTTATCTTCACTTTTAAGCCTCTTTGATATCTGATCCTTAAAGGCGAGTGTACTATCCTTCCATCTTATCAGTTTGTATATTGCTAGCGTAACAAGTATGATTATTGATATTACTGATCATTCGAGTCAGATCAACTTCAGCGATTTTGGGCGCCGGACTTGTGACTGTATTTTATTTTTCTCTCCGTTCCGAGACTCTGGCTCTTTTCTGTGGCAGACGGGGAGAGAGTGCATTGTGAGTGGAAGGGACCGAATGAATATGGAAGGAGAAGGTCCATCCATTTGATCTTTCTCTTTCTTCCTCTACCTTACTTGGTGTAGTAAACATGGTAAATATATAAATCATCCATCCATTAAAGAAAAGGATTACTAACCATAACTTATAGTCTCACAGGTTCGTATTAGAAGACTTCAACAAAAGAGTGTCATTTAGAGAATGAGAAATTAACATGTTGATTCATTTAGAAAATTCGAGGCTCCTCGTCACGGTCACTTGGGTTTTGGCCCTCGTAAGAGAACTAGATCTCACCGCGGTCGTGTCAAGGCTTACCCCAAGGACGATGCTAAGAAGCCCGTCCACTTGACTGCCTTCATGGGTTACAAGGCCGGTATGACCCACATCGTTCGTGATCTTGAACGTCCTGGTTCCAAGATGCACAAGAAGGAAATCGTCGAAGCCGTCACTGTTATCGAAGCTCCTGCTATGGTCGTTGTCGGTGTTGTCGGTTACGTCGAAACCCCTCGTGGTCTCCGTTCATTGACCACCGTCTGGGCTGAACACCTTTCCGAAGAAGCCAAGCGTCGCTTCTACAAGAACTGGTACCGCTCCAAGAAGAAGGCCTTCACCAAGTATGCTGCCAAGTATGCTGAAGGTGCTAAGGACATCAACCGTGAATTGGAACGTATCAAGAAGTACTGTTCCGTCGTCCGTGTCATTGCTCACACTCAAATCTCCAAGGCCAAGCTTAACCAACGCAAGGCTCACATCATGGAAATCCAATTGAACGGTGGTTCTGTTGAGCAAAAGGTTGACTGGGCCCGTGAACACTTTGAAAAGGAAGTCACTGTTGGCTCCGTTTTCGAACAAGATGAAATGATCGATATCATCGCTACTACCAAGGGTCACGGTTTCGAAGGTGTCACTCACCGTTGGGGTACCAAGAAGTTGCCTCGTAAGACTCACCGTGGTCTCCGTAAGGTTGCCTGTATTGGTGCCTGGCATCCTTCTCGTGTCATGTACTCTGTTGCTCGTGCTGGTCAACGTGGTTACCACCGCCGTACTGAAATCAACAAGAAGATTTACCGTATTGCCAAGGGTGTTGACGCCAAGTCTGGTACTACTGAATATGACTTGACTGAGAAGAAGATTACCCCCATGGGTGGTTTCCCTCACTATGGTGAAGTTAACGAAGACTTTGTCATGATCAAGGGTTGTTGTGCTGGTTCCAAGAAGCGTGTCATCACTCTTCGTAAGTCTTTGACCGTCCACACCAAGCGTTCTGCTCTCGAAAAGGTCACCCTCAAGTTCATCGATACTTCCTCCAAGTTCGGTCACGGTCGCTTCCAAACCCCCGCCGAAAAGCACCAATTCATGGGTACTCTCAAGAAGGATCTTTAAGTTGCTTTTTTTATTATTGTAAAATGATAATAAATGTTATACAAACATGAGATCTGGTTTATTAAACTGCACAATGCCCGCATTGAGTTTTTCTCCACCGTATTTTTCCAGTGCTTGCAGTTCACGTCTGATGTATTGAACAACAAGAGCTAAATCCGTAGCATTGTTGGAAGAGATAGCAAACAAGTTTCTCCACAAGGCGGCAGCCAAGACAGGATCGTCTTTACACATACCCTCATCATAGGCTATAACACCACCGTGGAATTGAGCCAAGAGGTCTTTGATGTAACTGTTGATCACTTTCTGCTGTGTGATCTATGATAAAAAAGTGTGTGTCAATATATGTTGCTTTAAAAGTGTAATTTAGCTATTTACTCCATGTGATCTAATTCTATCTTCAGCGTCTTCAAAGAAACGGTTGACAAGTTCTTGGATATATATCTTTCCGTTTCCTTCAGCACGAAGATGTACCATGAGCATCCAAACATGTATCTGAGTAACAGAGAACCAAGACTGAAAGTTATCAGGGAGGTTACATTCTACATATTGCCTATTTTAATCCGGGCCTCTCTGCTGGGTTTTACACTGTTACTGTTTTATACCTTTGACATAAAAGTCTTTATTCAATTCCATTTGGTTGGCACATTCAGCATAGAGAGTACGACTGGCACGAATAGCAGTTGACGTCTTTGAATAATAACCCATAGCTTTTGCTAGACCATAAACAATCTTTTTTGTTGTAGGTGAGTATTTCTCTTGTTGATCTTGTTCTTTTTCTGTCGAATAGAGTCTTAAAGTGGCGGGGACTATTCTGGGTTGAAGAAAGGTATATGAAGTCTATTCAAAGCACGCGTATGCGTATATGTGTGAGTAAACATATATATGCGTGTGTATGTTTAAGGTGTATATACCCTTTTTATTTGACTGCTGATTATTCTTTTTGTAAGGTTTGACATTATTGAATTACAAAAAAAGAGAGTCTATGAAAAAAGAAAAAATATTTTTCTGTTCCCGGGGATTGAAAAGTTAAGCCATGACAACCGTTGTCATAGGAACAAAGAAGTAATAGGTAGTGAAAAGGAAAACAAAATTTATTAGGAAAACAAAATCAGCAGTGTTGCAGTCTAAGGATACTTCTAACATCGGCAGCAAATCTTAGAGCGTCTAAAAAAGGCAAAAGGTCAAGTAAACTTTCATCGTTGGGGTTTGATATCCAAGTGGGTAAGGCGATTCCGTTTTCTATGTTTAAAAATGAGAATGAATTCACATTGGGGTTAGGTGCAAATATACCTTTATATAGATCAAATGCGACTGGACTATTATCAATGAGGCACACTTTATTCAAATCTTTTTCGGCCAGCGTAAGATCTTTTAAAAAGTTACCGTTTCTAACAACGCAAGACTACAGAGGGGGGTCAACATCGCATGTGTATTCATCATGATTTCTTACTTGTCGAAAAAAACGTTGTGAAATAATGTTGTCTTGATCAAGCCAATCAATCACGGGGTCAGCATATTCTGCCATAGAGGCAGTATAAATTACAATTTTATACCACTGACTTATCTATTTGATGTATGGTGTTTTTGTGTGTGTAAGAATAATTTTCGAATAGGATCTCAATGACTTACAGTTTTCAAAAAGAAGTCTACATGTGGTCGCTTATAGACTTCATACAGTAAAGATTGTTTATCACATTGTACTTCAATTGTCTTGTGAATAATAGATGGGCTGACTTCAGTTATCGTTTCAGAACCAAGTCTAACAGAATGAACGAGTGTTTCATCCAAGTCTAATACAAGTGTTTTTCCTTTATAATATTGTAATGCTACATTATTGTTATTATTGTTGGGTATCATCTTTTTGGTCTTTTTGCTGTGTAAGAGGGAATATATGAACTGTAGTGTTATTGCAACATATTGATATAAATGATTAAAGAATAGTCTTGTTCTTTTCTTTCTACTCAAGTTGGTCGTATTGGCTGCCGTTCTTGTGATGGTAAATGTGGTTGACATGCTTAATTAGCAATAATAATAATAGTAATAATAATAATTATAAAAATAAAGAAAAAGAAAAAAAAAAAGGAAGGAGGAAAAAAAAGTAAAGAAAATAGCGCAACTGTCACTTGATATTTTTTTGGCCCTTTTTCTTTTCGTTTATTGTTTTTTCCTATTTTGCATAATTCACAACAATACGTTGCCCTTCTCCTTCTTTTGAAGAAATAATATGAATGCCAAGAATTTATTGAATACTGTAGGATAGCTTCTTATATATTATTATTATGTAATATAATCATCTGTTGTAATAAATGATTTTCGTACACAGCCCATTGTTTAGTTTCCATGGAGACATATCTAAATATGTATGTGTGGTAAATAACGACCTATGGCTCAATAGAGACTATCCCATCTTTTGGGGTCACTTATTGAGTCTATACACTTCATTACAAAGAATTTTTCACTCGCTCGTGAGTTTAAAGATGATTACTGAATAATAGGAGGAAGGGGGGCAAAGGGGCACTGGCCATTAAAGTACGCTGATTTTAAGTTGGCAGCAAAGGGGTTGTTGTAGATACAAGGCTAATTCAATTACCAAATAACTGTCCAATTGGTAACTACCACTAGCAAAAATAGTAAGTAGCATATATGGTATCTGCTAGTGCCTGCGCTGATCAAGTGCCCACCGTGCGATGTTTGGGATTGGAAATAGAAATGCTTAATTAAACAGCATTACCCCATAAATTGACAAGTGCTTGCTGATATCATGAATGACCATCATGGGAACAGGAAAGAAAAGATTAGTGTGCTAGCCTTGTATCGCCATCTTCTAAACTAAGAGACACAAATGAACATCTTCTTTCGTTATTCTAGTGATTTTCATTACCATGCTGTTTTGTAAGTATGCAGCTCCGTTTTTAACCCAAACGATCTTTCCCCAACTGATATTGACCCAAATATTAAACATATTCCGCATTTTACCCCGCATTTTTATTTAATTTCAGATATTCATCAATCACTTTGAGCAATTAACACCCTCTGTTTTGTCCCCCATTAACGCATTGATATCCAAATCCAGTAGTTACATGCTATTAGCTTTCAAAAGAAAGAATCGTCTTTGGCACTGTGATCGTTGAAAAGACTATTTTTTCCAAAGTGGATGACTTGCCAGAACCAGAGAAAGCACTACTTGTAATGCTGTAATCTCTTTGCCTTATTATCCCACAACTTTAGCAAAAGAAGATATCATGAAAAATACTACTGTTGGTGTTAATATGGCGCCCATGCACATGTGGCAGCGATAAGCCCTTTAGATCTTTGCTGACCGTCAATATTTTGCATAGAATCACGATGACGCCAGTACGATGTTCATTTATCCTATTGTTGTCATTCCCCTTTCTTCCCTGGCCCAAATGCTATCACTGGGTTATTCTTCCTATCATAATGTAACACTTGGGTGCTCCAGCAACGTTATTACTTCGACAGAGGTATAGCAAATCGTATAATTCATACATTTAAACATATCACTGCTTTGCATTGCCTTTGATTTCTCTCTTTCTTTTTTCTTCGTTTCTTCGGTATTTCTTGATATTTTTCCTTTATACCTGGTGTACTTTCTTCAAAATATTTGGCATTTCTTGCCTTGTAATATAGACCTTTTGCTGACAGAAAAAGCTCAAGGTATTGCTTTTGTTGAGCATTTGAAGGACAGCATTTTCTCCAGGTGGTATAATGTAAAACATGGTAATTCTGCTGGTTTTTGCTGTTGACATATTAAAAAGAGGCTAGCTCGGTATAAACACAATGTTCTTTTGTTAGTACTTGCTGCTCCCATAAGAGGAAAATTTACCCGAAAATGAATGTCCTAGATATCTTGGCTAAATGTCTTCAGTGAAGCTTAATTTTAAGCCAAAGTTTCTCATAGTGTCTATGTCTAGGTATGACAGCTCGTGCACACTACTGAAAAAAGAGGGGGTAGTGAAGTGATTAGTTACGTTAATAAAGTGCCTTCCTGTAATACAAATGCTTATTTTCTTATAATGAATGTTACAAAAGCGCCACTTATGTTAGGCAGAAAAATTCTCTATGCAACTCTTCTAAGTAACTCTTCTCTTTCTCTTTTGTATGGCTGATAGTAGCTCTACCTCATTTGACTCGGTTTTTGCTTCTGGCATTCAAGATGTGGCGGCTGCACCAGCTGTACTTGGAACATATATATGCAATAAAAACGTTGGATTGCTGTTGACCAAGAGATACCTATTCCCTGCTGCATGCGGCTTGTCAATGTTTGGAGTCCTTAGGCTCGCAAAACACATACTCAAATTGTTTTTACCTCTGGATATTGCGGAGAACTTGAGGGTTGAGGTCGAAAAGTTTGACACAAACATAATAGACAGAGTGATGCATAGAGTCAATAGACATACTTGCAAGAACAAAACAATCTTTTCGTTTGACGCTGCGATCATGCTATCAGATTCCCCTTCACTCTATTCAATGGCTGGTCCCGCTATGGGCATAGTTGTTTCCGATGATCAATTTGGAGGTTTGTTTGCCAGACGCATTGGTTATACTATAGAGCTTCTTGCAGCTGCGGGCATTGCCATTGGCTACATAGGTTCATACTTGGTTGTCCAAAAGATGATACCGATGGATACGTATTACTGGCTAGGACTGGAATTTGGACTGTATTTCTTGCGCTTGGTAATATGGTCATGGAATACGGGAATGGATGACATGGATATGATATCGCTATGATATCTGATAGACAGAAGCGATGAAGAAGTTATTCATCAGATCAGAAAATTACTGTTGTATATAAAATAGGTAGAAGAAGTGTTCCGTAGGCTAAAGGTTGAAGGCTGTTTCATTCAATCTAAAATAGTGGATACGTACTATCAAGCAAAGTGCTCTTTCCATGATGTATATATCGAAGATATTAACGGTATTAGTGCATTTGCCTCCCTCGATTCCTTGTATGCTGTACTTTGGTCAAAACCAATGTACTATATAATGCGGAATGACCAGTTGCGTTATGTAGATAGATTTCTTGTGGCTTCTGGTAAAGTGGGCTTGGTGGTTAAAGCACAAGGATTTTGAAGATTACGTTTGTACGCACGTTATTATGTGAGGATTCCATAGAAAGTTTCCGACCTGTATTATCTAGAAGAAACTGACCTTGAACCTCTAGAACGAGAGCAGATAAGTGATGAAGATCAAGAGAAATTGAGAACAAAAGAAGAAGATATGCATGTATGGATAGACACCGTTAATTCATGTAAGTTATCTCGCCTTGGGCTAGAAGAAGAGCGAATAATACATTATTTTTTATCCATTAGTCTTCTAGTTAGAGCTCTTGTATTGATGATAGTAATAAATATATTCAACTTTTTTTTTTTATTTGAATGCAATTCACCCAATTTGGATACAAATAGATAGTATACGGTCTCTTAAACTAAGGGTTCACGAGATATGTAGATAATATGGATAAATAACGTGGTCATCCTATTTGTCATAAAAGTTATTGTTGAATTACCGGGTATGTTCTCGTTGTTTATTGGATTGTGTTATTTTTATCATAGCATTCATCTGCGTAATTCTAGTATTTTCCTCAACAGAAATTACTAGAAATGCATGGAGAAATCGGCATGAATGAAAGATGATACGTTCGGAAAAGATGCCAGCCTATCGATTGACATGGCAGGTTTATTATTAGTAGCATTAAGGTTCAATTTTTAATTTTGAGTATACATCATTTTCTGTTAGCAAATGAGTCCATATATATAAAGTGTTCTTTGGTCTTTCTCTTTTTCATCTTGTATATTCACCACTGAATATGAAGTTTTATTCTCTTTTTGTTACTGTTTGCTTACTCATTGCCAACTCTCTTTGTGATTTTCAAAACCTACAAACAGACGACAAGCAGCTCAACATTAGTTCACCTTTGGTCAATGGTGTTTATGTGACCAATAGGACCCTTCCCTGCACATATACTCCTGCTAACCCTGCTAGTAAGTAAAACTACTCATCTTTTTCTTGGGTCCCTTAATTAATTCTGTAACGTGTGTAGATCTGAAGCTGAATATCTACCTGACAAGCACAAGTGTTTCTGGCTTTAATGAAACAGTCATTGCTGCTGATGCTGATATCAGCAATGATCCTACAAATACTGTTCCTATTACTCAAGGTACAACTACTTACTATCAACACTCTGTGAATTACCAAATTCCTCCTACGACCCCTGCTGGACAATATCAAGTCATTTATCAAAATGTCAATACAAACTCAAATACAAGTATCCCTATCATTATTCAATCGGAACCTGTTGTTAACGGAACCTCCTCCGGCACACCTTCAGAAGGCACTCCATCTTTGGTCAACGCCATTGTCTGACTCGCAAGACGTAAATGCGCTTATATTTTCTGAGATCAAAAAGAAACTAAACTAAATAAACTTGGTTTTCTTTCTCTTTAAACAATGACTAGACCTTCATATAATCATTTGCCTGAACAACTTAAAAACCGTTATATTATTCAAAGACACGGCTTTTCTTTAGCCAATAACGAAAAGTTGATATGCTCTAACCCTGACATTGCCATTCCTCCTACAGGTGGACCGCTCAACACAGGCTACGGTTTACACGATAAAGGAAAAGAACAAGTAAAGGAGGTAAAGTGGCTGATGTTTTATACACATGCTTTTGCTAATATACAAAACAGTCGGCTCTTCGTCTTTCAAAGCACCTTTTCCCTTCTCAACAAAAGCTAAACGAAAATCCAGTTGTCATATTCTGTTCACCTTTCAAGCGAACAGTTGAAACAGCAGAGATTATCCAGGGCGTCTTAAATGACACTGTGCTTCAAGGAAAACTAGGAGCACCTATCAGAAACTTGGAGCTTCGAGAGAGATGGTACGGTCAGTTTGACATGACCAACGATGACAATTACAACATCTGTTGGGCAGATGACGCTGCTGCCCCTGATCACGGTGAGCATAGTCAATATGATATCGAGTCTCCAAGTAGTGTGTGCGATCGAGCAACTCGGTTCATTGTAGATGAGATTGAATCAAAAATGGAAGGAAAGACCGTCATCTTGGTCGCTCACGGCGATATCTGTCAAATCATGTTGACTGCCTTCAAGGGCACTGATGCATGGAGACATAGAGAAATGGAACATGTTGATACTGCTCATTGGAGAGATACATTAGACTTTTTAAAATAAAAATATACGCTTTATTATTGTAATGACTTCAATAATGCATTAGACATGACGCTGTATATCTTGGAACATCCATCAATACAATTTTCGACCGCTTTGGATGTAACGATACTATCTGATTGGCCTACTTGGAGCATATAAGTTACTTCATTGAGGGAAGGCATATACGATAACACTAATGAGCCGTCCTTTTGACTTTCTTCTTCCTCTGTACCGTCCATCAGGATATGATCGTTCACAAACACTGTAGAGCAAGCTGTCACAAGATCCAACATTTCAATACCGGCATCGGCTAGTGCCACACTGGAAGCAATGATGGCAGCTGCCAGACATGAACTCGTTCCGTCACTTTCGAGCACATTGATGTAAATGTCGAGGGCTGACTTTGGTAGCAGTTCAAGTCTGACGGCAGGTGATAATGCCTGAATCAATACTTGGGAATATTCTTTTGCTTCTGGGTCTCTTATAGCCGATCTTCTTTTAATGTTGGAAAATGGAGAAAACTTGAAGTCGCAATTAATAATGCCATTCTGTGAAAATGATGCTTTCTTGAGTTGTCGTGGTCCATATCTATTTATATGTAATTAGTTCCTCTTTTTCTCTCTTTTTGTATGCGTCTTAATTTACACTGCACATGCAACTTTTGTATTTCCTACTTCAATGTATGCCGAACCATTAGCTTGAGTAATAAGACCAGGCTTCAAAACTAAAACACTCTTAGACCATTTTCAAAAACGGATAAAAGAAATAAAACTTACAGATGGGTCTAATATCTTCTAATCCTCTTTTATCTAATCGCTTCTTTTGATCTAGTACTTTTGGTGTTGATTCCTTATTGCTTTTATAAATAGGTGCTACGCTTAATTCAGGTCCAGTAACGCGTTTACGATCCATGTTTTCTTTAAATTATGAAATATACTGAAAAAAAAAAGAAAAGGAAAAAAGGTCGACCCTTTTTTTTTGCTGTCACAAAATTAAGGCAGCTGTTGCATTTAAAGCATATTTTAGTTCTTCTCAAGAGTAAAATAGAAAAAAAGGACACTTTATGAAACTGGTAAGAAAAGAGAATGGTATAAATAAATGCACTTACAACTAGCTGACAGCAATCCATAAAGAATTAGTATTATACATTATTGACAGCAAAAGAGACAAAGAAAAAAACTTAATTTTCCTCTAATTATACTAAAGTGCCAAATGGTGTATCATCTTTAATATGTTTTTCATCAAAACAAACAAAACTAGAGTAGGTGCTTGCTCCAAGCCAGTTGTTACGCTAAATCCAAAGCAAGGGCCCAGCCACGTTTTTTTTATTGTTCTGTCAAACTTTACCCTTATGGTTCCTATCATAACTTACCAGCACGATCTACCTCTTTCGATGAAGCATCAAGTTGAATAGCAACAAGAGAGCTTAAAAGGAGACATCAGATCATCCAAAGCTCGTCATTTTTAGCCTTTTACCAAATGTTTATCTTTTCGTGTTACATATTGTTGATTGGATAAACAAGGCTACTTGTATCACCTTCTTCTTTACCATGCCAACCGTATCCTGGATATAAAATAAACAGCACCATTCGGAGTTACTGTCAAATATCATATGAAAAATAAAAAGTAGAAAGAGACCCCCTTGTTAGACACAAAGGAATGTTGTTAATAAAGAAAGAAAAAGATATAAACGAATCATAACTTGATCAATTAAGGTTCGCATTTACGTCACAGTGAACTGGCATTCAAATATAAAAATTCAAATCATCTAAAAAAATTCTTTTCCTTCTTTTTTCTTTATTTATAAAAATAAACAAACCATGTCTGAATACGCGTCAAACGAAGTCATCAAGACAGCCATTGATACCGTTGTTGGTTCAAGAGCTGTCGATGTCTATGCTTACTTTGAAAGTCAAAAGACCACAGTTGTCGAAGAAAAGAAGGAGTGTGTCAAGAAGGAAGAAAGCCAGGTGTCTCCTGCCAAGGCTGATCTAAAGGAAGCCATAGAATACGCAGTCCAAGCTGTTGTTGGCGCTCGTGTTATCGATATCTACAGCTGTATTCAAAAGCCTGTTAATAAAACAATCGCTGAAGGTGCCAAGGAGATCAAGGAAAATATGGTCGAGAAGGTATCTAAAGCTAAGGAGAATGTTGCTCAAACTATATCTGAGGTAAAGGAAGAGGCAAAGGAAAAGGTGGATGATGCCCAACAAAAGGCTGAAAAAGTCAAGGAACAAGCCGTTGAAGCCAAGGATGACGCTGTGAAAGAAGTCACTGAGATCAAACATGACGTCGCTGAAAAGACAACTGAGATTAAGCAAGATATTGTTGAACAAGTCAACGACCTCAAGGAACGAGCTGAAGTAGAAGAAACAGCTGAAGCTAAGGAAGACGTAGTTGAAGAAATCAAAGAAACCGTGCCTGAGGTCTGTCCTGCTGCTGTCGATCAAGTCAAGGAAGAGGCTGTAGATGCAAAGGAAGATGTCATTGAAGAGATCAAGGAGACCGTTCCTCCAGTTGAACCCGTCCAAGAAGAATCCAAGGATCGCGGAGTGACTGAGGCCAAGGAAGAAGTCGTTGAAGAAGTCGTTGAAGAAATCAAGGAAACTGTTCCTGAAGTTACTCCTGTCAAGACTGCTGAGGAACAAAAGGAAGAGACTGCTGAAGCTCACCATGAATTGATTGAAGAAATCAAGGAAAGTGTATCCGAAGTACCTCCTGCTGCAGTCGATGAAACTAGAGATGAAGCAATTGATGCTAAGCATGAAGTTGTTGAAGAAATTCATCAAGTTGTGCCTGAAGCCGCTCCCGTGGTTGAAAATGAACAAAAACAAGTCGACTTGAAGCACGCTGTTGACCATGCTGTTCGTTCTGTTGTCAATGCTAACTCTGTCAATGTATATGAATACTTGGAAAAATCAACATCAACAACAACAACCACTACTGAAGAAAAGACTACTGTTACTTCAACTGCTCAAGAAATCAAGGAACATGCTCAAAACTTGGCTACCGCCGTTCAATCCGCTATTAAAGATAAAGATACCACTGGAGTGAAAGAAGAGGCTTCCAAGTTGACCGAATCTGTCAAGGTTGCTGCTACTGCGGCTGGTGCTGCTGTTAGTACCGGTGCTGCCTCTCTTGTGTCATCCAGCACAGCTGAAGATGTCAAGTCCAAGGCAACTGATATTGCTGCTGCAACTCAAGCCGAGGTGAAACAATCTGTGGAGGAAAGCAAAGATCGTGTGGCTGATGATGTGAAACAAGTGAAGTCAGTCAAGGAAGATGTTCAATCCGTTTCAAGCAATGCAAAGGAAACAGTTGCTACAAAGGTAGATGACGTCAAGGCTAATGTGAGTGAACAGACAGCTGTGAAGAGCGAGCAAGCAAAGAGTACAGTCGAGCAAGTAACCGAAACTGTCAAGACGACGGTGACCAGTACTGTAAGTGCAGCCCAACAAGCAGCATCCCAAGTACAAGAACAAGTTCAACACTATGCTGAAGAAGTCAAGGCTATGCCAGCTACACAAAAGGTGCTAAATACTGTATCAAAGCCTGAACCTGCTTTAGCTTCTTCTCATCAAGACCCTGTTGCTCCTGTTCCTACTGCTCCAGAGATCACACCTTCCACAGCACCTGCACCTACTGCTACATCCTCTTCTGAAAGCAAATCAGCCAAATCAGAAAAGAAGGGCACCAGCTGTACTATTATGTAAAGAATGATATTATTTTATTAAATATTGATTTATATTTATGTATTTTTGTATCTTTGAGATAAATTAACTGTCTTTGACTTTATTCATTCAAGTCTTTAACGACTCATTTGAGGCTGAAAATAGCAATGTCGTCATAGGATCTTTATGCGTAGTTTTAATTATTGCCAAGACTGGTATTCATTAAATAATGATTGGTTATGAGTGTTGTTCCTTTTATTTACATAATAATGTTTATTATTGTCATAAAGAATCTATGATACAGTTTTTTCTTGAAGTAATGTCGCATAATTCGAAAATTTATGATATAAAATATACAAAATACGATATCTTGGAACAGCATTACTTTCTGGAAATAGTGTACAGTGCTCCCAAGAAGCAATATTGCAGCCAATCAAAATTGAGGTCACAAAAACAACGCCGCTGGCCAATCAAAGCCTTGTTAACCTTGTTAAGAAGGTGTTTAAGCCAAAGGTACTGGCACACAGAAATATAAAGATAGGGAGTCTGAAGTCGAAGAATAAGAATGAATGTCAAATGTATCATGAATAAGATCATTTTTTCTTCCCTATTTTGTTTTTTTGGATAGTTGGCATTATCTATCCTTTTACACTTGTTAGTCTTTAAATACTCGTTAGTGGGTAAAGCTCTTGGTATAATCCAAGCTTGACAAGTCTGGCTAAAAGCAGCGTGTATGGTGTAGAAGGCCGCTCGTTTTGAGAATCCTACTAACTTCCCTTTCTTTTTTTCACTCATCTCTTTTTCTTGTCTTCTGGTTTTTCTCTCTTTTTGTCATTTTATTCAGAACAACTGATCTAAAATACATACTTCTAGTGGCAGCCTTTTTAATAAAGCTAAATAAGAAGCATATTTACTCTAAGTTAAACCTTTACATCTACATCTGAACAAGTAACAAACCCGCACTATATTCTTTGAATAAAAGGATGACTGCGTTGGGTTACATAGCGGTTAAGCTAACTCAGATTTTAAATTTTCTTTTACAACTGACTCTTACAATGTCATCAACATCGTTGAAAAGATGAGGTTGTCAATGCAACGTTCATCATTCTAACAACTTTCTGGTTTATCTGATGTTTATAAGCGGCGTAGGTATTTTATTTTTGATCAGTTGGCAAGCTTAAAAATTACGCTGATTCAAGTTACGCTTTTATTTTCGTGCATTTGCCTTGGTTATTCATACTTTTCAATGGTATACTCATAGTAATAAGGAAATAGACAGAAAAGGAAAGAAATATCAGGGTAGGATGGTCGGCGACTTGGATAAAATTGTGCAGACATATTCTTCCTCGGTTATATCGATAGATCCACTGCTTTCAACACGCAATTCATCAATGATCATCGTTTGCTCCTCAAGCATGGTCGTCAATAAAGCAAGAAGTTCAAAAACCTTGTACCACATAATCCAGTCATTAGGGGACGCTGGTAATTCGGCATAGCGGTGCTGTTGAACAATATACTTTCCAGGACTGTCAGGATCCAGACGGGTAGTTGAAAGTGTTAAGGTCGTACAAATGAGTTGCAGTGAAAATGCACGAATTTTTGTCATTGTGGTGAAGCGGGCATGATGATTTCGTCTGATCACTGCTTCCAGCAACGCAATGGAATTATGCATGTTTTTGATAGTGTCGTTCAACGTGTGGTCCATTTTTTCTGCTGTTGGACTGCTTGAAGATTCTATCACAATTTTGCTTCGCCCTTTCCGATCGTATCCAAGACCATCAAGATATCGAACATTTCCATGGACCCAGCATTCAGGTGCAGTGCTGGACTCCAACTGCTCATCTGCAACCGTCTCACACCATTCGAAGCCAACAAAACCGGTCTGATCACCAAGCGTTTGGAGCAAAGGAACTACACGATCAATCCAAAATGTACGTTCCCCTTTACTTGTGTATTCAACTGGGCAATTGCATTTGTTGGCATAGTCGGTCAATATAAATTGGGCGATGCGGGTAAATTGGGTTTCGATGGAGGACATGGTTGATGGCAATTGATATGTCCACAAACCATATGGTAATTCTTTGTACGGTTTCTGAAGTACTGATTGAAGTAGCTGATACACATTTCGGAATTACTTCAGGGTTTTCAGACACTGCTGATCGAATTCTTCTGCATCAAGTATTTTTTTCGATGCCTCAGAGAGAAATGAATTGTCTGGCATAATGATCGTCATAATATCCTTGAGCTTGTCGATTAAATCCGCCGTGATTTTTGGTAAATTGGGAACAAATTGTCTGTCAGAAGCCGCGAAGGTATAAAAATGTCGTTCTCCAGGGATAAAGACAATTTTTCCTTTTTTGACTGGTCCTGGAGTACTCTCGCCATGATCAAAGAATCGCTTGCGAAGATGAACGTCCTCAACATGATTTTTTAAATTGCTTTTCTGCTCACAGTAAAATAAGCAAGAAGGACAGGCAAGTTGTTGTTTGACATTGTCATGTTGAGTCCCCGGTCCATAGTAACAAATGTGATGTTGTCGGTGCGTTTGTACTTAAGGCCGGTTTTACGTGGCGGAACCGTAATATCATGCAGTGCTTGGAGATGATAACGCAATCTTTGGGGTGTTGAAAATGCGTCGTTGCATACAAAGCAATTGTTGACTAGTGTAATGAGTTGAGCTGTCATACTACCGAAATATTGATATAATGAGCTTGATATAGCGAAAGTACAAAATTTCAGTTGAGTGAGAAACTAAAAGGGAAAAAACGCGGCTGTGCGAAGTTTGGGAACTTCGCGTTTTCTGTTCGGCTATAAAAACAATTATTAAAAACGCGTACAGCGAAATTTTTGTAAAGCTTATCATGGTAAATCTTGTCACGGTCTATAAAAGACGATCTTTAGGACAAAACTACCATAACAAAAAAACTTTTGAGCAAAATCCAAGGAGGCTTTCTGTGAAGGTTAACAAGGCTAACAAGGCTTTGATTGGCTGCGACACTGCTTCTTGGAAACACTGTACAGTCATTTCGGTGAAGATCATAGTTACAACCTTGGTTATAGGTGGAACCCTAGCAAACGTGTAGGTTTAAACCATACAGATCAACCGCTTAATTACTATCTGTTTCCGACTAGAACCTCCTTTTCTTCTTGGGGCTCCTTTTCATCCCGGAGGTTATCTAAGTACATCCATGCTTCTTACTAACAATATAAACAAATCACTGACCATGAATCAATTAGCTATGATTGAATTTAACCCCAATGATTTCAGCCGACTGCTTTCTACTCGTTTTTACAAACAAATAGTCCGATCTCAATTAGAGTATTGTCTTGCTATTAGTAAGGTTAGCTCTCTCTTGCTTGACAAACTGGAAGACGCCCAAGATACGTGCCTACGCAGAATATTTGGTAGTTCTTGGAGATCTTCTATAAAAGTAATGCTATAACTGACGAAGTTGTCGACTATGACAGAGCGTACCTATATACTACAAGCGCAATTCCTCTTACGATCTTTATCATTGCCAGATGATGCGCTTCTGAATTACTTACTTCCACATATACATCTCTCTATAAGTCATTCACAGTGGTATACTATATCAAAAACGCCAATATGGAAGTATTGTGCGCAGTACACAGATATCCTAGATAAACGATTATTAAAGAAGATACGTCTGCAATTCCTGGAAGACAACTTAGAACAGCGGCGTACTGCACGCAACTCAAATCTGCTCTCACTGTGTCGCCCAACAATCTCTTTGGATCCAATCCTTTGGTTACCCATGACAAGGCTACAAAGAAATCGATACATACGGTGGCGTCTTGGTTGGCTACCCAGTTATAACGCTACTCGCTGCTTTCGATACACTTCACAGCTCCTTACAAAACATGCCATCTATTGCCTCGACATGCATCACCGTCTGCAAATACCGAAGTCTATAACTGATCCTCTGTCCCTCCTTTTAAATAAGCTTCCCACTCGAAAGCCACGCTCCTTTCAAACAAGATCGTTTTGGACTATCAAATGGCCCATAATCTGCGCTATCTTACATGAGCTTGATCACCTATACCATGAAAAAGAGCCACTATCACCATCTGACCCAGGGCAGAAACTGCTTAAATGGTTATGTAATTCTTCATAGTAGCCTTTTAACACCTGTTCCGTGAATCTGTCAGCCAAAGCATTTTTGCCCTCGAGCCCAGAGGGATTTTTAGATACTGCCTCACAACTTGAACTGGCCAGGGCAAAAACGATATAATAAAAATATCACGTGCCTCTTATGGCCTTTATATTTTATAAATAAATAAATAAAATTGTTTAATCGTAGATTCTCCAAAAAGATAGAATTGGGTTTAATAAATATATACACATATAAAAGTCATATTAGTAATTATAATCTTGATTGAGGTCTTCTTGTCTTGACACGCTTTTGTCTCTTTAAGGTACATTGTTCATTGAATGAGATGATAGATAGTCGATTGTTATTATTGCTGTCAAATAGATCAAAATATTCTTGAAACCTTGAATTCATGGAAAAGAATGTATTAAAAAAAAGTGTAGAAGCATTGATATTTTATATTGACATCATTTTCAAACTCAACTAAGTTACCAATCCACCTGTCAAGTTATGGTGCCTGTCCATTTTGTAGACTCATTATTGGTAGAGGAAATAAATAAGAACCTTACCATTTTGGAGGGTGTAGAATAAAGGACATTACGTTTTGCATTTGAAACTAGCAATGATTGGTGGAACATTACGTATGACAGAAGGAGGAGATACTAATCAGTAATCACCTGATGTCTAGTGCCTGTGGTGACATGGATAATGGTTGACCTCGGCACCTTGAGTCTTGTGCTTTCTTTTAATTTTGCTGCTTTTTGAACTCTTTACTTGTTTGCTGATACTTTAAAATCATGGACGTGAGTAGAAAGTATAATAAAAGCAGAAAAACAAGTGCCCTGTAACATTTAAGGGGTCTTTGGTGACATATTTTTAAAGTAATTTATCAAGATATGCCTGAGGTAAGGAAAAAGCCGGCAAAATGTGAAAGAATCATCTGGTTCTTTGGCCTTTGTCTACCTGAACCTAGAGATTTTTTTCTTCCTTTGGTGCTTGACACAGACTGTCACTTCAATTAAAAATCACAACCAAAGTGTACAAATGAAACGCCTCTTTCAGTATGTTTAATTATACGAAGAGAGTTATTGCATATTGGTGTAGAATTATAAAAGGTTTTCTTGTTGCTAGATAAACCTTGTAAGAAAACACGCGAAAATACAATAATAAAAGGAGAGACAGAGAGAGTGAACGTTCAAAAAAAAGGAGGGACTGCCGTAACATTTATTTCTCTGTTGGTGACTTAAATTTTCGAGCTTTTCTTTCTCTCGCACTTTTTTGCATAGACAATAAACAGATTAATAGAATGCCCAAAGCAGTTTTGTGCGTAATTCACAATAAAAAAAGAGATAAAGACTAACATATCCTTCTTTAGATATCCATTAGGTATTTAATTATCAACGTTCTTATTCATACATATAACAAACAAAAACAAACACACTTGTAGAAAACTATACACTCGCCACAAAAGAGCCACAACCTGAAGAGGATCCTTCAGTTTCAGCACGACTTCGACGACTAGAATCAGATTATAACCAGCACGGCATGAGACGATCTGTAGAAGCAGTATTGGTTGTTCATCAACATAATCATCCTCATGTTCTCATGTTACAAATTGCCAATTCATTTTTTAAACTGTAAGCTACTATTTACGCGCACAATTATCAGCTCAAACTAACCGATAAAGGCCCGGACACTACCTGGAACCAGGAGTAGATGAAGTGGAAGGACTAAAAGAAATTTTAAATAAGAGACTTGGACCTGAAGATCCTTCAGAATGGGACAGCAAGAATGATTGGACAATTGGTGAATGTCTATCAACTTGGTGGAGACCAAATTATGAAAACTATATGGCAAGTTGTCTGTTATTCTTATAAATAATATTAACCCCTTTTCTTTTTTGTTTATAGTATCCATATATCCCAGCTCATGTTACCAGTCCAAAAGAAAAAAAATCGCTCTATATAGTACATCTTCCACCAAGCAGTAAGCCCCCTCTTCTTTCTCAACATGTGTATATTTACTCTTTTTTATATGTATTAGAAGTACTCTCTGTGCCTAAAAATATGAAATTATTAGCAGTACCCTTGTTTGAACTTTACGATAATTCGGCGCGTTATGGAGCACAACTGTCGACTATAGCACATTTGTTAAGTAGATACGAGTTTATATATGAAAAACAATAAGCGTCTTTGCCCCCTCATCATCATACCATTGCTCACAATACAAAATAATATATATTTTTGATTCATATAAAAGGAGGACGAAAAGAAAGAGACTGCTTGATGTTACAAATGCTTACATACTTTAAGCAGCTTGAAGTAAAATAGTGATCCTGAATCTAACTTTTCATTTTATACTTTAATCATTTTTGTGCCTTGAGTAGCTTGTAGTTATTTTGACTTTAACAAAGCAATAAAACCAGCTGCACCAAGCACCTATCTTGGATAAATATGCTTGACTGTTATAGCTGTTTTAAGGAATAGATTGTGCTAATCAGCAATATATATATATCATTTTATCATTAAAAGAGAGATTTAAAGGAACAATCATTCTATAGTAAAATGCTTGCTAAAACATAAATAAAAGTCAGGCTTTAACGTTTCCTCCAAAACGTCAAGGCGAGGCTGAAAAAGAGGAACTTAGTTCAACTACTAATTTGTCAGTTAGTGCTACACACAGATTACCAGGGATTTGCTGAAGCCGAACAACCAGTATGCACACCTCTCAGTGTGTACCAACTTTTTATGGTAAATTCACTTAATGTTTATTATTAACATCGTAGACAAAGATGAAACGCTCTTCTGTGAAGAGAAGCAGGAGCGAAAAAAACGAATAAAAAAGTAAAAAATTTAAACTGTATATGTTATATGATTTCTTTTTTTGTTTTTTGTTTTTAAAAGTTGATCGTGATGCGTACATATTATGTTATTGATACAAATCGCTGCATTTTATCTTTAATTCTTTCAAATCGTCATGCTTTAACATACTTTAGCATTGCGCCAACCCCAGTTAAACCTTTAAAAATGAAATATAAGCAATTATACCTGACCGCGGTAGGCTATCAGCCTATTCAATAGCCATTGATGAGCTTTCAGTTCAATGAGCAAATAAAACAGTCGATCATTGGCCAATTGCTCGGTCTCTGTGATCTATTCTGATAATTTCAAGTCAAACATCTCACACTGTAATCGGTGTGACGTGTATTTTAATTTCAATTTCAGACACAAGGCATGTTTCCCCCAATCAAGGCTATGAAAAAGTTCTTTACTGTTGAATACAAAAAGAAATGTCAGGTACTTGAAAATCTGAATTAAACCTACTGTACGATTAAACACTGAACCTTAGACGGAACAGCCTCTCAAAAGGATATGGCAAAGTCCAGAATTCCACTTGAATACCGTGATTATTGTGCTCAATTGTTGATCCCCCTTAATAAATGTAGAGGCGAAACCTTTTACCTTCCTTGGAAATGTGGAAACGAACGTCATGCTTATGAAAAGTGTCAATATGAAGAGTAAAGTATACTCAATTGCAATCACATACAAAAACTAATCTCTGTTTTTTTTTTTTTTAGTTTTAAGCGTCGTATGAAAGAACAACAAGCTAAAGCCTTGGAAGAATAAAATCTACGCCAACATTCGATATATAACTTAAAACTCACAGCAAAAGTGTATTGTTCACTTTTTTTTCTTCTTCATATATAAAAAAGACCCTGCAATTAGATATCTTTATTCTCTTTTTGTGTCCATATTTATGTTGTTTATACAGAAGGAGGAGGAGGAGGAAGGGAAGCATGATAGATATGGTTCATAAGAGACTCCAGATAATTTTCAGCAAATGAAGACATGTAGAATTCGTGTTCAGAGCTATGATCTGCAACAAAGTTATGGGCAAGTTCATGACATATGGTCATAAACCAATAGATCAACGCTTCTTTCCTTTTCACTGCTTCATCTTCTGTTTGAGATTCATGAAGTGCTAAATAGTACCTCAAGTTCATAAACAGACTTCCACTCAGATTGAAAGCAATTGTTGGACCTTCCTTGTCATAAAAGATTTGGATTGTCGCTAACTGCAGTCCAAACACCTTGGAGAGATCATTGAGAATGCTCGTGAACTTGGCCATAGCCTGTCCATATTGTTCGAGCACGTCATCTCCTTGGATCGTTCTGTGCACATAAAACTCCATACCCATGACATTACCAACATAGGTCAAATTGTGTCCAGGCGTGGCATCACAGTACTGCCTTGACTCGTTCACTTGGTTGATTCGAGGAGGAGTGAAAACACCTTGTCCTGTGTATGGCCTGCACGAATGAATGGCTCGCTTTAGGTTTTGTCGAATATTATCTGTGTAATTTGGAGTAATCGTTGTCTCTGACGGTGGTAATTTAGGTTGCTTAGGTTCATGAGTTTCATTATTACCATTGTTTACGATCGATGATGACTCGGTAGCTGTCGTGGTTGATGGTGTTGAAGGAACCTGCTGCTGTCTCCATGACCACAGTCTGTTGATTAACCCTGTTGGTTTTTGTTCCGGTGCCTTGCTTATCGCTTGCTTTTGCTTTTCTCGATTTTCCTCCGTCGAAACCTTTTTGACTTGATGGGTCTTCTTTGGGTATGTTTCATGCAATAGGCGGTTCACCACATTCTGCACATGGTTATCATGTTGTTGGGAGAGCAGCTGTCGGATATACCCTTCTTGACAGTCGCCAAACACCTCTTGCACCTGCTTGGTATATTTATCTAATTCTTGTGGAGCTAATGGACGAGGCATGGATACTGGATTTGTATTGGATGTAATAGGTTTTACTGGTGAAGCTATCTGCTGCTTACGAATATTCAAGATACGATCAACAGGTACGCCTTTACGGCGCAGATGATGAAGGCTTGCCGTTAGGTATCGTTCAACAATGATTGCATCGTTAAACTGAACACGAGCAAACAATAAAACACACAAAGCATTGGCAACATCGTAATAGTCCATCTCTGATGCAGTCGACACATAGATGCCAAAATCAACTCTATCTGCACAAGCTGTTGTTGGTTGAACGTTCTTTTCTGAGGTATGTTTAAAGACGCGATTGATTTTTAGCTCCTGTGCTTGAATCACTTTGAGATGCTGTCGTACATACTGTTCATCATGTAACAGCTCTTTTCGTCGCTGAGGGTTATCGTTCATCATTTGATAGATGATGATGGGTGTACGCTCAAATATCATTTCAGTGATTTGTTTAGTTCTTTCGGTAACGCCCATTCTGTTGGTGTAAGAGTAAGTTTCCTTGATTTGCCTACAAATAAATCTTAGTAAGGTTTCTGTTTAAATTATATTAAACTTACGTTGATAGCAATTGACTGCCCAGCTGCTTATAAAAATCTTCCAATAATGGCTCCATTGGCGCTGATAAGGGAGAAAAGATTTGATGACACATTGTATCATCGATAATAAAGATATCCGAAGCTTTAGCTAGTCTATATTGAACGAACTCTCCATCTGATGTATTTTCTTCATTCAACTGTTCTTGCTGTTGTTGCTCAGATAAAGTCATCTTTTTGATACCCACCAGAAAAGGCTTCGTCCTCATTTCATGCAGCAACTGTCTATTGGACCGAATGAGATAAAATTGCCCTGCGATTTGACGAAGTGCACCCAAGTATCTTTCGCCTCCACTGCTCAAGTCCCAGAACCTTTGAGGATCCTTTACGATCATAGAAGCGAGTTCTACCGTATTTGGCTCATCTTTGACTCCACAGGATCTCAAAAACGAGTTTCCTAAAGTACCAAAGTTGACGAAAAGAAACAGCTCCTTGTGAAAACTTGTAGAGTCATCCGATTCGAAGTAACAATGATATGGTTCCTTCAGAATGTTCACACCGTTTGCGACGACAGGAATGAAGGCTGTCTCTCGTAGCAGCTGCCAATGTGTTCTCGAGAGCTCACCGGATCGACTGGCCATATACTCAAACCTTCTTTTCGCTTTATCATGGTCCTTTTCAATATTTGATAAAAACGCTTCAACCAACCGAGGGGCTGGTGGGTTCTCGCGTACGCCGAGTTTGTCGCGCATGGGTATAAGGTCAGAATGAAGTGTTTGGAAACCAAGGAGCTGAACGTCGGGATTGGTAAAACAATCACGAGGTGCCGAATATGTCTTTCCATCCGAGCAAGGTAAAAATTTGATATCGATCGTGTTCGCATCATATTTTTCTTGATAATCCTTGTAGTGTTCAATAAAATACGAAAGGGCTGTCTTTTGGATCTTTTTTTTCTCTTCTGTCATCGTTTCGGCAGGAGCAGCCAAGGTCAGTAAGATTTGAAGGGGCGGAGAGGTATTCAAACCAAGCTTGTCCACAAGAAACTTGGCCTCATCACTTGAAGGTCTCCAGCGTGGGGTCCAGAAGATAACAGGCAAATTCAAGTTTTTAGCAACCTCTGTAGGACTATAGAGGTCTGCTGCCTTGTAGCGCTTGTATATCTTCTTTTCATGTATTTCCAGCACAATAGGTTCAGATTCACTTGCTTTTGGTCGAGGCTTCTTCACAGTCTTGATTCGAGGTTCTTCTCCTTCTTTAGTGAAGATAGTCGTACCTCGAAGTCTGCGAACTTCCACATCAGTTAATGTAGACTGGACAGAAGTGAGATATTTTACTAAATCAACATGCGACCAACTTCCTTCAGACAAAAGTCTATCAAAGACCATTTGTAGCTCTACGTGCTAAGCGTACGAGATAAAATAAGAACATATAGTCTTTCTTATACCCCATGCATCCCCTCTTACCTTTCGAACACCAAGAGAAGTTAAAAAGGTATCACTGACGCTTCGAGTATTACTAAATTGAATTGTCGGCAGATCATCAAACAGGTTGACGTTTGGAAAATAAGCTTCCTCCGGCAGTTTCATACCAAACTTGGTCGGGATGCATGTTTTCAATTTCAACAGTTGAACAATTTCGCTTTCAGATTTAGATGATATGTTTCCAAAGCTTTTGGATATAATTCCAAGTACTCGTTCAGAAAACGAGCTAGAAGTTTGCAGCTCAGGCTTGGATTGAGATATATATTGCACCCAGTACACTATCGATAGTTCTTTCATGTCTCCGAAATAAGAAGCTAGTTCATTTGCACTAAAGTGTTTGGATACAGAAAATGGCATCACATCAGAAGGAACATCCATATCAAGAGGAATGATCTTGGGATTCTGCCAGTACTTTGCTCTTGACAGCTGTATTAGCCCTCTCTGTTTTCCACAGTCCATAACGGCAGCACCAAGAAATTGAGCACGTGTCTTTTCGTTGATATTGTTTCGAGTTGTGGCTGGGATAGCAGTGTTGCCGACATTACACTCAATCCACCACTTCATACATGCAATCATTTCATCCGTTGTTAAGGAACGTGAATCGAGCTCCTTCAAGACATCATTCAATCCAAGAGGCTGTAGCAGTCCATGGTCCGTTAGCTTTTTCATACCTTCCTTACATTCTTCATAAACAATAGATGTAATCGTAGGGATTGTCTTTATGAATTTGTCTAATAGCTGTGTGATATTGTGTCCAGTTAAGCTCATAGTATCAGGCACAGTTCTGGCAATGGTGATAGGTTGTATACCGTGAGAAGTCATGATGTTCAAAGGCACCTTGCATGATTGAAAGAACCAACTCTCGTGTACTTTGCCGACAATAGAACTTGGAGTAGAGTGTTGAAATGTAAAGGATCTCAAAGCATGGGCTGCTCTTCTCTCCAGCATGTTCTTTGCACTATCCATACCTTCAACGATTGTTTTGTCCACTTGCTGCTGAGACCCTACAAGCTCTCTATAAAGTCGAACAATCTGTTCCATTTCATCATTATAAACCAGTCGAGCCAAGAGACCACCGACTGCGAGTAATTCTTTATTCCATATGCTGATATATCTGTCTGCGAAATCAATGCTTTCTCTTTCCACAGTGGGTATAAACCGGGATGCCATATGACAGCAGCAACCGGTAGTTTGATGTGTAGGAAAGCCAATGAAGACACATCCTTGGTTAGGAAATGGGATCAGATTTTTATAGATATCAAGGTTGTTCTCAGACGCATCCAGCTCTTCTCTACCAGTGTATACTAGCTGGAACTTTGTCGTCTTTGGCGGCTTCTTTTTGGTGGCACGCTCCATTTCCTTCTCATAATCCCTTGACACGTGAACTTGTAAGGACGCGGTCACTACACGTAAAAAGATACTACCCTTCTCTACAGGCAGTGTGTTGCCGTTCTCCTTTCGCATGCCCAAAAGGCCAGCAAGTGGCTGAAGAAGGAGGCTAGGCGGGGTATATTTTTCTGAGTCTAGTTGGATCTGTCTCGTGTCTGCACCCGTGATCGTAAACATACGCTGAGGTGTGTTCAGAATCATTTGACGGGTATCGATTGCCATTGCCCTAGGTTCTGCCACTCTCTTTTTAATACTGAATATTTGTTGATCATCAAAGAATACAGTGACCTCCCTCAAATTGGCTGTGAATCCCATACTTGTTGTCAAGAATTTACAAAAATTGTCAAAGTCAGGCATTTCCATTGGCTCTCGAAGATCCATTAGAAAAGATGTCCAGGAGTCTATATCTTTCTCAGGCACATCGGCTCTCTTTGCAAACAGCTGATCTCCTTTAAAATAAAACGCCATACATTGTGATCCTGAAAACACGCTAAAAGCAAGAGTTAATACAAAGACGATCTTGTGTATCTTGTGCTTACAATGGATTCTCACAAACGGAGAAAAGAGAGTAAAATCCAACACCAAAGGCACCAATCTTTTGTTCATCTATCATATACGTTTTGATACAGTTCCAAGACTAATGCTACACCTTTTTTTACCTGGATTTCCTTCCGCAATACGTTTCAATCGAATCCAATCCTCCTGTCGAAAGTGCATACCATTGTTTTTGAAAACAATCTTGTTACATTTGGTTGATAAGTTGATGGGTTTGTTGGGATCAGATGAACCTGTATAAAAGCATATTTGAACCGCGCTTGATGATGCATCGTCTTTCATATCAATAGGTTATAAATTGTTGTTGTTCATATTATTATTATTACCAGCATTTTGCATAAGCTCTCTATATAATACATATTCTGCTGAATATCTTGCCAATATCTTATCAATAAGGTGTCTTTGATTGACTGCGGATATAAGTTAGGTATGCATATAAACGAGCTTAATTTACAATCACCTTCAACTTTCTCTTCCACTCCGCCACTGTCCATGACGTTGGAACGTAATGCTTCCAGTCGATTTTCAAATTTTGTCGTCATTGACAATAGATGATCTATAAAGAAATAAAGAAATAAAAAAGGGGAATAGAGAGGCAAAGAGAGAATTTGAACGCTGACCTGAAACCTAAAGTATCACTAAATGCACACCTTTGAACTGCGCATAAAGACAGCTAGAAAGGACTACAGTCGGCAGTAATCTTTTCATTACATCTTTTTGCGCAGATCAGTTCAGAGATGATAATAAGTGTCTACATATGATCTTGCCAGAACTAGATTAATTAATCTACCTTCGTTTCTATGAGTTTGTTTTGACATAAAAGCTATGTATTGATCGAAGGAATATTGATAGGCAGGTCTATCACAAAATATAAGAATGCGGTCTTGTATTGCATTAAAGAATAAGCAGTACTAGAATTATGTATTTATTTATAAAATATTAATATTGATAGGAAGGATAAAATATGATAGATGTGGGGTCCATAGAAGATGCATCATTGAGGCCAAAGAAATCTGAGCCACTCGGTCTATTAGGATCCAATAAGAACATGGCGATATTAAAGATGATACCGGCGAGGATCAGAAGCAGCCAAAAGATAATAGGCAATGCCTCTTTCAATTGACTGAAAAACACATTCTCTTTCTTCATTTCTGCAGCAGATCTTGCAGAAGTGCCCCATCCTACGTCCCAGAGAGAGATAATTGCCCAAAGCTTGGCAGGAACAAGACCAAACATGTAATAGAGGGAGTAAATCGGGAAACCAATGAATCGAGGTGAAAGTGCAACAATGGTAGAGTATACCGTCTTGATACAGGCAATGGCAGCAAGAGAAATTAGCCAAACGACGAGAACCAAGGGTGTTTTGGAAAACAAGATTTGGAAAATGGAAAACAGGAGCACGAAGGGATAGATACCTTGATAAAAGAGTTCAGCGGCCATCCATGGACTGTGCTTATGAATGCTTCTTGCATTCCAAAAGAGTTCTCGGTAAAAGCTCTTGGACCATCGCGTCTGTTGTTTGAACCAGCGAAGAAATGAAGTTGGGGTTTCAGTTTCACAAAATGCCAAGTGTGTATAGACCACCTTGTGACCTTTTAACAGCGTTTGGTTTGTAAGGTGTCTAAATAGAATGTCAGACTATAGTGTTAGTTTTATATATGCTTTTTTTTTTACCTGTCATCACCATAGGTGCACTCCATGCCCAAAAAGGACTGAGAAATCCACTCTTCCAAAATCTCACGTAATACGTGTGTTCGATAGACACCCATAGGGCCAGAGACACAGGTAACACATCGGTTGAAGCTTTGAGCTGCTCTTTCAATATTAAATGCCATCCAGTATCGAAGAGAAGACATGTAAGAGAGCAGATTATCTTTACTATTCCATATTCTGACATCACCAGCAGCTGCACCGATATTCGGAAACCAATGCAAGGCTTTCTCCATTTCAATCATTGCGTTAGGATCAAACCGAGTATCTGAGTCAGTAGACATGATAGCTTCACAGCCAGCGGCCATAAGAACGCGGAAGGCAGTGTACATGGCATGTCGTTTACCTTTGTGAGGCTGGAGGTAGCAAACGGCTTGTGTTTCAGTAGGCAAAATGAGTTGATCTCGAATGATCATGTCAAAATCTACAAGAGCAGATTCTTTCAAACTTTGATTCTTTTCATGAGCTGTATCGTTACTACTACTGCTACTACTACTTGCAATACGGCTTGTCGCTTCCGTGATCTCTTTTTTCAATCGTTGGAAAGAAAGTGATAAAAGTTCTGGCAAGACAACAATGGAACCATCAGGAAAGATCTTTTGAAAGACAGCAGCCATTTCCTTGTCTTCGGAAGCATCACCATCAATGACCACAATGATCTTGAATGGCTCAGGATAGCTGAGGTTCTTGACAGATTCAAGGCATTGTGTGAATAAGCCAGGTTCTTCTCGGTAGCCTACGACAGCGAGACCCATCTTGGTAGCAAGTCGAGGTATGTCTTGTCCTCTTTCCAAGTCATTGCTGTGACAAGGCAATGGATCCGCCTTTTCATCCTCATGCTCTAGTTTCACTTTCGGGATAGGCTCTGGAAGTCGCTTGTTGTAGTAGTGAACCAAGATGCGATTCAGTGTGGCAAAAGCAAGCTGTAGTCCGATGAAGCAAAAGACTACAGTGCCATAAACACCAAGAACCCAAAAAGACTTGCGGGTCACTTTAACCTTTAGTGCATAACCTACCAAAGCAGGAGCAACAAAGAAGCATGAGACGGCAATAGAGTATAATAGCTTCAAAGGAAGTGTCCAATGAATTGTATTTGGCATATGAGTGTGAATGGTATTAACTTGTTTTTTTATAAGTCAGGAGAGCAGCTGTTAAATGATGAATAATGTAATTGTGCTTATAGATGTCGTTGTCAATACAAAGAAATGGAGAAAAAAAAAAGAGAAAGAGAAAAAGGAAATGAGAACAAGAGGTTAAAGGACAAACCCTGCCATTAGTTGTTGTTTTTTCTTCTTTTTTTTTTAAGCATTCATACTAATGCAATTGATTGTTTGAACATCTTTTTATAAATAATTAAAGAGTACCCTTCCATTTCTCATCTTTTATGTATTCTTTTTTTTTTTTTTGCCCTCTTGCCCTGTTTCAAAGTAATATAGTGAAGGAAAGTCTTGATTTATGCAGACATGCATTCAGATCCAATTAAGCCTCCGCTTATAAGCACAAAGCTGTCATTTTTAAATACTTGACGTCAATTAAAAAAAAAAACTCATTTAAGCATTTTCTTTTGTTAAAGGTGTTTATTTTATATGAAATACAACAAGCGAATCATTTCGAGAGTAAAGAGTCTGTTAATAATGTGTTTCTTTAGACGCAGATGAAATAAAGTGCACGACTAGATACTTTTTATGTTCATTGGATATAACTCCCTCCCATTCTTTTTTACTTGTATTTCCAATTTTCTCTGATATACGCTCTACTTTCCAAATCAGCCATACGAATCGGTTCTGGTATCCTATACCGAGGAGACACAGCCAAAACGATCTTGACCGCCGTTTCTAAAGATACCCGATGACCTTGACTGACAAACACAGGGTTCTTGCTTCCTGTTCTCAATGCTGTCCCATACAAAATACCTGATGTCTCGCCTATCAAATCTAAACGGTCGCCTCTTTTCCATAATGTCTCGTGGCATGTGGCCTTTATCTTGTTCACATCATCTAAATCGCCACGAATCATCAAAAAGTTCTTTGCTACGCCGATTGTAGGCGTATCGGATACTACGCCCAAGTGACAAGCAATACCAAACTGACGAGGATGGAGCAGTCCATTTCCTTGGGTTGTTTAGGCTTTTTTTTTTTCTTACCGTCTATAAGAAGAATTTGAGGATAAATCTCTGGTTGGTTCGTTTTAAGTTCATTCAACAAATTCATTAAGGGATTCACTTCACGAAAGGCTAAATAGCCAGAGATATAAGGAAGATACAGTTTGGTTTCTAGAAACTTTTTATAAACAACCTTCAAGTATATTAATATATACAAAGTTGTATATAAAATATATTTACCTGAAGATCAGGAAATGTCATGACAACCAAACAAGCAACTGCATTTTCATGATCTCCAAGTGGAAAACTTAAATCGACTCCTCCTACATAATGTAGATTGTCCAAAGTAAAATCAAGTCTGTCTGTGAGTTCAAGTCTTTTGCGTAATTCCAATTGTTCGCTTTTAAAGTAAATAAGCAAACTATTTAATTTTTGAAAGACACTCTTTTTACTCGCTCCAAATACGTCTTTGTTCTACAGAAGGATCACTATCATACATTAATGAAAAAGAAAAAAGAGAAAAGAAAAGAGAGGCTACACAAAGAAAGATCAAATAAACAGATTGTTTATTCTTTATCATAAAATAATAATATTAAAAAAAAGAGAGAGACATAGGAACTGTATACATGCGTTAAATAAGAATACGAAATAGAGAAAGAGATGGAGAGGGGAAGATGTATAAATGAATTCATGTTGTCGTTTCTTTGTCAAGTGTGATTCTGCAAGGAGCTTTTTTAATTTACTATACACAAAGGTTTTCTTTTTTTATTTTGGGGCAGGCTTTATTTTCTGGCATTATTATTTCCTGTATTTACTCTTTTTCTTGGTGTTGCTGGTGATTTTATTTCGCTTGCTATGCTGTTTCTTTTACCTATATTATCTGTTGAATAACATAATAAATGAGTGAATATTTTAATTATTACGTGTCATTGGACTTGTTGTGGGTGTACTATTAAATTGATTGCTGTTATTAGTAGTGTTATTATTTGTGGGGTATGCGGGTTGGTAATGTGGTGTAGGAGGCTGTTGATGGAATTGTTGTTGAAAAGCTGCAGCTGCTTGAAGTTGCTGCTGCCTTAATTGTTGTTGTTGCAAAGGCGTGAATGGTTGAGGTCGTACGCCTGTTTGAGTTTTAACGATAGGTGATGGCGCCATGGCTGTACTCAATATTTCAGGTTTAATATCTATCAAGATTGTTTAAATAAAGACAATGCATCAACTCCCTCCCCTTACCTTCTCCTTCATTTTCTTTAGCCAACTCTTGTTGCTTATGAAAAGCAATGGCATTTAAACTCTCTATGAGGATGATTAGTTCAATCTATATAAACGTATATATCACATATATATACCTTTTGGTCCTGAGCCTGTGACTATTGAATGAAAAACGACCTCACCAAGTCTTTCTGCAATATCTGAGATCTATGATATGATGTGTTAAGGGGAAGAAGAAGTTTTTTTTTTTTTTGTATAGTTAGTTATACCTGTAATATATGAAATACTCTAGGTGGTAAGCCCCATTTGTTGATAGGTGAATCAGGAAAGACCGAATGTTGAGGTGGTATCTTCTTTTTAGAGTTTGGAATTGGTTCTGTTTTGATAGATGCTCGATTAATATATTCTTCATAATTCTGACAAGCAAAATCCATATGCTCAATCTTCCAAACACCTTCTGGTGACATGATAAATTGTGCCATTAAATGTCCCGTGGACATAACCTAAATGATAAAAATAGTAAGAACCTCTACTTTATAATTTTATTATAACTTACCAGAATTCCATTTTCATATCTGTGAACAAGACTGACTCTTGGACATTCTACATTCATGATATCACCAGGGAAAATATATTCTGCAGTCTTTTCTAGCGTCATCTGGATCGAGCTTATACCACACATGTACTGAGTATGAAAATATCTTGCGATTAATGATTGATTCACTTCTATAGAAATTTGTAAATAAATATGTATAATGAAAAAGAGTGTAACTTTTGTACCAAATGATTTTCTTTCTGATGTTTCCATGTTGAATAAGCCAATCTTTAAAGTACTGGCAGATGTAAAGAAGTCTTGGACGAAATTATCCCAAAATGAACGATCTGCAGCCTTCAAAAAAAGGGAATATTTTAGCCTAAAATGATTGGTGATGATTTATAAACTTTTTTGAAATACCTGTTCACCTGGACTCAGCTGTTCTGCAAATTGAAGTAAACGAAGTACAGCTTGTCCACTTGTTTGTGCTCTACTTGATCCGATTTAATATTGATTTTAATAAAAATAAACAATATTACCTTGGAACAGCAATAGTTTTTGCAACAGTCATAGCAGGAGAACCTTGTGAGTTCATCATAGGTGTAGAGGCATGTGTACCAGGTCTTACTATCATAGGCTGCGTTTGCTGTTGTTGGGCTTGTTGCATCTGTTGTTGCCTCTGTAACTGTTGCTGCGCCTGTTGAGCTTGTTGGACTTGTTGTTGCTGAGCTTGCTGAGCTTGCTGTTGTTGGGCTTGTTGCTGTTGTTGAGCTTGCTGTTGAACTTGTTGTTGCTGTTGAACTTGTTGTTGCTGTTGAACTTGTTGTTGTTGTTGAGCTTGTTGTTGTTGCTGTTGAGCTTGCTGTTGTTGAGCTTGTTGTTGTTGTTGTAGGAGCAACTGTTGTTGCTGCTGTTGTAACAGCATATGTTGTTGCTCCTGTTGAATTTGTACTTGCTGTTCTTGACTTCTCAAGAATTGCATTTGTTGCATTTGTTGCATTTGCTGTTTTCTTAGCAACAACTGTGCGGCAGTAGCCTGAGGTTGATTCAAGTATTGTTGCTGTAATTGCAACTGTTGCTGCTGCTGCATATGTTGTTGTTGCTGTAGCAAGTGATGTTGCTTCATAGCTAAAAGTTGTTTTTGTCTAAAGATATGCTGTGCCTGCGCTTGAGCATTAGCATAGCCCTGTGGACCACCAGGCGGCATCTGACTATGTAAACCGGAAGGCTGTGGAGTGGTTCCAGCTGCAGAAGGAATAGCAGTTGACATTATCTTTAATAAAAATAATAAAGAAAAAAAAAAAAAAAGGAAAAAGTCAAAGAAAAAAAAAGAGAGAAAAAATACTCCTTATTTTTTGCAACAAAAAAAAATTCGGTCCACGTCACCTCCATTGTGTTTGTATCTTATACACTTTTTTACTCTTGATTTTTATTGATTAATTTTGTTTCCAAGCCAAGTAGTTGCGTCTCCAGAACTTATGATAACAGAAGATCGTCTCTTTTTTACATAAACAGATTTTTGAACAGGCAAAATAGCGCTTTGAGAAGCGTGTAAAGCATAGTTATTTCTTCTTTTGGCTGAGGGCAAAGATGACCGAATAGGGTAACTTGATGCAGGACCATTACGATATTCTTCGATCTTGTTTGAAGGAGGAGAAGGGATGATGATAGCTGGAGGATGAATGATGATTTCATGCTGCTGAATGATCTTGTTGTTGGAGGATGCTGTACTCTTTTGAAACACGCTAGATAGCCAAGTTAATGCCGTATTTTTTTTCTTTGCTTGTTCCTTTTGGTACTTTTTCTTCATCAACTCTTGCTCTAATCGGTTATCTATCTCTTCCACCTTCTTCACATATTCCACCTGAAGGTCATTAATGTTGGTTCGAAGCTGACCGATCTCTTTGAGCATGTCCTGTGCTACCTGAACAAGAAGAGAAAAATCCTGTTCCTTCGAATGACAAGGAAACACATGGGCAAGTTCATTGATTTCTGCCGTCAAGATGTTTTCAATGATCGAATTACTCATGCTGCTGAGATCAAAGATATCAAAAGCTCGACGTAGTTTTCGGTTGAGTGCCCTTGTATCTGTTTGCTGTAACCGTTCAAGCAGGACACAGAGTTGATGATGCAAGTGACGATAAGGTGACATGGCCTCTGTGCTATTCTCTGTAGGTTGGCATGGCGTTTGATTGGATGATAAAGACGAAGGTTTTCCTTTATTGTTTCGCATGTGATAATGGTAATGGTGATGAACGACTGCGGATGAGGATACTGTGTCGCAGGTGATGTTACTCTGTGGCCAGATCTCTTGTTGATCAGTCATGGTGGTGTCATCATCATCGATATAGTCTTGTTCGATTTTAGCAATTAAACCAACTGCCTCCGTACGACTTTCAGATAGTAAATCCTTGCATGTGAGTAGATCTGTTCTTAGTTTGTTATTAGCTGACACAAGCTCCTTGATGAGCTCGACATAATGATTATTATTATTATTATAATCAGATGGTATTAATTCGGTAGGGCTATGGATATATGAATTATTGTTGAGAAGTAAAGAGGATGCTGTAATCTGCGTAATGAAACCATCTAATATTTAATAACATGACCATAAATAAATAAATAAAGAAAAAAAATTATACCTTGTTTGGATCCTTACGCAGTCTCTCGCTTGGTTCCTGATCATTTGTTAATTGTTTCTTTTCTTCATAAAGTTGGTCTACTCATGTTGTTAATTATTATTATACTTTATAATGTAAATATTTACCATATTTTTCTTTCAACTTTTTATATTTTGACTCCAAACAAAGCTCAGCCTTTTTTGAATTGGCTAACTCTTGTTTCATGTCTTCAAGAGCGAACCGAAGATGGTCTTCTCTTGCACCTGCTTGATGGGCCATTATTTTCTTTAATTTATCAATTTCTCTTGTCTTTGAATCGAGTTCGCTAGTCAATTGATTTATACGTTGATGATAGGATTCGACATCAAGTAAAGTATCATCCAGCATCTATTTTATTTAGTACGTGTCCTATTTTGTATTTTTTTTCTGTAGATTAATACCTTATTTACATACTTTTTGTGTCTTTTGCCATTCCCAATTTAATTTGTTTTTTTCTTGTTCTAGGTCATATTTAACTGTATCTGATTGTATTAATAACTGTTCTAATTCATGTATCTTCTCTTGAGACTCTTGCACCTATACGTGATATTAGTCATCCTTTTGAGAGTCTTGATCAGGAGCCATACCTGACTTTCAAGGCCAGATATAACCTCATTTGATTCAATCACATATTGTTCATGCTTATTGAGCAGACTTTGGCCGATTTCTATTAAATATTAATTTCTATACCATTTGAACATATACATATATATATATATCCCACCTGCCGCCAGTCGAGCGTCTTCTTCCAACTTTTGAATACCAAGGATTAATGTTTGTAAATTGTCACAATTTGATTTATTACAGCAGCGACAGATATCCAACAAGTATGTACAAGAATTATCTCTCGATAGCCAATCCTGTAACGATTCTTCTATTGAAGGAACAATCAGGTCTGAAGAAGAAGATACTGAACTCGCCTTGTTCATCATTCTTAAACGTGTTCTTTGACGTTGAATATAAGACATATAAAAATGAAAAGAAAAAAGAAAGAAAGAAAGAAAGTGGCAAACAAAGAGATGATGAGAGAGAGAAGAGATAAAAGGAGGGGGGCACGTCGGTCATCCATAATTCAACTCTTAATATTTTAATATGCGTATATGTACGCCTTTGTATATTTACTTCTGTATGCAAATATATATACATTTTACTAAAAACTTTTCCTTGTTACACATTTTATGCATAACGAAGCTTAAAGTGGCCCAGGAACAAGTTTTTGTTGAATCAATATACGATGTCATTAAACATATAAACAAGTCAGTCTTTTTTTTTTTCTTTTTGGTTGTTCTCCTGAATGAACGTGTGTCATGTGTCATCCTACTCTATTTCCCTCCCTCCCCTTTTTTTTGTGTGTGTGAGAGAGATATTCAATAAAAAATGTATAGAAGGAAGAGGAGGGCAAAAGAAAAAAGTACGTGCATAAATAAACAATAAACCCGAGGGGAATATTTATGTATTAAAAAAATTTATCTGCAGAGTTGATCATAAGGAAGTTGACATCCTCTTAAAAACTCGACATCCAATTCAGCTCTTGGCAACTTATTCCAAAACAGGGTATTGCTCCTTTCGTCTTTTCGTTCCACTGGATCACACGCCTTTGAATGGAACATCCAAAAGTGACCATTATTACATGCGTCTAAGCATTGAGCACATGGTGATACTACATGGTAACCAACAATATTGCCACTGTATATAACATAAATGATCTCCTTTCTCTTTTTATATATATCTGTATCAATTTACCATTTCAGACACGCTACGTCTCTAATCCTGCAATGACATGATCTTGTTAGATAATCCTTGTCCAAGACACACATACTACAATAAAACAGTTTAACATAAACTTATCATTATCGCTCCTTTTTTTTATTATTACCTTTGTGAGGGTGCATCTGTACTGAATAGCTCTATTCTTGTATCTGCTAATAAAATCGCCTTCATACTTCGAGCACAGATGGTCATGTAGCAGTGTTTGCATGTCAATGAGTATACCGGCTTAATGGGCGTTACCAGGCCGGAGGATTGCTGTTGCTGAAGTGAATGAGAGTGTTGGAACCTTCGTTGTGCTTGAATGACAGATGGAGGTGTAACCTGGTGATGAGGAAGGAGAACTGCGCTCCTAGAGCGAGGAATTCGACTATTTTCCATAATAATATATTACGTTTTGTTATATCAAATATAAAAAAAAAAAAAGGAGAACAAGTTTGTTTCCGAACTAAATACTGAAGAAAAAAAAAAGAGCCTCGGGAAGTTTTAATATACAAGAGACAAGCTCGTTTGTATGTATCTCTTAAAAATGGCGACACATTCAGAACAATTATTTATTATTATTATTATTAAACTATAGTGGTAGCATTAGATACAAATGAACTTTGAGGCTGAGCGATTGACTTTAACGGAGTCATCGTTGTGGCGGTATTCACTGACCAAAACGTCTCGACGGACACAGGTCTATTCAATTGAGTTGTGGAAGAGGTTGCATGAAGAGAATTGCCAACCTTTATAGGAAAATCAAGTCCGTTGCCACGCATGGGGATAGGTAATAGCCAAAAAAAAGGGTATTTGCCCAATACGGTTGCTATGTTTTCATAGATGCCTTGGTCATATGGTGCCTTTACATGCTGTATTCTGCCCATTCCTTTGATAGTCAGCGATCGTCCTTTTTCCCATCCTTCAATCGTGGTTGTATTGGTCGTGATACAGTAGATGTGATAGCATGTTAAAATTCCAACGCCAATGATCGCTACTACTAAACCCATCAGGTTGAGTGTAAGAAAGATGATCTCTGGAGGTGCTGGATGAAGATGCTTTAATTTTTTTTTTAAAAAAAAAGCAGTATAAGAGAAACATATATAGATAAATAATATATATATATATGCTTACATGCTGGACGATATCATTTAGCCTACAACAGAGTAATGCAAATATGTATATTGAAGTTATATCCACACAGACAATAAACCGAATGAAATGACAATAATTAAAATATCCGACACAATTGTTCACCCACGGACAATGGTGATCCATCTTCAATACACATTGATCACAGACCGAGCAATGATGCGTCCTTGGCGGTTTATAATTGTTGCACGTCTTGCAAAATCGTGGTGTATGTGTTGACTTTTTGACTTCAACGTATGCCTGTTGCCTTGGTATCTACCATATATACAACAATAAAGTCAATTTTGATTGGACGACACAAAAGTGCTTCATTAATTTTTTTTTCTTTTTTGGGCTTACATATCGACTTGGCACTGAACCAGGATGTGTGAAGCAGGTGAGTAAATAATGTACGTAGACCATGATGATCAAGAGATTGAGCGGAGCTAGTATACATATTGACTGAACTAGACTTGTTGATGCTGTAATGTGTGGCCATATAATAAATATCTGTGATGTGTATGCAATGAATGTGATAAATAATATGACTGCCATGACTGTGAATGTTCCTGTTATTTTTTTTCTCATCTTTATTAATGTGTTGTATATAAATGTCGAAAAAGAAGATAAAGAGAAAAAAAAGAGAAAAGAAAGTGTGCCTCTATACTCACTTTTGTCAACACCAAAGGCTGTATCACTTTTTATTTTAGTACCACGAGGGGAGTTTATTTTTTAGGGAGATTCGGGTGGCAGTAGAGTTCTATTGCCATCAAATTGCATAAAGGACAACAACCTGCTGTACCTCGGAGTTGCTAGGTAACAAACCTTTTATTTACAGGATTATGAATGAAATAAAATACAAGCGTCTTTATTCATCCTAAACTTGTTCCGAATTCATCTCGCTTTCTTCTTCTTCTTCCGAGACCAATTCCATAATTAATTTAAATTCAGGAATATCCTGTATCTCATTGGACTTGTTATTTCCTTTTGTAATCGCATCAATCGCAAGCTGAACCGATTCCTTTTCACTGTTATTCATAATCCATTTCATGTATTCTTGCCTCGATAGTTCGTATACACTGTAGGGCAGAGGTAATCCTTTATGGTTCGATCGAACAATGAGGTGATGTATCAAGATTAACTTGGATAAATCCGATGTATGATGAGCGGCTGTTAATTGCGCAGAATCTAAAAAGAGCAAGGGTCTAAACGTTCTCAGGGCCTTATAGGAAGCTCCTATTTCTTCCATCTTGGCTCCATATTCACTAAGGAATTGGCTGATCATAAACTCAAGCTCGGCCATATCACCTGCAAGCTTTAACTTGCCAGCCTCGCTCAAGGGTCGAATGAGACTCGCTTGAAATATGAATACTTGCAATACATACTGACTAATATCCTTTGCCCTAATTATTTTTTTTTTTTTTCTATTTGTAAGCAATTTTTTTTTTGTGTGCGATATTTATTATTCTTACCATGATTTAGGCTCTGTTCCGCATGAAAAATGTTGAAGGATCTGAGAATGATAATATCGAACATGGTTTGCTAGTTCTTTCATATAATTGCTCTTTTCATTGCTGGTTGGATCAAAGTTTCGCCGTATTTGACCTGCAAAGTTTTCCTGGTGCATCTTTAATAATACCTGTTCTGCATCTTTCTTGACCATGTCTACGAGGTGAGTGCCTGTCTTGAGCATCAATGTATGGCAATCCTTTAAAAAGTCAGTTCATGTATATTTATGTGCATGTATGAATCACATACTTCTACTCCTTGCTTCATAATCTCAATAATCTTATCTGGGTACTCTTCCAATACTTTCCACATGGATTGGTGAATATAATAAAGTAGGTTTGTCACTTCAATATTCATGTTTAGATAGTTAGATGTCACAGAACTATTGTTATTGGTATATATCAGCTGCTCGTTTGTTGGAAGCTACACAAAGTAAGCCTCTTTTTTTTTTAACCTGTACAAAATACTATACTAACCAAGTGTTCACATTTTGTACAAAAGGTACTCAATGCCTTCACTGCATTTTTAGCAACTTCTTGAGACAAGTGTGATTCAATAGATGCTACTTCTAATTCACTTTGCTTTTGGTTTAGTTTTTTAGTTTTCATTTTTTTTTTTTTTTTCCTTAAACTTACTGTCCAATCACGCGTGTCAGATTGACGGCACTAGTTCGTGTAGGAGGCGACCTGGTTAAGGCGCCATAGACAGGGAAAGCTGCATTAACTGCATCAAATATCCTTTGTCTTGATTTGGTAACAAATCCAGATTGAAAAGCATGAAAGCTTCGAAGCATAATCACGTATTCGGGTGTTTGAGAGTAATCTGAAAGTGGAGTACCGTTATTTAAGGCAAGGCGCGAAAAAAAATCATGCAAGAGCTTGAGCAGTTTAGGATAATCCCCTACAAAGATAGTGTGAAGCAGGGTAGATCCTCTGACTGCATGTTTTAATTCCTTTTCGAAATTTGCAGAGAGTACTTGCCAGAAATAGCTGACGAGACTACTGGCATCTAATGTCTATCCTTGATATAAATTATTGAATCCATCGTATTCATCACTCTTACCTTGGCTACTTCTTCTAAAAAGGATGCTTGTGTCAACGGATCCTTTTTGATTTCCAATACTTTTTCTAGATTGTATATCTTGATACATTGATCACCCATTGTTTTCATCAGTGCTTCCATACGTTCCCATAACTGCTGCTCCTGATATTTATTGGTATTCTTTTGAGTCGACTGTATATCGACAACATGTCTAATCTGTCGTACTAAATCGTCCAACATATTCTTAACCAGCTGCTGTACTCTTTGGCCCGCCTGTTTCATATTGAACAACACTTGCAGACCAGCTGCCATCTTTGCTTGATTCTGATGATCGATTCCTTCCGTCAAGAGATTATTCGCTTCTTGCTCAATCCGTTTCCTAGATTGTTGAATCATTGGAATCGCGTGTGTAACAAGATCGATACCGTCAAAATCGTATTCCTTGATCACTGTCTCAAGCTCATACAAAATTAATGCGGCTGTAGGTGTATCTGCCTGCACATCTAATCGACGCTTTAGGATCGTAAATCGATATAATTTTCTCAAGAGATCACACGTCGTTTGCATGTTTTCGAATTGACGCGCATAGGTCGATAATTGATCATATGGGTATCGGATCTTGAGTGCAAGACTATATACATGATTTTTAGTCCCCCTCTCCTTTTTTTTTCCTTATAAATATATACTTTTGCATAGATTCATTCAAGTTGTTGATATCTGTCTGAATCGAGTCAATGACCTTTTCGAGATCTTTTATTCCAACCGACTGCTTTAGCAGTATTTCATAGTTGGCTGTAACCTATGCACAAGGGTTATTATATATGTGTCTATTTCTTTCATGTTGACATTACTTTACTTGTTCCTGAATTTGCTTGTTCAAAATGTCAATACCAAATGTCAATCTCGAGAATGCTGCTGTCACATCACTTTCATCTTCTATTTCTGACTGTTTCATAATTTCTTCAACATGGCGTGTAGCGTCAAAGTTATCTGCTAGAAATGTATCGTAATCTATATTATAATACATTGTGAGTTCTTTCTCTTTTTAGAATAAACAACACATACCAACATATTTATCTATATTCTGAGTGTTGTTCATTGTTGGCATTGTTTAACAAGGAAAAAGAAAAAAGAAAAAAGATTGAAAGTGCATTTTTTTTATTTTCTTTTTTCTTTTTTTTAATTATGTCGAAAGAACTTCATTCCCATCCAGTTCCATAAGATCCAATAAATCCAAGCAATGGCAGTAATTGGTACTAGTAAACAATAATAATTGTCTTGCTTTATCCAGTCCAGTATCTATACATATATAAATATATATAATGATAAATATTTATATGCATTATCATGTTTATACTATGAGTACCCTATTGCCTGTGTATGGCATATATTTACTTGCTATAATAGAATAAACTGAAATGAAAAAAGTGATAAATGTAGTAAAGAGTAATGCATATCCATATAAGTAAGTATTATCCATCGTTATTAATTCATTATTATTATTGCTTGTCCGTTTGACATGTTGAAACATATTTTGACGTGAAATCGTTGATTTTCTTTTTCTATACATCTTTTTTATCTTTCTTTACGGAGAAAGAAAGAAAGGGGAGCTTTTTATTTTTTTTTTTATTTTTTGGTATTTGGTACATAGTCTTTTGATAGATCGATATGAGACAAGTGAGTATTTGTAATCTTGATTCTCTTGTGTCTTGTCTTTGATCTCTTTGGTTTGACCTATCAAAAAGCATGAATATTATATATACACATCATACATCAAAAACTACCTCTGCTGTCACTTTCTTTTCGAATACTTCCATTGTTCTTAAACCAGCTATTATATAAAAATAATATTAGTTTCAATTGATAATAACAATAATAATGATATATAATTAACTTGCCTTCTTCGAGTGCCTTTGGTAAATCAGTTTCATCAGGAATGGGTATCTCTGACCACATCTTTTTGAAGTCTATATATTCAACAACTGTGATCAATATCAATTGTACCAAAAAAAGGTATATACGCTAACCTGGATCAATAGGCGTATTATACTGTGCATCATTATAAAACAACACACGAGGGTTCCCATCCTTATTTCTTACGACCAAGATCACCCCCTCCCCTGCTAATTCTTCTACAGCACTACTCAACTTTGAATAAGAATCCTTCAAGTCTTTATAGTCCATTCCTCCTTCTTTTCTTTTGGCAATTAATAATGATAGTAAATCCTCTTTTGATTTGATTTGATAAGTTGGTTTATATGAAAATGTATTATTAACCGAATCATATTCAATCTTATCATTGTGCACAAGCTTCTCCCATAATGCTGCATTCTTGGTAATATCAACCTTTGTCCTAGAAGCAATGCTGACGACAGATTGTGGACTATCACTATCCTGTATATACATATATACATAATGATCAGTCAAACAAATGTATAAAAAGCTCACATTGATGTAATAACTACTTTTAAGAATTGGATAACAGTATAGAGCTGACTCATAGCATGTTGGCCAGTGCCAGTATTGGCAGGTTGCGAATAGACTAACAGTAATATAAACAAAGCAATCTCTTTTATGATGACCAATATATACTTTACCAGTCGATTTCTTTTTTTTCTTTGCTCCCTCAAATGCAGCTTTGGTGTTATTCGATATGGTTCCATAGGATCGTTTTAGGTCATTACTCTGTGTGATCTGACCTGCTCGCTTTACTGCAATATCTGCATTAGCGCTTTGTGATTTTTTAAAGTTTCTTAACTGATCATTTAAAGACATGTTGATTAAAATACAAAAAACACAGAGATAAATATATCAAATCATCCAATGAAATTTAACAAAGACAAACACTAGTCCTTAGACAAAATAAACATACAGTGTAAAGAGAAACGTGTTTTAAATGTGTGTGTGCGTGTGTGTGTAAGTGTGTGAGAGTGTGTAGTGTATGGACGATATACAAAAAATAATATTCTTTAGTGGGTCTTTGCAATTCTTTGAACATCAGTGATGGCTTGGTCGAGAATTTGTTGTTGAATCTTGGGATCTTGTAAATCCTTATTGATCTTTTCAATCAAGTAAGCAGCCAATTGCTTTTGTTCACGTTCACGGATGCTGGCTTCATGACGAACCCAAGAGTCCAAGGTGGTCTTGACTTCAGCAGCAACAGCAACCTTTTGCTTCAATTCAAAAGCTTCAGCCTCCAACTTGGCAGTTTCACGAGAAAGTTCAAAAAGAGCCTTGGTGACATCAACCAAGTCTCTCATTTGACCAGCTTCATCAATGCGTTCTTGAACAGCAGCCTTGTGGTCTTCACGAGCTTGGATCAAGACGTTTTTGATACGCTAAGTGATGTGTATATTAGCTTATTTCCCTTTCACTAGTTAAATAACTTACAGCAACATGTTCGTCAGCCATGTTCATGAAGGGTTCTCTAAGGTACTTGATGAGAAGACCAAGAAGACCAGTTGTGGCAATCAAAACCAAGGTTTCTTCATTAAAGACATAGATTTCCTTGGAAATCAAAAAAGTAGCAAGACCAGTGCTCAAAGTAACAAAGCCAGTCTTGGTAACTAAAGAGTTACCAGGAAGGCTGTTGATAATGCTGTTGGCCTTTTCTTTGGGTTCAACTATATATCATACACATATATTGTTTAGTACATGTCTGTGTTGCAATAATGGTATCTTCACCTTCTTTTTGAGTGGTGTAGTGACGAACACTATATACATTTAAAATTAGAAGCTTTTTCCAAATGTACACATGCATGTAACTTACGCAGTAGCTCCCAAAGATTGGCGAGAGGCATTGATTAAAGAAGGACGGGCAGCAATGGCGGCTATTATAATTGTTTAATAAAAGAACAAGGGGGGTGACATTGACAGCATTATTACCAGAAGCTGCTTTCTTGGAAATCAAACGGAGAGCCATGTTACTTTTTCTTTAAATAAACAGTTAATTATATCTGTTGTCTTTAATGTAGTTTGAGCTTACTGTTACAAGCAAAAAAATAATCAAAATAGGTGGGTCTTGCAAGATTTTTTTTTCTAGGTGCAACTCTCTATCTCTGAGCTTGGATTTTTTTTTGGGCAGCCCTCACAAAGGGTTTCCGTCTTTGAACGGATTAAGCCAGGGCCCGATTACTCAATACGTCACCATTTATAATTTTCAAATTAAGCAGCGAATGAGAGGTAATTCATGCTATTCTTCTTTTTTTCTTTATAAACCATCCTTTTGAATAAATATGCCATCTCGATTACAACAAGGAATAGCCAGAGAGCATCCAGTTGGTTAAAGATATATATGATTCTGCCAAATTATGATTGATATATATATAGGAATGGATAATACCTCGATTATGCCAACAACATGCAAATAGCACGGGCGTCTATACAGCAAGTAAGTAAATTTATGCAGTCAAATATGGCTGAACTCATTGGAATAGTCATCACTGGGCTGCTTATATGTAAGTGAAGCCTTGACATATCTCTTTTTATTCTGAATACAATGCACACAGGGCCAGTGACTCGACGATTTGGACTTGACAAGAACAAGTCACTGTTCTCTGCATTAGGTAGATATTCATATAAAGCTACACTTGTTGCTAAAAGAAAAAACAGGAGCGTCAGCTGTAGGTGGCTATGTTTCCGCAAAATACAGTTACAGAGAATGTGAAAGCATGTACGGTTTTGCTCAGGCAGTTGAGACATTTTCAAATAAATAATGTTTATTTCCTGCATTTACTTTCTAATAAGCTTAATCGATCCATTGGACTTGGTCCTTGGTTCCATTGTTCCGGCTCTACTAATGAAGGCACTCCTATCTGTTCAACAACATAACTTGCCGACACAGCTCCATAAAGAGCAGAACGAACTGGATCATGAGTATGAAGCCAACCTGCAGCGTATCCTCCACAGAAGGCATTTCCTGCACCTGTCACATCCACTACCTTGTCATTCTCAGTCCTGTTGTCCCAATAGGCTGGTACCCACTCCATGCAGCCGCTTGTCATAACTATCGCCCCATATTTGCTTGCCCGTACCACAAGTTTGATAGTGCTCTTTTTAATTTTATCAAAAAGCAATCTAGCACAATACTCTACTGTTTGTTTAAAATCATTGCTGTGCTGTGATAATAACTCTTCAAACTTGTATCCAAGCATTTCTGCTATCTCTTCGTGATTAGGTGAGATAATTTCTATCCCCTGACACGCTTCACATATCTCTTGCAAATTCTAGCAACCAATAGAACATGAACAAAAAAGTAAGAGCATACAACGGCTAGTATATACCTCTGGCAAACACGCCCATGGTAACGGTTCCCAAAGAAACTGCGTCTTGCTTTCTGGATCCCTCTGTCGCCACTCGTTTATAATTTCAATAGCTCTTTCTGCTGAGGATATGACATGAACGACACGTAATGATTTTATCCAACTTTCAGAAAAGTCGTTTGCGGTTATTCTGATGATTGGATGTTTGTATTGGAAATCACGGTGGTCATTTGCTCCAAATATGTTGATTCCATGTGTGGTATATTTATCGGGATGGTATTTTGAAATCAAAGAGATGTTCAATCGGTTGAGTTGGTCATCTATTTCTTGTGGGTAATCAAAGCCCTTTTGTACAATGTATCCAATCTCTTGAGAACTTGGTGAAGGCTGCCATATTCTCATACCTTTGATTAAGGGAAAACTGTAGTGTTAATCAGCAAACACACAAACACGCACAGAATTGTTTGTTCTTTTACCATAAATTGCAAATACACCTCCACCACCAAGTACATTACATATCTTTCTGCCATCGGGGTAATAAATGTCATCAATAATTAAGCCTCCTACTGAGGATAATACAGGTGCCTTATTCATGGCTTTTGTCTTCAAAGTGTTTTGCGTAACAAAATGTAAAATAAATTGATACCTCTTAAATTAAGGGGTATGCGTGAAACAAGGAACGCGGAGAGTAAAACTGGATACATTCTCTTTACTTCATCCCCAAACTATTTTATAAAGGGAGAGCAATCAAGAGAAAGAAGCCTCTGCACATATAGAAGTGATTGAATATGTATGTATATGCATAAATAGATGTCGGTTTTATTTTACAATGCTAATACAATGGTTTATGTACATCAAGGCTAAATGTCAAACAGCACGTCAGAACCGTCAACAATAGGGTTCACGCTTGTTTTCATATAGCTTGGTAAAGGATAGGCGTATTTTCTTTTTAAAGAGGATAAGCAAGAGTCCAGCCCTGAAAAATCACTGTTCTTATGAGCATCGATATGTTCAGGTAACTTGATATGCTATTGAACATAAAGAGGTTAGTCATGTCAACAACAACAACAAAAAAAAACACGCGTACAGTTTGTAAGTCTGTGTAATGCTTTCCGCATGTTTCGCAATATTTGTTTCGTCCCTTTTGTTCTTTCTGCTTTCCTTCTTTTACTGTCTCTTTATCGCACCCTTCTTTTCTTTTCTTTGTCTTTCTACATGTGTCCTCTTCCAGCATAGTATCCGTATTATCCTCTTTTTGTGAACTCCTCTCCTTCTGTTCGTCATTAACTGATTTTTTTGCAAGTAGTTGATCTGCGTCTATATTTTCGATCTCTTTTAAAATCTCGCTGGGCAATAGGCGTTTTTTTCGTTCTCCTGCCTTTGGTTCCAAAGTTGGCCACGGAAGATCTGTTCTTTCATCTGGGCAGAAGCAATCATCAGAGTATTCCTTTACATCAATTGGAGAGTGAGTACTTGTAGCATCTTCAATCATAAGAAAGTAACCGGGAAACTCGTAATAAGCAGGACGTGATCGCTTATATGTCTGTGCTTCACGTGTCTTTGGAGGACTATATTCAATGAGATGCATAAAAAGTTCCTTTGCATCTAAATTAACTAGTCAGAACAATTCACTTTGCTATACATTATATGCTTACATTCCGCGCTCCAGATCGTTTTCTTCCAGTTGTACGCGTTTTTGATGACTTCATCTACAGAGGTCTAAAATAAAAGATCAGATCAAGCATCTAATTTTTAAAAGGAAAATAGTTTTTACCTCGAGAGATCCTTGGGTATCTTGTAAAGGTGATCTACATTCAAAAAAGGTATCTGTTTAAAAAAAAAAAGCTGGTCCATAAGATATTGCTTTTTCTTACTCTTACTTTTGGGTATCGCTAAAAGTGTCATAAACATGTAAAAGCTCTTTTGTTGTAATAATATGTGTACAATCGTCTTGAGAAGCAGAAAAGAATGGCGCTCTTGCCTATTAAAGAATGATTATTATCATTGATACCAAAATGCATATATACCTACAGCTCCAAGCTTCTTGATTTGGCGACTTAGGGCTGATTCAGAAGCAAAATCAAGTTTATACAAAAATATCCTGTAGGATTGCAATTCTTGTTTACATTCCATTATTTTGTCAGGTTGAAGTTGTGTTTCTCTTACACGGTTTAGTTTCGGTTTATTACGAACATGCTGCATTCGATCTTTTTGATTCTCCAACAGTTGTCTTTTTAAATCAGCTTCATTATCGCGCGAGGACGTTGAAGAGATGCTCTTTTTACTCAACATAACCTTGGTTGAAGACATGTTATCACATGAAAAGCTCTGCAGTAGTAGCAAATAAAGAAAAAGAAAAATAAATACAAAAAAAAAACGCCACCTTCTTTTTGGTACCTTCGATATTTTTAAACACAGTTCTTGGATACATACGACGGCGCACTCACATACAAACATTCGCCTATGGCCATGTACATACACTTGGGGTGTTTATATTCTCGTGATTAGATCTAAATCCATGCTAGATCATCCAGTTCCTTAGGGAAGCAGTAATGCCCTTATTTTGCCGTCCAATCACGTTTGATTAAATCTCGGCTATTACACGGCACAATGTTATTCCGTTTTATATAATTTTTTAATAAAAAAGTCTTGTCATCTTTCTGTCTCTTTGTTTATATATAATGCCATTTACAAAAGGAAAGTATTGCTGTGGTTTTGTTCCGATTAAGACAGGTAAATGCAGTGAAATGACCTATACATAGACATGTATACTCATTTTAAGAATATAGGTGTTGTCTTAATCACATTGTTTGGAATTGTAAGTTACATTGTTTATTTGGACTGCGTTTAATAACCTTTCTTTGTACAGTTGAATAAACTATCTGGTTTCTATGGAATTTTATCATTTGATTTTACAGACAACACAGCGACTGCAGGCTACGTTTATTCTCTACTAGCCATTGTTATCTTTGTACAAGGTTTATATGGATTACACAGCGTATGCTATCTATTACAATGAGAATGAGAATATAAGGAAACTGATACATCCAGGCAGGAAAATGTTCGAACATTTCGATGGTATACCATGTTCTTTTGGTTAGATTCGTTTATCAGCATTATATGGACTATTCATACTGGTATCACTTGGTACATCTATACAGATCACAGTTTACCTGAATTAGAGAATGATCCAGCCAAGAAGGAAGAACATGATAGAGTATTTGATATGGAAAAGTATGTTGGTATAGCCGTGTTAGTCGCATTGAATTTGATTCATGTAAGTATATTATGTGATATGGTTTCATTATTACTTATACCCTCAAAGCTATACTTTGCCTTTATTGTCACTCGTTTCTATAAGGCCATGATTCATAAATCCAATTATACAAAAGTACCAACCGAACAAATCGATTTAGAAGAACGCTCAAATGAAGCTCCACCCAAGCAAGCCCTTGATTGATAAAAGATTATCAATTTTAAATTCCGTAATGGTAAGACAGCATGACTGTTGATCTCATTTTTTTTCATCTCTATCTTCACTCCATATATAGTAGTTTAATCTTTCCATAATAAATATTATAAACCGGGTCAAGCATCTCTTCATTGTCTCTTTATTTTTTTTTTCTTTCTATTATTTATTCTTATAATGGTAAACACTGTAGATACTATTTCAATTTGGAAGTCTCGTCTTCAAAACTTGACGGACTTACTATTACCAACTGACTATCCAAGACCATTACCTCCACGTACAGTCGAAGAAGTTTTATCTTTTGATCTCCCAGAGCAAACACTCTTGAGTCTCGTTCAAGCATCAATGTATGATGTTCGTCCAACTCCATTCTCTGTCATTCTTGCTGCCTTTTCTGTTTTACTTCAACGCTATACTGGTGATGAAGAATTCGCTATTGGTACATCCTCTCCTACTGGTAATCCTCTACTGTTACGTCTACATGTCGATCCTTCAAACACATTCCGTGGTATCATTGATATGGTGACAAAGGTAATATTGTGAAACTGTGTGTGAACTGTGCGCGAGGCTGATGCATATAGTTTATAGGTAGAACAAGAGGCATTAACTCAAGAGGTTCCCTTTGATCAATTATGTGATGCTGTTTACGAAGGCACAGATCCCGAAAGCAGACGCCCTCTTTGTCGTGTGCGATTTTATAATGAACTCGATTCACCTTCTCAACATCACCTTGCAACAACATCCGCAAGCTCCGATTTGACCATCTTTATCTCGTCACCTACAGCATCCTCTTCCTTAAGAACCTCCTTCCTTCGTCCAGTATCCATTCGTATTGTATATAATCAAATCCTTTTCTCACCTAAGCGTATCGAATACCTCTTTTCTCAATTGACGACCGTCATTGATACAGGTGTCAAATCCGCGGAACTCGCCGTTGGTCAGATCCCTCTTTCTGACTCTGGTCTACCCAGTTCACCCTTACCTGACCCTACCGCTGACCTGCACTGGTCCCTCTGGAGAGGAGCTATTCCTGATATCTTTAATGAAAATGCCAAGCTGCATCCTACGAGAACATGTATTGTCGAATCCAGAGATGATAATACCACTGTCACATACACTTATGACCAAATCAACCAAGCATCCAACCTTGTCGCTCACTATTTGCTGGCAAACAATATTCAGAGAGAGGATGTCGTGATTATTTATGCATACAGAGGTGTGGATCTTGTCGTAGCTATCATGGGTGTTCTCAAGGCAGGAGCTACTTTTAGTGTGATTGGTAAGAGCAAAGCAAAAAATTGATATTCATGTTTGACTCACATTTACTAGACCCTGCATATCCACCTGCACGTCAAGAAATCTATCTTTCCGTAGCTAAACCCCGTGGTTTGATTGTTCTTCAAGAAGCCGGACAGATAGCCGAATCAGTACGAGACTACATCAAGCGCGAGCAAGACATCATCTGCGAGATTTCTTCATTAAAGATCGGAAGCAACGGTCAACTCTCCGGTGGTGTGACAAGAGACGGAGCTGATATTTTTGACACCGTGCGATCTCTTTCGGACGAGTATCCCAACGTGGTGATTGGCCCCGACAGCATTGGTACTCTCAGTTTCACAAGCGGCAGTACAGGTATCCCCAAGGGCGTTCGCGGTCGCCACTTTTCTCTAACTCACTTTTACCCCTGGATGGCCGAGACGTTTGGTTTATCAAGCCAGGACAAATTTACAATGCTCTCTGGTATTGCTCATGATCCTATCCAGCGTGACATCTTTACGCCTCTCTTTTTGGGTGCCGAGTTGCATATCCCCACATCCGAAGATATTGGTATCCCCGGTCGTTTAGCTGAATGGATGAACCGTGCACAGGTCACAGTGACCCATCTGACGCCCGCCATGGGTCAACTCCTCTCTTCACATGCTCAAGTCGAAATTCCTTCATTGATCAATGCCTTCTTTGTGGGCGACATTCTCACCAAGCGTGACGCGGCTCGTATTCAAAAGTACGCGCCCAATGTGTCTGTGATCAACATGTATGGTACGACCGAAACCCAACGTTCTGTCTCACACTTTGTCGTTCCCCCTCGATCCAGTCATCCTGCCTTCTTGAGCTCTCAAAAGGAAGTCATCGCTGCCGGTAAGGGTATGGTCAATGTTCAACTCTTGGTCGTCAACCGCCATGATCGTACCAAGATGTGCGGTGTTGGTGAGATTGGTGAAATCTATGTACGTGCACCTGGATTGGCCGAGGGATACCTCAGATTACCTGAAGCTACTGCTGAAAAGTTCATTCCTAACTGGTTCGTTCCAAACGCTTGTGTGGACGATGGTAAGGACGAGTCGACAGTGAAGGACGATCGATGGAAGCAATTCTACCAGGGAAAGCGTGACCGTATGTATCGTTCAGGTGATCTGGGCCGATACCGTCCTGATGGTAATGTCGAATGTACTGGCCGTGCTGATGATCAAGTCAAGATCCGTGGCTTCCGTATAGAACTGGGTGAGATCGATACACACCTCTCTCAACACCCCTTTGTTCGTGAAAACGTCACATTGGTGCGTCGTGACAAGAATGAAGAGCAGACGCTCGTGGCTTACTTTGTGCCTAACCCCACTGCAAATACCGATTTTGCAAGCGCTACTGAAGATGACGAACAAGATGAAAAGGATATCTTCTCGAGCCGTACCTTCCGTCGTCTCATCAAGAACATCCGTGATTATCTCAAGCAAAAGCTTCCTAGCTACGCTGTTCCTTCTGTCTTTGTGCCACTTATTCGTATGCCCTTGACGCCTAATGGTAAGGTCGACAAGAACGCCTTGCCTTTCCCTGATACAGCTCAATTCAACAAGGCCAAACCAGTTGTTGCTTCAGAACTTCCCGAGATGACACCTAACGAACGCATCATTCACGATATCTGGAAAGACCTGCTTCCTGCTGCTGATCCAGTGATTGGTCTGACGGATAACTTTTTCGATATTGGTGGACACTCGCTGATTGCCACACGTCTCATATTTGAGATCCGTCAAAAGTTCCAGGTCGAAGCTCCCTTGGGTCTTGTGTTTGCCGAACCTACCATTGCTGGCCTTGCTCGAGAAGTAACCAAGCTCCAAAGCGGCGATCTGCTATTAGAAAGTGATGGCTTGACTCAACAAGAAGAACAAAAGAAGGAAGTAGTCGATTATGCATCTGACGTGCCCACCCTTGCACAAGAGTTCCTTCAGCCAAGTTATGAGGCTCTCCCTGTTGCTGACCATTCACGTACATACGTCTTGACTGGTGCCACTGGTTTCTTGGGTGCCTTTATTCTCGAAAAAATCCTGGGATACGATAATACTCACAAAGTGTTCTGTATTGTTCGTGCCAAGGATAATCAAAGCGCATTTGATCGAGTCAAGAAGGCTGCTGTTGATCATTTGGCCTGGAAGGATAGCTGGCAAGACCGTGTTGAGGCGATCTGTGGTGACCTCGCGAGCGATCGTCTGGGCCTTTCTGAGGCTGATTGGAACCGTATGACAAAAGAAGCCGACGCTATCATCCATAACGGTGCTCTCGTTCACTGGGTCTATCCATACCAACAGCTCCGTGCTCCCAACGTCCTTGGTACTCTCTGGGCCATGCGCTTAGCTACTGAACACAAGTCCAAGTCTTTCCATTTTGTCTCCTCTACTTCTGTCTTGGACACGCCTTACTACATCAATCAGGGCAACTATGTGTTGGAAAGCGACGCGTTAGAAGGTGCACGCACAGGTTTAGACAGCGGATACGGACAAAGCAAGTGGGTTGCTGAGAAACTGATCATGGAAGCCAGAAAGCGAGGTATGCCCGCAACCATCATTCGCCCTGGTTATATCCTTGGTGATTCTCGTACGGGCGTGACAAACACGGATGATTTCATCTGGCGTCTACTCAAGGGATGTGTCGAACTTGGCTACGTCCCTGCGATTGCTAATGATGTCAACTGCTGCTCTGTCGATTACGTTGCCTCTGTTGTCGCAGGTGCTGCTCGTCACGATCAACAGTCAATTCAGCGCGGTGTTCTTCAAGTGACCCATCCTGCTGGCTTTACGTACAATAAGATGTTCCAATCCTTACTGACCTATGGATACAAGGTGCAACAAACCGAATATATCGATTGGAGAAACAAGTTGATGGAATACACACTCAAGGCTCAGGACCATTCCTTGTTCCCTCTCTTACACTTTGTCTTGGATGATTTACCTACCTCTACCAAGAGCGCTCCATTGGACGATCGAAACACACAGACTGTGTTGGCACTGGATGGTGTTCAACTTCCCTTGATGGGAGATGATCTCTTGGGTCTTTATTATGCTTACTTGGTCAAGGTCGGGTTCATGCCACAGCCTACATCCGGTCATCGTGCGCTACCCGAATTAAACATTCAGGCGACCTTACTGCAACGTAGTGGCGCTAAACATTAAAGAAAAATTGTGTAATATAGTTGTAAAGAATCAATAAAAACCATATAGAATATATATATATATATATACCATTCAATATTTATTTACGAAATACACATATAATTCATTATGAAAGAAAAAGGGGGTATTTAAAAATATACACATATATAATTTAGGCTGATTGAATTACTTCCAAGTTTGGATCTTTCTTATCAAGCTTTGACAATACATACTCTTCTTGCTTGGACGCATTATTGAGCCAACTAAGGTAAGCGTTCCAGAGAATACCCAAGCTGCTAACAAATGGTAATCGATACTGTAGAGGCATCCATTTGAAATTAATAAACTGAACTGCTGGCCATACCTCATAATTGGTGATCAATGCCGGTGTATACGCGTCTCTAAACTTTTCTTTCACGCCCTCCCACTTGCCTGTCTCTGCCAACCCCATCACCGTAAAGAAGAGGACGAGACCCATGGGGGCAAATAACAATTGATCGGTTGCCATACGTTTGATAGCCATCACGTTGGCCGTTCGTGGAGCAGCATTTTTGGGCACCGGAAAGAACCGATCGAGAAACATGTACCATGTTCCACCCAAGGGCGCGACACAAAAATTGTAAGCTGCAAAACGAAAAGTTCGAATCAGATCCCATCGTGGACTGGGTGGCCAAAGATCTTCATGTTCTCTCAATTTTTCGGGTACGATATAAGGTTCAATCTTGCTTGCTTCGTAATAAGATATGCTTTGAGCAAGTGTATCACTGAGTACACCAAGGATACCATTTGTCACACATAATGTCAAAATGGGCCGTTTGTTGTAGGATCGGGTGTAAAAGGCGTTTAGTGCTCGAAGACGATTCATTATTAAGAAAAAAAAAAAGAAAAAGAAAAAGAGAAAAGGATATATTCCATCACTTTTATCGGGATTTAATTTTCTTTTTCTTTTTTTCTGTTGTCTTGGTTGCAGGCAATAAGGATTTGCGTAAGGGACTATCGAGTAAGGTTGACGTCAATATCACATAGTTGCCCTTTTTTGAAGGGAGGATAAATACTTACGTCAATCGACTTATAAATGATAAGTGAGCCTATCACATACTTTATGGCAGTAACGGTATTTGGACTTAGATCTATTGTAATAGCAAGCTGATGTGGAAATTTGTTGAATTGCTGTAATGCTCTTTGACCGAGATCTAACGTAAGCTTAATATTGGTATCTTCCATTATTTAAAAAATTTTAAAAGAGAGTGACTTTTTTATAATACAGAAATGAAGATTTTATTTACTAGTTTTGCAATAGAGGCTTTAAATACAAAAAATATAAATGTATATGATACAAAAAAGAATGTTTTTTTTTTCCTAGTTAACCATAATGATGAGATGCAGGTCTTGAGAATGATTCTCTTAATGTTGGAACACGTTGTCTGATAGCGCATACTTGAGAAGACAGATTTGGGCTATGAAGAGGAGAAGAGGTGATGGGCAGGGTACCGACGACAGGTGATGTACGGAATTGACTGAATGCTTCTAGCGCTTCATATTCATCCTGTGTAATATCTATCGCATCTTTCTCAGGGGGTTTTTCGTCTAATTGAATCGTTCTTAATTTTTCTATAGGAGTTTGTAAAGCGTCAATCGATATACGACGTTTGACATGAAAATCATGATGAAAGCTTGGAGGAGAATGCGAGTGTCCGGAATCAGTCGAGACAGTAGAGATGGATGACCGACGGGTTTGGTCAAATTCATTGTATTCTTCCTTGATGGGCCATGACGAGCGGTTTCTGGGTACGTTGTATGGCTTTTGGTAGTAATAATGATCATAATTTGGCAAGTGTGAAGGATGATGATGGAATTGAGTCTTGACAGGGGAAGGAGGTAATGAGTAAGGATAAGGAGAGCGGTAGCCCAATGAGCGAACCGGAGTCGATATGGATGCTCTACGGTGAGGTAGAGGTAATGTACGATTGTTCACCATTGAAGAATATTCAAAGGGTGACGCATATAGGTCAGATCGTTGTTGAACCCAAGGATGTCTCTCCTCTTGCATTTGAATCGGAGATTCGGTAACTGGATCGTCCGTCATTGATGCACGGGCTTTCTTGTTTTTGGAATGATCCTTTACCGCTTCCGTGGGTGCTGTCTTTTTTCTTTCTTTATCGTGGGTCTGTGTATGCTGCATCATGTTGTCGAATCGGCTAAACATACGTTCACAACCTTCGACAATGCACTTGTAAGGTTTCTAAACAATAATTAATATTTATTACTTTAGAGAAAAAATAAATAAAAAGTTACCTCTCCTGTATGCTTCCTTTCATGCCTCGCTAAATGCTCACTTCTTGTAAAGACCATGTTACAATCTCCATAGCCAGTACAGCGAAATTGCTTAGGGGCAGATCTTTGTCCGGAATTTCTTCTCTTGGGTGGCATGGTTAAATAAATAAATAAAAAAGGATAAAGAAAAAAGAAAGAAAGAAAAAGAAACTGCTAAAGTGTGGGTTGATCGATTTATATATTGCTTGAGTGAAACCCAACTTAAAATGCAGGACCGTGTGGTCCAGGGCGAGAAAAAAAAAAAAAAAAGTAGCAAAATTTTTGAGCAAAAGAAATTGGATATGTTCCATCTTTCCCTGTTATTTTAGTGAATGAAGCAGGTGATAAAAATGAAAGAGGATGAATTGAGTGCCCCTCTTTTTGCTTTCTCTTTGATTCATACTGTCCTTTTATTTCTTTTTCTCTAAAGTGGGTAAAGAGAATAAAATGGAAAAGGATATTATTATTACAATAGGGAATAATGATATCATATTTAGACATTTGTTTAGTTGATCTGAGTTATTTTGGCAGCTATTGACGTTACAGCCCATTACATGTTTTTGTAACCCTTGTCGGTTGATTGATTGTAGCAAGTTTATGAGAGTTATCATTCGTTTTTTACTGTTTTCTACTTTGTACCATGATAACTCTCTGTAGCATTGGTTACAAGTTGTTTTTTCTGTTCCTTGAACCTGGATAAAAAAAAAATCAAAAGGTAAAAATGTTAAAGTAACGAATCTTCCGACTGCCCAGTTAGATTCCATCAAACCATGTGTTGCGATTTTCTGATAGTATGCCACCCAATGAATCTCAAATGCTGTCATCGATTTTGTCATTCTACAACACATAACATGACAGTGTGTAAACAATGAGAAAAAAAAAATAAACTTTATGCACAAGTTGTCTGTATTGAAACAATGCCACTCAATTGTCCCTTTTTGGTTTGAACAATAAAGCATTGTTTATTTACTTTGAACAACGGTTGCCATGTAACTGAATTTAATCAACAAATCACGTTTAGACCAAGCTATGTGTAACTAGGATACACAAACAATAGGCTTTCCCTTTTATTATTACAACAAAAGCATCATGGAAGTAAAAAAAATTCAAACTGAAATTCAAAAATTAGTCTAGACCTTAAAAAGTTACCTGTCAATAGCCGCCAAGAGGGGTTAAGGATAGTAAACTCAAAAAAAAAGTTGGGAGAACGTACTGCTGGGAATGGAAATAAAAAGAAAGAATAACCTTGATTTATAAACTCTCCAACATGAACGATTCGTTCCTTTGAATCTTTTTGTTCTATTTGTTTTCTTTTCAGCCCTTTAACAAAGTTCCTGTCACACAAGTGAAACTCAGAAAGCCAAATGCATAATCGTATTTTAAGGATTTGCATAAAACAGTCTTTTCTCAAAAGCTTTGTCGGGCTGTTGTAACAAGGACTTTATCATTGAAAGTGATCATTATTTAAATGTGACCCCTGATCCAAATATCAATTGTCTCTCTTTCTTTGCAGTGTTATTTAAGCAAGGGGGAAATAAATGATACATAATCTGTGGGGGAAGAGAAAGAAAGAGAGGGGCAGGGGGTTAGTCTCTTTTTTTTTTCATCTTTTGGAACCTGTCAAGTCAAAATGAACCATCATGCACCTTTAAATTTTTTTTTCTTAAACTATAATTTAGACATTTTTCAAATAACAATTTATCTTTTTTACTATTGATAAATGCAACCCCCAAAAAACTGTAAAACTAGGGGCTAATTTTATGAATTCTTTCATGCATCATAATTAAATAACATGTGGCAGAAAACAATAAGTTGACTTTATCAATCTGTCCCCTTTTGATGGTTTTTTTTTCCCTGGGCTGCAGGACACGCAAAAGATTTGATCGGAAATTGAAAAAGCTGGTAAAGCAGTTGTGTATGCTTGGCTCAAATTATGCTTTGTGCCCCTTTTCTTTTTCTTTAAACATTGCAACATGCTAGAAGTAATACCAGAGATATGCAACCTAATAATGGAAGTCATAGAACAGCCAATGTTATCAAAACTTGTTCATGTCTTTGGCAGCACATTCCTAATCATCTTCTCTTTTTTACTTGTCACTGACGGAATCTACTTCCTTGCCTTTCTCATCGCAGGCTTTGTCTTGGGTGGGCTTTACTTTAATAATACAGAAGGTAGATTGGTCATACAAGAATATCAAAAGACATTTCATGAAGAACCAGCAGTAAGAAAATAGTTCATGTTTTGTTATATGTATTATATATCATTATTATTATTATTAGGATACATCATCAACAGAAAGACTTGAGCTTCATTATCGTTCACTTACCCCTGTTGTTGATCAACTCCTTGATTATTTCATACGCGACTTTATAGCCAATTGGTGGACGCCACTTAATGTTTACGAGGACGTTCAATTTGAGAAAATCACAAGAGAAAAATTAAATGGTGCTTGTATGCAGTTAGAAAAGATCCTTATGAATCAGGACAGAAATGATATCGTCATGTCAACGTTATATGGAGTAGCCAATACATTGATCATTCACATGGTAAGGAGATTCTTTATTATGAAGGAGTCTATATTGATCAAACCTTTTCAAGAGAGAGTGTAGAGCTTTAGAAGAGTCAGAAATTTCTATAGAGGACTACGTTAGAAGAAACCCACAGTCACCTTTTGCACAGCTCTTATCCAAGCATGAACAGCATCAGCAACTTCGTGGGCTTAGCCAAACATTATTAAAGAGAGCATTAACAGGCCCCGAAAAGGAGTCCAATTTGTTAATGTCCTTACTTCGTGAGCTACTGGCTACCTTTCTGTTTGGCAACATTCTCGATATCCTTAGCGACCCTGATTTTTTGAATTGTTGGATCATTGACCTTTTATCAGACCAAGCATCATCCGAGACAGTTCAAGCGACAGTATCTGCTGCTCTCGAAACCGTCGTTTCGGAGAAAATAGATGATGATGATGGATTTGAAACAAAACAAGACGACGAACTCGTCAGTTTTTCGCCTGGACTTGTTCATTTCACCGTCATGGATATCTCGCCGCCACAATCACCAGATCATCCACTAAACAAGAGTCAATTGACCTACATCATCCAGATCGAACGACCTGCCAACGAGGATACTATAGGATCGGAAGGTGGTGGATACGTGATCACACGAAGCTACACTGATTTCGAAAGCTTTCACATGATCCTCTCTGCACGATACACTCGACGCATCAACAAGATACAGCTCAGACTTCCACTGGATCCTGCCAAATCCTGGCTAAAGACACAAACGAAAAAGAAGGGCGAAGAAATCAGTCACGATCTAGAGATATATCTGGATAAGGTTGTGCATGATACCGAACTGGGCAGAGATCCTTTGATTTCTGCCTTTTTGAGAAAAGAAAGACGATCGGAAGTGATGAACGACGATGTCGTGTCATTTTCGGAAGAGTACAAGGATCAGGTCGTGGCAGCATATGCTCTCTTGACTGATACAAAGCCTCTGTCTAGATCACGGTCTCTGTTTTCGCGCAACAATTCTCCCAAGATGGAAACCAAGGATGATACCCATTCGATGACAAGTAGCAGTAGCACGACAACAGAAGAAGAGGAACAAATCATACCACCCAAAGCGCTTAGTTCGATGGATGTAGAGCTCTTAATTGAAACAACGTATGCACTCGTGATTGAGATATTCAATCTGACACCGTCGAATAATAAAGCGTGGATGCGAAGGTCTATCCTGAACATACTGAGGGAAATTGTCCGTCGATCATATACAGAGTTTATTACAGAACAGTACAATGATCTATTGAATGCGTATATGTCTCCTGATGCCATCATGCTTCGATTGAATCAGCTCGGTCAGCAGCTTTGGCCAGAAGGTCAATGGGTCGTAGGAGAGCAAAAGCGACCGATAGAGAAGCGCACGGATAAGGATAGAGAAGAAAGTAAGCGAAAGGCAAGAATCATGTTGATGAATCGAGTGATACCTAGTACAGTTCGTCAGCTCATTGGTGATCAGAACTGTAATACGGCTATGGATCGCATCTGGGCTCGATGCCAAGATCCTGTCCTCAACCGAGTACTCATGCTACAATTAGTAGAACGTATCATAAAGCCCATTCTGGGATAAAGTATATATGTTTATATATCTCTTTTTGTGTGTATGTGTTGTAAATAAAACAAAAAAGTCCTTCCCCTCCTTTTTCCCTTATTCTGGTGGTATACATTATAACGCATTTATTTTGATTAAAACCAATAATAGCGAATAAGAAGAACAAATAAAATAAACGTGGCAATAGCTACAGGTGGGCCATACTTTCGGTAAAGTGCCTGTAAGTTCAAATGACGCGCCTTGTCCTTAAACATCTTGGCACTATCCTTGAGTTCACCTGATATTGTGCTCATACGATCCAAACTATCTCCACGCCACAATAAATCCTCCATATTCTTTGTCATAATACGTGTCACATCCTGCAAGTCTTCGTTCAGTTTGGCCAAATTGCTCTGAGTCCTTGTGTCTTGATAGATTCTCTTTGTCTTTTGCATAAAAGTGTCTGTATTCCTGTTGCATTAGTCAATGGTGCTTGATTTATTATGATATAAATACCAAATTTAACAAATGCATAGGGCCTAAGGCCTGGCTTTTCTACTTCATTTCCATAACTCATGTTGAATTCTTTGGCAAGTTCTTCTAAATAACTGAAGGCGAGTTTACGAGGATAAGATTGATCACAAATACAGAGGTAACAAACACTTGATTCAATAATATAACTTTTTGAACAGGTCAATATGAAATTTAATATATACATGTGCACAACTTACTGAAACACGTATTTGCCTGATTCGATAGAACATCTCGGTTCAGAGTTGGTATTGAGCCTTTTGAATATGGTCTTTGCTTGTTGTTTATAATCAGCTAATTCCGTCTCAACCTTTTACATGCTTCATTAACCCCTTTGTTCAATGTATAATCAATAATTTACCTGTTCATCATCCATACTAGCAGCCAACGGAAGGCCGTCTGCTACTCTTGCAATAAGTGTAGTCTTGACCATATTATACAGAGAGAAAAATAGAAAAAAAAAAAAAAAAGGGAAAAGAAAAAACAGAAGCCAAATATTAAAACTAATGTCACTGTGACGTGGCACGCTGAGAAAGAGCGTATCACTCTTTCTTTCTTTCTCTCTATTGTAATTTTATTTACACACAAATAAAAAGCCCTATCAACATTCAATCCACTTTTTGATAGCAGCTACAGCATCACCTCCATTGGCTCTTAAAGCTGCTTCAGCCTCTGCTTTTGTCAGTTGCATTTCCTTTACCTATTTACCGAGTTATGTTTTCGTGTTATTCTACATAGTTTCCGCTTACCAAGAGCTCGACATCAGCTTTATTGACTGCACCGGTCAAAGGTTTACTTTAAAATAATTATATTAATTCCTAATATAAAAGCATCGTTCTCCACTTACGGTAATGTCTTTTTATGTTCATTGGCTAATTCCTGCATTTCAACTAAAGCCTACTCTCAATGTGTCAGTTCAACATTGACTCTTTTGATGATTATTACCTTTGTTAACTTTTCAGCTGTCTTTTGTCTTAGAGCCAATTCATCATTAACAGCGTCAGTCACTTTCTTGGTATTGTCATGGTCATGGTTACAGTTTGAATGGTCGTGATGGTGATGGTCTGTCATGGTTCAAGTGTAAAAAAAAAAGAGAGAAAATGTATCCAATAAGAAAAAGGGTGTTATTTTTGCAGGAAAAAGGGGGGTCACAAGCCTCTTGAATTTTTTTTTTTTCTTTTTTTTTAAATTCCAAACACTAACGATGGGAAAAGCCTCAGTCAAAGCTGGTCGTCCTCAACGCCATGATCCTCTTCATGTTCAACTTGCTGATATTCCTGAGCAAGCCTTCGCCAAAAAAGCACCTCGTCAAAAATTCATTGATCGTAACAGCAGATCCGAAGAACCCGATCAAGTAAAAGAAAAAAACATAAACTAAGAGATTTATTTACTGACAGACAAACAACAGGAATACTTGGACTCCAAATTATCTAAAAAAATCTTAAAGATTGCTAGAGAACAACAAGAGCAAATTGATAAAGAACAAGGAGATCAAGACGAAGACGAAGAAGAGTAAGAACAAAGAAAACTATCTTTACTATATATTTACATGTTTAACGTAGTCAAGTCAAAGAAACCTTTGGTTTGGGATTTCCTGATGATGAAGAAGAGTTTGAAGATGTCGAAGAATATGCTGACTATGAGGAAATCGAAGTAGATGAGGCAGATGCTGATATATTGAGCAAGTTTTTGCCAAGTGCACCTCGAGAGAAAAAGTCATTAGCAGACATTATCATGGAAAAGATCAATGAAAAGAATGCTGCTGAGGGATTACCAGCAATCGGTAGGTGAACACAATTGAAAAAAAGGAAAGGTAAACTAATATAATTAAAGAGGAGGAAGAACAGCTGACGCCTTCGATGAATCCCAAAGTGGTTGAAGTCTATACAAAGTAAGTCTATTACAGTAACCATGGCAACAAGATCTAACATGATTTATTTAGAGTGGGTCAGTTGTTGAGTCGTTATAAATCAGGCAAACTACCTAAAGCATTCAAGATTATCCCTTCTTTGAGCAACTGGGAAGAGATCTTATACCTCACCTCACCCGAGACTTGGACACCTCATGCTACCTATGAAGCAACTCGTATGTTTGTGTCTAATCTGAAAGTGAAGCCAGTTCAACGATTCTTAAATCTCGTCCTACTTGATCGTGTGCGTGAAGACATTGCGGCCAATAAGAAGTTAAGCTACCATCTCTACTTGGCATTGAAAAAGGGTCTCTATCGTCCTGCCGCCTTCTTCAAGGGCATTCTCTTCCCTCTCTGTGAATCAGGCAACTGCACATTAAAGGAAGCCTCTATTCTTGGTAGTGTCCTCTCCAAGGTCTCCATCCCTGTTCTTCACTCCTCTGCTGCTCTTTTGCGTTTAGCCGAAATGGAATACACTGGTCCCAACTCCATCTTCATTCGTATACTGCTCGATAAGAAATATGCTTTACCTTACAAAGTGGTCGATGCCCTCGTCATGCATTTTGCTCGATTTGCTAATGATCCTCGAGACATGCCTGTGCTTTGGCATCAATCGATGTTGGTATTCGTTCAGCGTTATAAACAAGATTTGGTGGCAGAACAAAAAGATATATTATTAGAAGTCCTTCGAAAGAAACACCATCCTGGTATCTCACCTGAAATACGTCGTGAAATCGTTCATTCTGAAGCAAGAGATGATATGTTGATGGATAGAGATGAAGATATTATGATGATGGATTAAACAACCATCTTGTAAAAATAACTGTCACATAGATTATCATTATTACCCTCTCTTCCCTTTTTCTTTTTTCATAGTTCATTTAATACAAAGGATTACACATGTTTTTTATTACATATTAAATAGTAGAATGTTGTGTGTGTGTATATGTGCTTTTTTTTTATGACGGAGGAGAATGAATGGCTTGTGGAGGAGATGAAGGAATTTGTGGTGTGTGCTGTGATTGTGAAAGCTGACTGCTTGCAGCCAATCGTTTACCTTTTAACATATTTTTTAAAGCTCTCAAAGCGAATACGGTTAAGCCAATGCCAGCCCAATCTTCATCATGTAAATCTCGCAAGTCACCAACAGTCATGATGTCTTGATTTTTTAATTTCTTTGCCCATTCTTGTGCTTTATCCGCTCCTCGGTGCGATGCCAAAGCACAATCTGTGACAAAGACACTGATGTCTGTGTCATCGGAGTATTCTATAATACGGTTAAGAAATTGCATAAAAGAAACAAGGGAAACTTACCATCCAAGATATGATTCACCAACTTTTCTCGTTCTCGATCTTCTATAATAGCTTGTTGTGTTGTTGAATTGGATTGAATGGACAGATGAGCTAAACTATCAAGCTTAGTGTCTGTTTCGATTTGAGACATTCTTGATTCTTCTAATTCCTTTAATGTACGTATAGCCTCTCTATATTTGTTTTCGGCAGCACGAGCACGACTTTCGATTGAGTCGCACTTTTGTTCTATTTCTAGCACTTTATCATTAGCTTGAGTCAACTCTGCTCTAGTTCGATCCAGTTCATTTCGAATGTCGCTTTCTCTTCTCCAGACAGATCGTCTGACTTGTTCTGCCTGTTCTGACTCAGATGGTTTATCGATGTCTCTCAAGATACGATTGATCTCTTTTGTGATATGTTGCTGATATCTCTCCGGTAAGACTTGTTCTTCAATCATCTCCCGTACCACTTCCTCTGCTGTATCTGTCTCGACATTAAAATCGAATTTGACCGAGAGCTTATCCATGCCTTTGAAAACAACCTGTAGTGTCAGATGAACATTATCAGGGTCTGCTGCGAGTAAGACAACGTCAGGCTCGACGGCTAAAAAAGAATGTTCCAAGATTTCCTGTGCTGACATCCTCTGGTCTTCATTGCTCAAGCAATTTTCAATCACGCTGAGTACTTCTGGGTTTTGTACTTTGGAAAGGCAAGCAGGTTTAACTCCCTACAGAAAAGAATGAGACACAGATATATGTAATTAATATATTCACATTACAGCAGACACTTTTTTGTATATTTGAGCTGCGTTTTTGCATTCACCATAGGGATATTCACCTGTTGCCATCTCTAAAAGACACATACCAAAGGCATAAATGTCCACTTTTTCGCTATAGCCTTGTTCTTCATACATCTCAGGTGCCATAAACTCTGGTGTGCCAATGAGTGTATATTTTTTACCCAACTTCATCTCTGCTGTTCCCATGTCTCCAATCTTGACTTCTCCATGGGCTCCATTAATAAAGATGTTGTCGCACTTGATGTCTCTGTGGATGATGGGTGGATTATGTCCGTGAAGATAAGCCAATCCCTTGAGGATTTGACGAGACCAACGTTTGATGATTTTTAGATTAGGCAAAGGAACCAATTTTCGAATATATTCTCGCAGTGTACCAGACGTCATGAGTTCAGTGATAAATACAAACTCGTTATCGCCATACCAAGCGTCATGAAAGGCAATGATGTTTGGATGTCGAACTGATTTCAGAATTTGTATTTCATGCTCGAGATCTTTGTTGTTGGGGTTCGACATGGCTTGCATTGTGTTCCAAGCGACTTCATATCCTTCTTCACGGTCAATGGCCTTATAGACCACTTTGTAAGCACCTTTACCAAGCAGTGTGTTCAGACGGACATAGCGTTCGTTGGGTGATATTTCTACGACTTTTTCAGAATCACGAGAAGACGACTGGTCGATAATTTCGTTGGGTGGGTGTATGCCGTAAGGATTGTCTATTCTAAAGGAAGTGCGGGTTGGATAATCGTTTGGTATCACTTCGTTATTTTGAAGTGGTGCATAATAATTTGAATATTCTATTGGCTCGTTTGTGTTTTCTGTACTAAATTTGACATGTAGGTTGTTTGTCGTATTACTATTTTCCTGCTCTGAAGACATGGATACAAAAGAAGTAGAGAAAAAAAAGGGGAGGGCAAAAATGGATTATATATAGTGTCACTTGCTGTACTTTAATCGCAACTGCAAAGAGAGAAGAAAGAGAGAAAAAAAAAAACTGAATGTACCTCGATGCCATCATAAACTCCGCACTTGAATCATGACATAATCACTTACACTTTTTAAAGAGACCCATTGAAACATGAGATGTGTTCCTTTATAAGAAGCACAGAGACGATATAGAAACAAAGAGATAGAGAAAGAGAAAGAGATGGCTTCAGACAGTCTGCTTTGAAATATCACAGAAAAAGAGAAATCTAATGATTTTTGAGTCTCAAAAAGAATTTCAGTCTCACTCTTTTTGTCTGTGAATGTTGGGCGTGTCATATGGCTTAAAGGAATATCATGGAATACAATGACAATACAACATAATTGCATAAAGACTACGCATGGATATACCCTATTCCACAAACTATTGGTCAACTTTTATTTAACAATTGGTCAATCTCAAAGACAAAGCTTGGTCCAGCCATATTTAATTCATGAAAAAAGAACAAAGAAAATGGGTTTGATCATGCTGAGATAAATTTTTATTATTGGTAATTTCAAGCGCTTAAGCTGTTGTAATAAACCAATCTTTTCAATCTCTCGCTTCTGCCCATCTTCTTTGACTTCTTTCATTTTTGTATTCTACAGATAGACACAAGACTATATCTATGACTTTATTAATAAGCACATAAATAAAGTAATGCATGAATAGTGGTGTGATTTGGCTACATATGATCGATTATAAAAAAAATTTACTCCGGTGTGCGCGTAGTCTGTGCTGATATTTTCTTACATGTTTCCTAATCTTGCATATATTCTATAATAGGCGAGAGGCGCATTAAAGAGGCTTTGTGCTAAAAGATAGGTGCCAGATCAAATCTCATTCATGCTTCAAAGGTTACGAGAGAGAGAAGTCATTGGGCCAAACTGGTGCTACGCCGCATATGTTTGTGTTTTGTCTGGTTTTACTTTATCATTGTTTCTCTTTCTTTTTTCTCTCTGTAATGACATTACTGTATTCGATAAAGGGAAACTTATGACTAAAATCTTGTGAAACAGAAATACTGCCCTCTAAAACACTTCCTTTAGCCAAAAGAGTCTATTACAACATTTTTATTATTATAAAAAATGTGCTAAAAGGACTTTAGTTCGATAGTTTGAAATGGCTGCTCGTCTTTTTCAAGCTCAAGGTCAACTTGCCTCCGTGAAGTGACAAGTTTTATCCATGGATTAATAACATCCACCTTTGACTTCAGCTTTGCCAGTGTATTAGCATCTATTTGTTCCTCTGCTATAGCTTCAAGATCGCTTTCTTCATGATAATACGAGTTTTTAAATGCAACTTGAGCATAGCGCACCACCCGATGTTTTATTGGTTGTAACAGGCTTCCTACTTCCGTAACTGCAACTTCCATTATCAAAGCTATGTTTTCAAACATCGCAAGAACCTTTTCTATACGATGTAGCTTATCGTTCCACATTATGTAGTATGTTGCTCTTTTTGTTTTTTCCAACGGACGGAGGAAGGCTTGTATGTTAACATCATTAAAGCCAGGAATAAACACATCGTGAAAGTGATACTTTGCTTGATAATATGCATCCACTATTTCAGACCGAATGAAGTAGCCACCAGTCTTGAGCTTGCTGGTTGCATCCTCTGCCTCTTTTCTTGTATGTAACAATCTTTCAATTTGCCTGATAACTCCTTCATCGCTTCTGTCTATCTTATACCGTAGATATATCACATTCAAGTCATCCTTTTCCGCACTCCATGACCATATCACCAGGCGTAAGAAGCACAGTGCAAGCTGAAGCCCAAGCCAGTAGTAGGTATCCGTCGGTGTCATCTTTTGGACAACCAAGTACGAGCCAATATAGCCAATGACAATACCTACGGCTGAGAGAAGCCCTATAGCATAACCAATGCGCCTGGCAAGCAAACTGCCAAAGTAATAAGGCACAAACACATCCATATCTAAAGCAGCTAATGTATAGAGTGATGGGGATCCCGATAGCATGATAGCAGCTTCAAACCAGCAGACGAAGGATGCCACAAAGCTGGAGCATGTCAAGAGAAGAGGAAAGTATATGTGTGGGTCAGATGAGTTTAGGGGATCTTCAAAGTTCGAGTAGAATGTTCTGTAGTGCGGAACGTAGGGTATAAAGTTGAAACAGGATAAAAGAAAGCAAGAAACAAAAGCGCCCATCCAGATGGACCTGTTATAATCTGGCACACGTATGCATATCCTGACATTTTGTGCATTCAAACGGGTTTTTGAATGCGACGACAATTTACTTGCTACGCCGTGTATCGCTTTGTCTATCCCATATGTGTCAAGCTTTTCGACTTCGATGCCCAAATTCTTGGCAATGCGCAGAGGCAAAAAGGACTTGATTATGTGCTTTGCAAGGCCAAGCACTCCAAACATTGACATACTACATGCAGCAGGAAACAAGTACCCTCTAGTCAACGCTAATCCAGCACTTGTATCGCATATATCTGTGCCAAACAGAGCTGCCATAGCTGCCACATCTTGAATGCCAGAAGCTAAAACCGAGCCAAATGATGTAGAGTTGCTATCAACCATGTATAAAAAATGACAAAGAAGGAAGGAATAACTAAAGATGAGCCTTTTATATAGAAACGTGTTGTTGAGAATCTTAAATATGTCCTCTTTTAGTCATATGTAGTGTAACTCTACATACTATGCTGTAACGTGGTAAATGCTGAGTGCGATAGAACATGACAAATTGGAAAGTGCTAAGGTAGTCCTTTTGTATACAGTCTTTTCAGAAAGTAAAGTCGTATTTTTGCAGTTTTTATAATACAATTTATATGAAAAAGCGACAAGTTAGCGCGACATCTCTTTCTGGGAATGGTGTATTTTGCATTATAAACTTTCGAATTATGCGACATTACTTGTAGAAAAAACTGTATATTGGTCTATTTGTTTGCATTTCACCAGATGATGTAGGTTTTAGTTAAAGGCACGCGTTTGGTTACCTTTCTTCGGATTTGCAAAGCAATGTCGTAGGGTTATTTGTACTCAACTTACTCTCATCAGCAAGTTCACTACGCCACTAGATTTTAAAGAAACATCTATTTTATTTCCGCATATTTGACAACGATATAAGTTGTTTATTTTTAAGTTTTCATAGAGACTTGATATCTGCCACGTAATCTGAGCTAATGAAGTTATAAATAATTAATTACATCTCCTTATCACCCCCTCTCCAATTATGGAACGTTCCGGATCAGAACCCTTGTGTTGTCATAGGGGCTTTTAGGTAAACTCGGGGTTACACTTGTTTTACACCATTTCCAGAAAGAGATGTCGCGCTAACTTGTCGCTTTTTCATATAAATTGTATTATAAAAACTGCAAAAATACGACTTTACTTTCTGAAAAGACTGTACCACCAAATGCAAGAAGTTACTAAATGTGAAGTGGTGGTGGTGTTTAAAAAGCCGCTCTATTACACATCCCTTACTCAAAGAATAAAAAAACAAAAACAAACCCATAGTGGCACCAGACCAACCTAAGATGTTGCATGAAAATATAATTTAATAAAAATAATCCTTCTGTTGTGAAAAAGATATAAAAATTCAATCATTGCAAAGATGATATCTTATAATCAAAGCAATTTACAACTGTTTGTAATACTAAGTTACAAAAGTTACAAAGATCCTTCTCAACCTAAAAAAAGGGAATTGAAAATAAAAAATCATTGGTTGTTTGAAGTTAAATTCGTGGATTGCAAGTAACTGCTTTATAGCAAAAAGATCCAGTTTTTCGTATATAACGCCCATAGCTTCATTCTCAATCTCATGGTAAGCACTCACCTAGCCATATTCTTTAAGAATACTAGCTTCGAGGCACCATATCTTGTTATATAAGGAGAACAGCATGATATCAGTTACTCGTAATTCGCGAAATTAACTTTAAACAATCAATGATTTTTTATTTTAAGTCTCACACCTTTTAGTAAATCCTTGAATTAGCAGTGGAACGACAGTACATTCTTTTCGGGCTAACTTTGACGATTTTTATCTTCTTTTACATCTTTTATTTTAGTTCCCGCCTACAGATAGCAACAAAGTGCAGCTTTTAGAATAGGTTCTTTCCACAAGAATAGCCATGTGGTGCCATCATCTCCATAAAGTGATAATTGAATTCCAGTTAAAAAACAGCGTATGTGCTTCGTTATAAATCAATATATTCTGCTCATATTGCATGTTACACATTGACTTGTCATAGAGTAATGAGTCATTCAACAAAACAGAAGGCAGAACGGGGTGATGAACAATATTTTAAAGCGGTGGTAGCACGCATATTCAAAAACAAGGTAGCCGTTGAAGTCAATGAGATAGAAAGAACAAAGGAGGATCTCAAGTTTGAAGATATTGCTGAACTTGTGTCTGGTACCAGAGGAAAGCAAGTGTTTGTCAAGGGAGATCCTGATTTGGGCATCTGGACAGCAGGGCAAGTGCTTGGATTGATTGATGACATTCCTACTTGTCATCAACTAGTTACTCGCATGATTGATGAGGCTGAAACGATCATTAGTCAGAGACTAAGAAATATGATAGTTTAGATAAACTCCACTTTAACAATGAACCTCTTGTACTTGTATTACTTTCATGTTGCTGATGGGTTTTCAGAGCTTATGAAGTTCATATACTTTACCTTTTGGTCTTGCTGACATATCGCTTTTCTTTTTCTTTTTGGTATGTTTATAATATACACTAATATAGCCTCTGTAAGTAATAAGCATTATATCCACTTTATAAGCCATACAGCAGCAAAAATCTGTCTGGACCCCACGCTCTCCACACTTCGGATGTCGAATATTAGGCGCCATTACTATTTTTGGGGTGGCGCCTTCAAAATTGTCATACCTTTATTGTGGAAAAAAAAAAAAAAAAACACATATAGTCACCATCACTAGATCCATGAACAATCTAAAAGCCTTGGTTCTCAATGTACTTAATTAAGGTCAAGGTAGCTTCTTCTCCATCACATGTTAATGTCATGGATATTTAAATTGTTCAAGTCTTTGCTCAGCATTGATGGGGTCTTGCATAATTATTGTAGATGAATTGTGGGTTGCTTCATTGCCAAGACTCTTAATACTGTCATATATGAATGAGCAGCGGGAAAGATTGCTTCATCAAGAGGATAGTGTTGATACAGTCCGAATAAAAAAGAGAGTCTTCATACATGTGATTGGTGTACACTCTCAGTATGACTTTTGCACACTTCAGATTTAACTCTTTGCATAGTTTCGAAAATAAAAGTTACTTGCATGAACTTCCATTTCTACCGAGGAGATGTACATGGAGATGCTGTAGATGAGTATGGCAGAGGATTTGTCTTAACGGATGTAGACAATAGTAAATAGTCAAATCGAAAGTGTGCAAAAATCATACTGAGAGTGTGCGAATAATTTTTTGAAGCGAGTGTAAGTGTAACTATTTTTGTTTATATTTGTCTATTTTACGCCTCTCCATGCTCCTCTTTTCCACTTGAAAACATACGATTACTCAATTTCCGAAGTCGGGAACGCGTATTGATTAACTTGCATCAAAAAGTGCATGAATGTATATGCAAGAGAGGTATCCAATATTTATTATTACTGATTTAATTAAGATTAAGAAAATTTAGCCGGTCGAGGCTCTAATTCTATTTTTTCATACTTCTGTTCATCTCCTTCGACGTTAGAGCTAGACTGCTCGCATGAAATAAAAAGACTTATCCATGGAGTAATAGCGTCCATATCTGATTTCAGTATGCCAATCATTTTATCGCCTACTTGCTTTTCTGTCAGTGGTTTGAATTCGGTTTCTGTAAAGCAATAGGTCCGACAAGATATCTCTTTGATCGTCACATAACTGACTCTTTTAGTGTGGAGTTCGGTCAACGAACCTATGTCTCCATAGATCACAAGAATCTTTTGCGGCTTGTGCACACTGTTGTTCCATTGTATAAAGTACCTTGGTCTCCAAATGATGACAGAAGAGATAAAGCTACGCTGGATACGAAGATCATTAAAGTTATGGAAACAATGATCGTGTATAAAATACTTTGCTTGACAATATGCATCCACTATTTCAGACCGAATGAAGTAGCCACCAGTCTTGAGTTTGCTGATTGCGTGCTCTGCCTCTTTTCTTGTATGTAACAATCTTTCAATTTGCCTGATAACTCCTTCATCGCTTCTGTCTATCTTATACCGTAGATATATCACATTCAAGTCATCCTCTTCCGCACTCCATGACCATATCACCAAGCGTAAGAAGCACAGTGCAAGCTGAAGCCCAAGCCAGTAGTAGGTATCCAGCGGCGTCATCTTTTGGACAACCAAGTACGAGCCAATATAGCCAATGACAATACCTACAGCTGAAAGAAGCCCTATACCATAACCAATGCGCCTGGCAAGCAAACTGCCAAAGTAATAAGGCACAAACACATCCATATCTAAAGCAGCTAATGTATAGAGTGATGGGGATCCCGATAGCATGATAGCAGCTTCAAACCAGCAGACGAAGGATGCCACAAAGCTGGAGCATGTCAAGAGAAGAGGAAAGTATATGTGTGGGTCAGATGAGTTTAGGGGATCTTCAAAGTTCGAGTAGAATGTTCTGTAGTGCGGAACGTAGGGTATAAAGTTGAAACAGGATAAAAGAAAGCAAGAAACAAAAGCGCCCATCCAGATGGACCTGTTATAATCTGGCACACGTATGCATATCCTGACATTTTGTGCATTCAAACGGGTTTTTGAATGCGACGACAATTTACTTGCTACGCCGTGTATCGCTTTGTCTATCCCATATGTGTCAAGCTTTTCGACTTCGATGCCCAAATTCTTGGCAATGCGCAGAGGCAAAAAGGACTTGATTATGTGCTTTGCAAGGCCAAGCACTCCAAACATTGACATACTACATGCAGCAGGAAACAAGTACCCTCTAGTCAACGCCAGTCCAGCATTTGTATCGCAGATATCTGTTCCCAACACAGCTGCCACAGCCGCCACGTCTTGAATGCCGGAAGCGAAAACCGAGCCAAATGATGTAGAGTTGCTATCAGTCATGTATAAAAAAAGAGAGTGAGGGAATATAAAAGAGGGTGAGAGAAAATAAAAGAGAGATAAAGAAGAAGAGTGAAAGAGAAAGGATACAGCTATTTAAATAGCTGTTACAGAAGCGTTATGCTACGCGTACTCATGTAGTTCTCCCGAGTCATCTTTTCTTTACCAATAGTGTATGTTGTTAAGTATAGAACAACTATTGCCAATAAGCTTGCCTGTCCTACCTGTTTTGTGATATTTGAACCTTATTTTTATTTGGGGTTCCGAACCATATCTATCTACAGTGGCGGACTTTGTGCATTGAAAACAAACCTCATCAAAGACGGCCTCAGTGAATACAATTTGAAGAAGATGAGCAATAAGATCCAATCGAAATTGTGTAAAAATCAAATGGATAGCATGTGGTTACTTCAGAAATGTACGTGTTGCAATATTGACATCGTCGTCACGTTCGCTTTCATATCGAGATTTAAATAATAAGAGCCTATTAGTAAATAATACAAAATTGTATTATAGCTTGGAGATATATTATCTCGGCGATCTCTCAAATGGCCTTAATAATGGTCTTTTATGGCGTCAATCAAACAATCATAATGTCTACTAAGATCTGTGCTTTTTTGTACACCTCGTGGTTCGAATATCGGAGCACACAAACAAAAATATTTCCTTTTCCGTGTCGCCTGTCATCGTTTTGAAAAATGTAAAGACTATGCATATCCGACACGTGTAAACTATTTTCGGAAGTATTGTCAATTATTTTGCAGGTAACACGACATAGCTTATCTTTGCAATGGCAAATCAGTTCAACAGCTACACTTTAAAATGATGTAATTGACCAAACGGAAGAAAAGAGAGATTGAACTAATCGTATATATGGAAGATCGCTATTTACAGTATGCAAGGATTTTTCAACTCCCAATTTTTCCGTTTGAAAACGCTGAGCGAAAAAGCCTGGGCACGCGTAAAACGCGCTCGGTCCTTCTTCTCGTTGAAAAGAAATTTTAGTGGTTCCCTTCAAGTATGTCCTGTGACCTTTGTTACCTAATATAGTTCCGTTACTAGCTTACCATGCTTGCTATGTTCATTTGATATATTTATAACCAACCCTTCTTTGCCATTTTTTTTCTGTTAATCATGACCGCTGTGTGCTCGCCATTAAATAAGAATATTCAGTATTTTCTTCACGTATATCCCTCATTTCAATGTATCAAACTCTGCTATATCTTCTTTTTTTTTATCTGAGGTTCTCAGAATAAGCGCCCTTCTTTCTTGGCGATCAGTCCTCTACTTGAACGGCATTTTCCTTTTGTGTATTATACACTCTTATTGGCTCAATGCTTTTCCCAAAGAATCTTCATTTTCGGTTCTGAAGAAGACTTCCTTAAGTCATAACTGACCACTTTATATTAACTACATTAGTTAGTCTTGGTGTATATTGCTCTTTTCTAAGGGTTAAAGGAAAAACAGGATTAGCTTTTCTTGCATATGAAAATATAATGGACTATATACAAGTGGACGAAATAACCTTCAGATCTAGAATTTCAATAGCAATGGACAAGTAGATCAAATTTCGAGAACCCACGAGACTGAAAAACACGGAAGTCATAGGAAATGTAAAGATGGGAAAGAGGAGCGGATACTATGATCCGAGATTATGTAAAAGTAAAATGGGAGGCTTTATATTAAAGGGTTACACGAAACATTATTACCTGTGAACATCAAGAGCCGTGCTTAAACAAGTTCTAGACAATAATGACAAAGAAGATACCAATGAAAAGTAAAAGTCAAAAAGAAGTCATTATGATATCCACACACAACAGTAATTGGCTATTTGGAGGTGATTCTCTAGGCGTAGTTGGACACACGGTAAAGCATATTTGAAAAACGGGTTTTAAATGGCTGCTCATAAGCTTTATCAGAGAAAAGAGTCAAGCTGGTCAATGATAACAAAGAATTTGCTTGTGCTATTGAGCTTTGAAGAGGTCATGAGCAGACAAATGAGTGCATTGAGAATAAAGTATTTCCCGCACGGCCAGTGTCCATTGACGAAGCTGGGCTACCGTACGTATATGTCTCGAAGCATTATTTTTTTTTTTAAAAAAAAGGGGGGAGGGGGAGGATCTGTTAATATTCGAGCCCTTGGTGCTTCTGCCCACAATGTTAAATCAAATGCAAAAAGAAATCACAACTGAGTTTATTTAGGACATTTATTCGCCACTTTGTAAGAGGATCCCTGTGGCGTATCCAGCGATCCTCTTATTATGCTTTTCTTTATAAAGGAGAGTAAACTCTTTTATTGAATAGACTTTTACAAGCAAGAAAACAAACAAAAAGGCTTACAAGACACTTCTCCAAAATAAGCCAACGCTTGATAAAATGATAGTATCAGGTTTTATTATAGTTTATCTTTACAGATACATATATACTTACACATTTGCCCGATTTTCCTTTTGTACATTATTGGTATATATATTTATATAAACTCAAGTACGAAACACATGTACCAGTTTAAGTATAGCCTCACGACAGATAGGACACTCATTCTTTGTCTCTATCAGCTATACACGCATACACGCGCATATACGCATATACTCATGAGTCTCTTTTTTTTTTCTATTCATTTCTCTCTTTCTCTTTCTTTTTTTCTTACCTTTTTCGCACAATCCATACAAGAGACCATATGTCCACAATCAAGAAATACACAATTTTGTTCAGCATCCAAGCAAATACGACATAGTGTGTCATCTCTTGTGTTGTCTTGACTTTGGCTCTGCTTATGTTGCTCAATTAATCTATTTACAAGTTTGACTAGCTCAGCTTTTTCAATCACATGAGACTGTTCTACAAAGTTTGCTTTCAGGAGAGCTTTTAATGTGCGCACAGAGAGTGAAGAAGGATCCATTTTAGCTTTTACAATGTCATTAAGTGAAAGTAGATCGTTAGAAGATGGAGGAGATGCAGACTGGGATCTTTGTGTATTCATATGATGCTGTTGTTGTTGCTGTGGAGGTGGAGGTGTTTGATATCTTGGCTGTCGTGATTGTGGAGGTGCCTGATATCTTGATTGTTGTGGTTGTGGTTGTGGTTGTGGTTGTGGGGGAGTATAAAAAGGAGGTCGTCTTTGTTGTTGTTGTTGTTGTTGTTGTTGTGGTTGTTGCTGTTGCTGTTGTGGTTGCTTCGGTGAAGGCGTAAATAGATCCTGAACCATATTTGAAAATGAAAACAGAGGTGTATCATTGTTACTAGTACTACTATTACTGCTACTATTGTTGCTTCCATTATTACTTTTCTCGGTTCGGGATAGTCTATGGCGCCTGTTTCTGTAAAAGAGTTCACTCTCATCAGATATAGGTCGTGTATTAAATATGATTCGAACGAGATCATCCTTTTCGATAGCAGTTTTAGCAGGCAAATTGTAAGCTTGAATGTATTCTTTCAACTCTTTCAATGATAGCTGTAATAACTCATTTGAATTCATATTTTGCATTCTTATCAACTTGTCACAAGCATTGCAACACCTCACAGGGCTATTTTTTATATATACAATCAATACACACTTTATATTAAACAATGAAAACCCTCTCCCCCCCCCCACTTACTTGTTATAACCAAACTTCTTGAGTGAATGTCGATTACCTGAGCAATTGCTACAGACGATACCACCTTTGTTAATGATATAAGTAAGCCTTTTCTTTCTAAAAAACAAACAAACCTTACCACAGTTACGGCAAAAGTACTTTTGACGAAAGATATTAAAGACAGCTTGACATTCTATGCAATGCTTGGCCTCATTAAGTGGCTTTAGCTTGGGTATATGGAATACACCACCGGGACCTAATGTTTCTTTATTCTGTGACAATGTTGTAAAATAGAAGAAAAAGAACGAGGAAAAATGGAAAAGAATGGAAAAATGATCACACACATTGTTATATAATTTATAATCTAAAATAAAATTAAACTATCAATTACTTATTTTGGATAATGCGTACGTCACTGCAAGCGTTGTTTTTTTCCCAAAATAGTTTATGCATCTGATTAAAAAAGTCATGTAGAGTGTTGTCAGAAAGTGATGCCGTCTTTGATTAAACTTGATGTCACGCCACGTCGAGGGTGAATGCCTTGCAGTGATGGACATGTTTTCATCCATTGGTGTAAATCCTTCTGGTTTTCCAAGCTCGTCTGCACCAAATTCTACGCGTATATCACTTGTCCTCAACCTGAACACGGCCTAGCTATCAATTGTTTTACAAAACCTCAGCCTCGTGCTCAAGGTATTTGTATCAGGAAGACTTAGGATACCTGAGGCAAAATGTCCACGAATATGCTGCCTCATATATCAAAACAGCTTCTTATGTCGGAGTGAGTCTGTATAATACAGGTATAGTTCCTCTTTTCATTCTTTATACTTATCAAATGATGCACTGCTTGTGTGTCTATTGTTCAAATTGCGGTACCAGAAAACTTCAAAGGTATCTACTCTCTCATGCTCCACTTTGGAGGATGATGCCATCTACCGCTATTGACTCTAGTACTGGTTTATTTAAGGTTAACAAACGGTGCTTCATCTAGCAAAATCTGCATAGCCACCAACAGTGTCGAAGTTCTAAGCTGCTGCCGAATGATCTCTTTGAATCTTATTCTCTGGCTGCCTATGTCAAAATCAGAACGTAGTCGTTGTGCACGCTGGGTCACCTGGTGACAAACCTAGACCATCCCCAAACATTCCTTGCAACAGTTTTCCGAGGACAACAGCTATTGACTGCCTTAGTATTTAAACGATGCCTATTGATGCCCCAAACTAGACAAGCTTCATCGTCATTTCCATATAAATATGCTTTCTCTAAGTCCTTCGGCTCCCTCTAGTTTCATCCTCTCCCGAACATTGTGATGGTCGATTATCTGCTCAATATTGTATGAATTAGATCAGCTACACCATAACAAACTGGTCACAACTATGTGCCTGTATGTTCAAAAGTTTTTTCAAAGAATCCACCAGTTTCTTTAATTTTTTTTATGACTCAGTTCATTCCTTTTCTGTTACTTTTTTTAATCTTGATCCCCGAGGAGCTTTTTCTTAGTATTAATCTTCAAACGGACTAAACTGATCTGGGCAGACGTTTATTATATATTTCTGCGATTAAATGAATCATGTAGTAGAAGATTATGGCTAAACAAAGCTCATGGCAGCTTTTTTTTTGCTGTGTTGGAGCGTTTGGACTCCTGCACTCTTTTTATTTTTTTACCTTTTTGTTTCGATGAACAAGACAAGGGAATCAAAGGGATAAGGATGATTATATTTTTATGTGCCTGAAACGATCGATGATCACACACATTGATACGAGTTTCCAGAAGCCATTATGGGATTCATCTAACCACGCGATCCGATAGTGATTTTATCGAACGTAGCCCCGTAGAATGGCTTGTTTCACCGATTGATTTCGCCCAGGAATCCCAGAAGCTAAAAGATTGAAGTTTGCTGTTTAATGACTCGTTGTCGATGATGCTAATGCGGATAGTACCATCAAAGGATTGGGTTAAAATGGACTGAAAGGTTCTATGTATGGTAGCTTTTATCTTCAATTTACTGTATAACAGGGATAAAGTGCATCTTTCGAATGAGAGTTCCTACATATGATATTGGCTGCAGTTGTTTGGAAGAGATTTTGATGCAGTACGATAATCCGCATTGCTGAGAGTATAGACTGTATATTATTCAGCCATCAGATTATCGACTGTCTCGTTGCTCGCTCGATAAAGAAGATAAGCCAATTGCTAGTGAAAATGAGTTCACAGTTGATAATTGGTAGATCAAATCATATGAAGAGTAATGGATACTGTGTTGTTGTTTTGAGAAATTTCAGATGTTCCTTTCCAAGCCATAAAGATGGAAGCACCTTTTACTCAGGATCTGTCGTTCAGATAAAAGGACACGGTGCTTGGTCCGACTTCTGGGTTGACCAATGCATCCAAACGCAGATTTGAAGTGATTGATGCGTTAACGCTTTTATTCTAATCACCAGCTCCGTGCCGTCCGTATTCATTATTATTGTGGAAAACGCGTTCTCATAATTCGTGTCTTCGACAGGCAGTGAGGTGTATGTTGATCCTTCTCCATTTTTTGTTCTAAATGATCCTCTATGAGCATCCAAGGTTTTTCTTCGATCAATCGCCTCGACATAATCGGTATTTTTCTGGTATGTACGTCTAATAATATCCGTCCCGTCAAAGTTCGGTTGCAAGCATATTTCATGCTTTTGTGGATTGACTAATCTTGGTTTATAAACGTAGCCATTTCGTTTGCCAGTTCAATATAAGTGCAGCTCATGATATGCTGTCGAAAATAACGTGGTCTGGTACTGATGGCACTGTAAAGGGATATCAAGATTGTCTGGGCCGTCTTTGCCTCTTCAAATGCGCATTGTTTTGGAACTAATGTGTTTACTTTCATGTTGTCACATTTGTAAGCATGTAGATTCTTCTTGTATTGTACTCAGCGTAATAGTTGATCAATACTAAAGGATTATTGAATAGCTGATTGGTAAAAGCACCCTTTTATTTTGGTGTAGAAATAAGAATATAAATTATATAACAATGTGTGTGATCATTTTTCCATTCTTTTCCATTTTTCCTCGTTCTTTTTCTTCTATTTTACAACATTGTCACAGAATAAAGAAACATTAGGTCCCGGTGGTGTATTCCATATACCCAAGCTAAAGCCACTTAATGAGGCCAAGCATTGCATAGAATGTCAAGCTGTCTTTAATATCTTTCGTCAAAAGTACTTTTGCCGTAACTGTGGTAAGGTTTGTTTGTTTTTTAGAAAGAAAAGGCTTACTTATATCATTAACAAAGGTGGTATCGTCTGTAGCAATTGCTCAGGTAATCGACATTCACTCAAGAAGTTTGGTTATAACAAGTAAGTGGGGGGGGGGAGAGGGTTTTCATTGTTTAATATAAAGTGTGTATTGATTGTATATATAAAAAATAGCCCTGTGAGGTGTTGCAATGCTTGTGACAAGTTGATAAGAATGCAAAATATGAATTCAAATGAGTTATTACAGCTATCATTGAAAGAGTTGAAAGAATACATTCAAGCTTACAATTTGCCTGCTAAAACTGCTATCGAAAAGGATGATCTCGTTCGAATCATATTTAATACACGACCTATATCTGATGAGAGTGAACTCTTTTACAGAAACAGGCGCCATAGACTATCCCGAACCGAGAAAAGTAATAATGGAAGCAACAATAGTAGCAGTAATAGTAGTACTAGTAACAATGATACACCTCTGTTTTCATTTTCAAATATGGTTCAGGATCTATTTACGCCTTCACCGAAGCAACCACAACAGCAACAGCAACAACCACAACAACAACAACAACAACAACAACAAAGACGACCTCCTTTTTATACTCCCCCACAACCACAACCACAACCACAACCACAACAATCAAGATATCAGGCACCTCCACAATCACGACAGCCAAGATATCAAACACCTCCACCTCCACAGCAACAACAACAGCATCATATGAATACACAAAGATCCCAGTCTGCATCTCCTCCATCTTCTAACGATCTACTTTCACTTAATGACATTGTAAAAGCTAAAATGGATCCTTCTTCACTCTCTGTGCGCACATTAAAAGCTCTCCTGAAAGCAAACTTTGTAGAACAGTCTCATGTGATTGAAAAAGCTGAGCTAGTCAAACTTGTAAATAGATTAATTGAGCAACATAAGCAGAGCCAAAGTCAAGACAACACAAGAGATGACACACTATGTCGTATTTGCTTGGATGCTGAACAAAATTGTGTATTTCTTGATTGTGGACATATGGTCTCTTGTATGGATTGTGCGAAAAAGGTAAGAAAAAAAGAAAGAGAAAGAGAGAAATGAATAGAAAAAAAAAAGAGACTCATGAGTATATGCGTATATGCGCGTGTATGCGTGTATAGCTGATAGAGACAAAGAATGAGTGTCCTATCTGTCGTGAGGCTATACTTAAACTGGTACATGTGTTTCGTACTTGAGTTTATATAAATATATATACCAATAATGTACAAAAGGAAAATCGGGCAAATGTGTAAGTATATATGTATCTGTAAAGATAAACTATAATAAAACCTGATACTATCATTTTATCAAGCGTTGGCTTATTTTGGAGAAGTGTCTTGTAAGCCTTTTTGTTTGTTTTCTTGCTTGTAAAAGTCTATTCAATAAAAGAGTTTACTCTCCTTTATAAAGAAAAGCATAATAAGAGGATCGCTGGATACGCCACAGGGATCCTCTTACAAAGTGGCGAATAAATGTCCTAAATAAACTCAGTTGTGATTTCTTTTTGCATTTGATTTAACATTGTGGGCAGAAGCACCAAGGGCTCGAATATTAACAGATCCTCCCCCTCCCCCCTTTTTTTTAAAAAAAAAAATAATGCTTCGAGACATATACGTACGGTAGCCCAGCTTCGTCAATGGACACTGGCCGTGCGGGAAATACTTTATTCTCAATGCACTCATTTGTCTGCTCATGACCTCTTCAAAGCTCAATAGCACAAGCAAATTCTTTGTTATCATTGACCAGCTTGACTCTTTTCTCTGATAAAGCTTATGAGCAGCCATTTAAAACCCGTTTTTCAAATATGCTTTACAGTATGTTCAATTACTATTGTGTGTGTATGTCATAACGACTTCTTCTTGGTTTTTACTTTTCACTGATATCTTATTTTTCATCATTGTCTAGAATTTGTTTAAGCATGATTCTTGATGTTCACATAAATGCATGCAGATAATATCCTTTTGTGTACCCTTTAATATAAAGTCTCCCGTTTTACTTTCACATAGTCTCGGCTCGTATCATCCCGTTCCTCTCCTCCCATCTGTATATTTTCTATGAATTCCGTGTTTTCTAGTCTTGTAGGTTCTCGAAACTTGATCTATTTGTCCATTGCCATTAAAATTCTAGACTTTGAATTGTTGTCAAGGGTATTTCATCCACTTGTACATAGTTCAATTCATTTTCATATGCAAGAAAGGCTAATCCTGTTTTTCCTTTAACCCTTAGAAAAGAGCAATATACACCAAGACTAACTAATGTAGTTAATATACAGTGGTCAGCTATGACTTAAGGAAGTCTTCTTCAGAACCGAGAATGAAGATTCTTTGGAAAGCATTGAGCCAATAAGAGTGTATAATACACAAAAGGAAAACATCGTTCAAGTAGAGGGCTAAGCGCCAAGAAAGAAGGATGTTAGTTCTTGGAGCATCAAATAGAAAAAGAAGATATAGCAGAGTTTGATACATTGAAATGAGGGATATACGTGAAGAAAATACTGAATATTCTTACTTAGCAGCGAGCACACAGAGGACGAAAAAAGGATGAAAACGAACTGATGATAAGTGTATCAAATGAATATGACAATCAAAATAGACATATAGCAACGGGTCTAAACTAGCCGACAAAGGTCACAGGACATGTTCGAAGAGAACCACTGAAATTTCTTCTTAATAAGAGGCATTTACTTTTGTTCCAAACCCATTGTAACACGATATAATTGCATTGCTCATTGTAAAAAATACAGTTGGTTTAATGCCAGCCAGCGATGATCTTCCTTTGATCTTTGCTTTGATTTCGCCAACTACGTCATTTCAAAGATAAGCTATGCCTTAATGTCAATAAAAAACAAGATAGTACCTTCTGAAAGTAGTTTACATGTATCGGAAGTGTACTACTTGAGGCGCTCTCAAATGCATTTCTTTTCTAGATTTCATCATACCATCTGCCATATATAGTCTTTTCAGAAAGTAAAGTCGCGTTTTTGCAGTTTTCATAATATAATTTATACGAAAAAGCGACAAGTCAGTGAGACAACTATTTCTGGAATTGGTATATCTCTTCCAAAAAAGACGACCAGTCAAGTAACATGTGGCAAATGCATTAACATCCTTTATTACGAACAAGGTATATATAAAAAACTACAATTGATTACCCAAAGCTTTTGTGCTTTTATTGGTGACCGAGAATTAAATCATACAAGATTCACTATTACTTGCTGATCAGCATAAACCGTGCAAAGATGGAGAAAAACAGTAGGATAATCTGTGATACATACATGTTGAGCTTTAAAACTGACCATGCGATCCTGTCAATGTCAGGAACGGACGCAAAATTGCACAGATCGATGCAGACAAATGTTTTTGGTTGATAACGCCATAAAAGACCCTTATTAAAAATATATAATCAAGGTCAATGATATTCAAACTGTAATAAATATTATATGCTACTTACTGATGGTTTTAAAAGAAAAATGAACGCGTGATAGTGATGTCAGCATTATATATCTTGGATTTCTGAAGCAATCACATACTACCTAATTGAATTCCATTAGGCATAACTTGAACATTACTGTTCACTTATTTCCTAGATGCCATTTTTGAAAAAACAAACTTTAATTCAATCCACATAACGGGGTTAAGCAGATGAATTTTTTAGATTTTATGGAAGAATGTATTTAGTTTATTTAAACTAATAATATCAACCAAATCAAATAAAGGAATTATGTGTAACTTGGTTGGTGGAAACAAAGGTTACGCCAATCAATTATTTTTTCATGCTCAGCAATGACGAAAAGGCTTAAATCCGAGTGATTATTATTGTTGGTTTAGGTCAAGGTGAGAAATAGGGGGAGACGTGTGACAAAATCATCATCCTTCTGCTGTTCATTTGAATATAAATATAAAAAGCAGTAGCTTTGTCTTTTCCTTTCTTTACGTCTCTTCTCTTATCTCTCTCTCACGCGCCTTTCCCTCATTTTTTCTCTCATTTTTGTATGGCTGATAGCAATTATACATCATTTGGCTCGGTTTTTGCTTCTGGTATTCAAGATGTAGCAGCTGTCGCAGGCGTGTTTGGAACAGATATCTGCGATACAAATGCTGGACTGGCGTTGACTATGGGGTATTTGTTTCCGGCTGCATGTGGCATGTCAATGTTTGGAGCACTTGGGCTTGCAAAGTATATTCTAAAGTCGTCTCTTCCTCCAAATATTGCCAAAAATTTGGGCATTGAAATCATAAAATTTGACAAGTACAGGATAGACAAAGTGATACACGACATAATAAATGAATTGCCGCCAAATAAAAAAGATCGCTTGCATGAACAAAACGTCAGGATACGTATACGTGTGCCAAGCTATGGTAGATCCACCTGGATAGGCGCTTTTGCTTCATGCTTTCTTTTATCTTGCTTCAACTTTATACCATACGTGCCTCACTATAGAACTTTATTACTATACCCTGAAGATCCCTCTGATTCATCTGACCCATATATATATTACCCCCTTCTCTTGACATTCTCTAGCTTTGTGGCAACCTTCGTCTGCTGGTTTGACGCTGCGATCATGCTATCAGGATCCCCTTTACTTTATACCATTAAACGCTCTGATATGAAACTATTCGAGCCTTACCACTTTGGAAGTCTGTTTGCCCGACGCATTGGTTATGTTATAGGCCTTCTTGCAGCTATAGGCATTGTCATTGGCTATATTGGCTCGTACTTGGTTGTCCAAAAGATGACACCGACGGATACCTACTACTGGCTAGGGCTTGAGTTTATAATGTGCTTCTTACGTTTGGCGATATGGTCATGGAATACAGAAAAAGATGAGTTGAATGTGGTAAATCTACGGTATAAGATAGACAGAAGTGATGAAGGAGTGATCAGGCAAATAAGAGATTTACCGTTGTCAGCAAGTGAACAAACAGATGTAATCAGTAAGCTTAAGACTGGCGGTTACTTTATCCAATCTGAAATAGCGGATGTCTACTATCAAGCAAGGTGTTATATACATGACTTTTGCTTCCGTAACTTTAATGATCTTCGTATCTACCGTGGCTTCACCTCCTATGACATCGTTTCGAAGCCAAGGTACTATATACTATGGAACAACAGTGTGCTCAATCCACAAAAGATTCTTGTGGTTCATGATCTCATAGGTTCGTTGACCGAACTCCAAACTAGAAGAGTCAGTTATGTGAAAATTCCATCGATATCTTGTTGGACTTATTACTTTACAGAAAGCGAATTCGAACCATTGACAGAAGAACAAGTAGGTGCTGCAATGCTCGATAAACTGAAATCAGAAATGGACGCTATTGCTCCATGGATAAGTTTTGTTACTTCACGCAAGCAGTTTGACCCTGAGCTCGAAGAAGATGAACAGATGTACAAAGATATAGAATTGAAGCCTCAGCAGGCTTGACCTTCTTACTCTTAATTAAGTAATAGTAACTAATAAATATTGACCATCTCTTTTACATGTACATTCATGTAATTTTTGATACAATGTTAATCACTTACGTCTGATCGACGGTTTATGTTCAGTCAAGCGACATCGACATTAAATAATGGACGCCAAGTAGCAATACAAGAAAGCTTCATGTGATGCAGCCAATTCTCCGAAATTTAGATTGGTTCTCTGTACAACTTCTCTCTTGTTCCAAGATTCTAAACATCCAATGTGAAGATTCACCAATCATAGCACTCTTTGGAAATTGAATACTACAAATAATGATGTACTATTTTTGATAATGACTCATGCAGTAGAAAGAGATTACACTTATAAGGCTTCTTCTCCTATTCCAGGCATTACAGTTATTGTTGACATATATATTGCAATACATAGATATACAAATATATAGACTATAAGCTCAGGTTGATTGTCCTTACATCACTTGCCTCTATAAAAAGAAAAATGAAGGCTTTTGTTCCCTTCACCTAACAAACTACATCACAGCCATCCTCTTGACGAAGCAAACTTGTCAAATAACCATTCATGTATGACAGTATCATGAATATTAGCGATGGAGTAATTTATAATTTATCTACAAAAGTTATCCAAGGCCTCCATCAATACTGAGCAAAGCTTTAACAATTTAAACATCTATGGCATAAACAACATGCAATGCAGCTTTGAGTGTGCCTTGGCCTTAATTAAGTACATCGAGAGCCAAGGATTTAAGATTACTTATAGACGTAATGATGGTAGCTATGTGTATTGTCTGCTTATCACAGTAAAAGCATGAATTGAAAGATGTACACTTGTGTGACAGCTTTGGGGACGCCACCGCCAAAAGTAGTAATCAGTGCCTAATATTTGATATCCCGAAGAGTGGAGAGTGTGGCGCTCCCCTAGGGATTTTTTGCGGGGCTCCTCAAGAAAGTCGCTTTTATTTGCGATATACTTGGTCCAAGCTGCTGTATGGCTTATAAAGTGGATATAATGCTTATTACTTACAGAGGCTATATTAGTGTATATTATAAACATACCAAAAAGAAAAAGAAAAGCGATATGTCAGCAAGACCAAAAGGTAAAGTATATGAACTTCATAAGCTCTGAAAACCCATCAGCAACATGAAAGTAATACAAGTACAAGAGGTTCATTGTTAAAGTGGAGTTTATCTAAACTATCATATTTCTTAGTCTCTGACTAATGATCGTTTCAGCCTCATCAATCATGCGAGTAACTAGTTGATGACAAGTAGGAATGTCATCAATCAATCCAAGCACTTGCCCTGCTATCCAGATGCCCAAATCAGGATCTCCCTTGACAAACACTTGCTTTCCTCTGGTACCAGACACAAGTTCAGCAATATCTTCAAACTTGAGATCCTCCTTTGTTCTTTCTATCTCATTGACTTCAACGGCTACCTTATTTTTGAATATGCGTGCTGTATTTCTAAAGGGTCTATAAACAAGTGCAGTCGATCGTTCATCTGCCTCTACCATCTTTTGCTTGATCGCTTCATGAATAGGTGCCTCCTTTGTACACAAGAAGCGTGTACCCATGTTAACACCTTCTGCTCCCAATGCTAAAGCAGCAGCAAGACCGCGACCATCACCAATACCTCCAGAGGCAATAAAAGGGATATTGAGCTTTCGTGCTGATTTGGCCAACAGGATGAGCCCTGTGATATCATCTTCTCCTGGATGACCAGCACACTCAAATCCATCCATAGACACAGCATCCACACCCAATCTCTGAGCCGTCAAGGCATGTCGTACAGCAACACATTTATGGATCGTCTTGATATCTGCATCTTTGAACATCTTGATAAACTCTCCAGCTATCATCCATATATAAAGTAAAGAGGGAGAATACATTAGATATCGTTGACCATATATCAATTATATTTCATTTACGATTGTTGCCCGCTGTCTCTACAATCTTTACCCCTTCTTCTATAATGACTTGAGCATAGTCCTTATAAGGAGGTAACCTGAGAGCAGGCAAAAAGGTCATATTGACACCAAATGGTTTATCTGTCATCTCACGACACCTACGAATCTCCTTTCGTAGGTCTTCGGGTGTTGGTTGAGTTAAGGCAGTGAGAATACCAAGTGCCCCTGAATTAGAAACCGCAGAAGCAAGTTCAGCTTTTCCAACATGCTGCATTCCTCCTTGAATAATGGGATGCTTAATACCGAGTAACTGAGTAATACGAGTAACAAGCACCATTTCAGTAAAAAAAAAGGGGGGGAACAAATAAAGATAGAGGAAGGGGAGAGGAGCAAAAAAGTATTTCCGTGTGCGTGTGTGTACATAAATCCCACTTTGTTACACGCTTGTTGTTTCCCTTTTTTTTTCTCACAAGAAATGTCTTTCCACCAAGATGATGAATCAAACAGTGCAGCAGGATTAGATGTGTTTGGAAAGAAACATAAGGGGCTTATTTCTAGGATGAAACGTTCCTTATCTGTGAACAATGGTAAAGAACCTCTAAGGTATTATTAATAAACAAGTTTATTTTATTGCTGTTGCTCAAACATTTATTGATCATAGCACTATCAGCAGTGGTAGCAGCAATAGCAGTGGCAGTAATAAACCAATGCAACGCAGTTTCAATTCCAATATTCACTTTAGTTCAAACTATGAGAATACAGCCTCTACTGTCTCTGTTCGATCCTTTTCTTCTGTGACAAGTAACAAAGTATGTCTCGAATTAATTTAATGATGGCTTTTTATTAAATGTATTTTTCATAGAAAAGAACGCATCAACGTCTTCATTTTCAGCAAATGAGGCTAAATTGATGTTCAAGACAGCCAAGGAAGAAGACAACAAAAAGACCTTGGATTTGGCGCCGACACCAGCCATGTATTGGTCTATAGCTGAGCTACTAGGTTTAGAACCGCCCAAATTACGAGCTCATGCTAGTGCTGTCTATGATGGGAAGATGTATGTCTATGGCGGTACGACCAGGACCACATGCTCCGATACGCTCTATATTCTTGATTTGGATACCTTTCACTGGTCTGAGCCCAAAGTATACGGCACGCCACCACCGCCCTGTCGAGCTCATTGCTTTGTGGTAGATGACAATGGAGACATTTATTTGGTAGGGGGAGGAGATGGACAGACTTATTATAATCATGTTTATAAGTTTAGTACACACACAATGATATGGACATGTCTAGAAACAACTCACAGACCATCCGAAAGAAGAGCACACGCAGCCGTCATCTGGAATGATGGACTCTATATCTTTGGAGGAGGAGATGGGAAGAAGGCACTAAATGATGTTCATATCCTCAACCTGAAAACGCTCGTGTGGAGCGAACTACGAACGACGGGGGATAGACCAAGTAGTCGTGGATATCATTCGGGTACACTTGTGGGAGATAAAGTAGTCATATTTGGAGGAAGCGATGGTAAAGAATGTTTTGGTGATGTGCATGTATTAGACCTTGTTCATCAGAAATGGCATAAGATACCCATGGAGAAGAGTATACCCAGGTTATCCCATTCAGCTACCTCTGTTGGATCCTACCTGTTTATCATTGGAGGACATGATGGCAAACAGTATTGTAGTGAATTGATCTTACTCAACTTGGTCAGTCTAAAGTGGGAAACCAAGCGAGTCTATGGACAAGCACCTTCACCCAGAGGATACCATTCAACTGTGCTCTATGATAGTCGACTTTTTCTATTTGGTGGTTATAATGGATCGAGGTTCTCTAATCAAGTTTATATCCTTGAATTAAGTTCTTATGCTTATTTACCCCAATTTGTTAACTTTACGATTGAAACTCCCTAAAGTCAGATTAGGAAGACAAAGAGAATTTATTAAAATATATACTTTTTTTTTCTTTATTCATTTGTGCGTGCATAAAGAATGTTTCGCTTTGATTCCTTCAAAAAGTCAAATGAACAAGACAGTAGCTTTAGTTTCTTACAACGAATAACTTCAAATAATAATAATAACAGTACTATTACTAGCAGCACGAGTAGTAGTACTACTACTAGCAATAGTAACAATTCAGATAAACAAAAAAACAATACAAGTATACCAATACCAGTCAACTCTTGGGGAATGTTGGTCTTATCTCAACTACAGAACCAACAAGAAGACTTTATAGATATCATAAACATTTTGACAAAAAACAGCAAAGTAAAAAAAGAAGACATGTTTTATTTTTTAATATGCTTATATATATATTTATGATAGGCCATCGTACTCTTGCCTGTTTCAATACCCTCTCATCCATCAGCTATAGTTGATCATGAATTTATTATGGATCATATCTTGATTCCAATGAAAGAAGAAGAAGAAGAAAGTGATCAAATGATCTCACCTAGTGGTATTCACAGTGTGATTGAAGGGTATGTATAAATATAGATATATATAAAGAGACTTACATGTGTTTAGAGACCAACTCATCATTGCTAATCTCATTGAATCATTTGATATCCATCAACTATCCAAAAAGTAAGTATTTATATGCTATGTAATCATTTATGCACAAGACTTATTATTGTTGTAGATCATTATTTAGTCTAGACACTTCACACATGAAAAATCATCCAAGATATACGATCCTAGCAAGCCATATACAACTATCACTTCAAGATCAACAGATAAATGTGATTCTTATACAAAAACCCATATCAAGAAAAGAAATCATAGATTGGACAAGACAAGATGCACTAAAGGGCTTATCAACAAGCGATAAAGTAGAAAAGTAATAAAAAAAAAAGTATTAACAAAACTGTTATTGATAATCTGTATAGATTTATCAAGCAATTCAAAAAGAATCCGCCTCGAACAACAGAAGGAGCGAACAAGACATTTCTAGATTTTATGCAAGAATTACATCAAGATGCTAACGATGATGATGATGACGCTAGTTTGGATAAAATAGAATCCTTTTTATGCGAGCAACTGTATGACTACTTTTTCACTGATCCACACGGAGACGAAGCGATGCAAGGAGAAGCATTAGAGTCACGTATTGCAGCATTCAACTTGTTAGATCTCGATTTATCCCATTTGGGTGTATCACTTTCTCAAGAAGAGATGAATACTATTGTCAAATTGGCCGGTGCACGATTACAAGAGTTGAATACGATCAAAGGTCCAAAAGAAAAATTGGATGCAATCATCAAGACACATCAGATCATTACAGAAACAGTTCAGCAGGATGCAGAAAAGAAAGAGTTGTTGAATACGGATATACTATTACCTTTACTTATATATACCATTGTGAAAACAAATCCAAAGAATCTCTTGGCCAATCTCAAGTTTATCCAACAATTTCGAAGGTCTGATCAGTTAAGAGGTCAATCAGGTTACTGCTTGACCAATATGGTAAGGACTAAAAAGGAGAGAAAGGGAGGATGTGTAAGATAATAAGGACTCATTGAGAGAGAGATGATTTAGATGGCTGCTGTATCGTTTCTTGAAACTGCAAATTTAGTAGGTCTAGGCCTGTCTGCCGATAAGGTCATAAGGTAAATATATATATTATAAATATATTTTGAACACACACACACGGAATGGAAACATCACTCATTTCCTTTTTCTGGAATAAAGCCATGTTGCAGATTTACAAAACTCAAAGACTGTTACTCCTGCTTCTTCTGCTGCTAAACAATCTAGCGGTCTAAAGTTAATGAATGATGTAGTCGATAGTTCATATAAAGCCGTATTTGAAGGCATTGGTAAACTATGGCAGCGTAATAACAGCAGTAACAATATAAGATATCAAGATGGCCCTATTACCAAATTCTTGGAAATGAAGTCTGTGGATGAACTCAAAATAGGTGAAGTAACCGAACTGTTGGCAGATTATAAAAGACTGGCGGCAATTATAAAGCAAGCAGGACTTGCATGACAGAATTAAAAAAAAAAAATCACTTTTAATTTTTTTCGTTTTTTTATTTCATACAAATATAATAAATGGATCTTGATGCAAATTTGACAGTTGTTACGCCCATCTTGAAGAGAATCTTGGAAGAAGTGGTTAATGACACAATAGATCATTCATGTGCTAATGTAGACGATGACACACCCTTTGAACGTTCGCTATGTGCTGCTTGGGATATCTGTACTGTACCAGAATATGCAATGACCTTGAAAGAGAATCAATTTCACAGAGTTCTACTTAAAGTAATAATGATAATGATAATAATATATAAGAAAGAAAACTAAGGAGTATTAGATTATAACAGCAACACAGAGAAATCGAACAAGAGAATTAGCACTGGGTACGCTTGCTAATATGGCATGCCATTGGGATTGTGGTATTGGACCCTACTTATTAAATGATATGGATATATTAAAGTTATGTAGATCTATACTTTGGACAGAAAATGATGCAAGAGTCCTATTAGAAACTACTAGGTATGGTTTTATAAACCATCTATTAAACACACCTTAACACCCTCTTTAGACTCTTGAACACCTTTCTCGTTTGCTCTATTGATGCAAGTCATCAAACAGTAATAGAACATGACCATCTAACCCAATTCTTGACTCCGGAAGCAATGGCGCCTTCCATATTTCATCAATACACACTCATCATCTGCAATACATTATATTCTGAACTACTATTAAAGAGTCTAGAACTAATGACACGGATCGTGGTCTATACAAATGCTATCACACATAGTCTAAGCAAGAGGAAACAACGATTGACAGAGATGGATGAAGAAATATTTAAATTTATGGACAAAGCAGATACACTCGCGCTACTTCATTGGGGCGCTGAGCGCTTAGAAGAAGAGGGCAGAGGTGTTGGCATCGGCATGGGCTTTCATAGAGGCATAGCAAAAAATGTGATGCATCTGCTTTGGGCTTTGATGGCGTATGGGTTAATAGGCATAAATGATTGTGGTAAATATATATTATTATAAGGTATAATTGATCTTAACCTTATTAAATAGGGTCAGAAATGATACAAAGCTTGGGCCAATCTATGTCAAGAATAGTGTCTTATATACAAGAAGAAGAAATACAAGAGGACGATGATATTCAAAGCTTAGCACAGGCATTGAATACAAAACTGTCTATAGCAAGTTAGTTTATCCTGTATATCAATCGTATTTATTTTTTTTTATTTGATAAAAACAACCTATTCCTCACTTTTCTTTTAAAAAAGACCCCACTTTGATTTAATCGTTAAAGAAAAACTCTTATAAAAGAGATATTGTTTTTAAACTATGCTGGAGTTGATGATACCAGTTCAGGTTGAATGGAATTCAAATGATATGATGATATATCGAGCGCTTATACCAGTACTGTGTCAAATATAAAACTTCGAATCAAAGTATATGTTCCTTTTACTTTTTTACTGAATGAACAATTTAAAAGGTTTCTTTACAATGCAGTTGCTTTTTACTTTCATGAGTCATATAAATTTAAGTAAAATTTAGGAATATGACAATGTTCTCTGCTATTGACGATATACACGAAGAACATTACAGAGATTAATTTGCACATTAACTCATAGTGGTAGACATAAAAAGAATAATACAAACATATGTACATTACGAAAACGAGAAGAACGAGTAGGGTACATGTTTAGATCTTTGCTTGGTATTACTGACCCTATTTATCTTTTAAAGTAAATGTGAAAAGCATTTTAAATAAGATTACCTGACTAGATTGAAAGGCGTTTTATTATTAATTTCTGGTAGGAAATGAGCACTTCAACTATTTATATTATATATAATATATAATAAAATAGATCTTTATGTATTAAAACAGTAGAAACAAGATACTAATACTTATGCAAAGAAGCGAAAAAAAAATGTTGATCTCATATACCTTCAGTTTATTTCAAATGCCATTTCTGTAATTTTTCGAGAACAAATTCTACTCTCTCTTCATCTTCAACAGCCTCTACGCCTGAACTCTCATACTTTAAATAAATGTCTATTTCTTCTTGTATAATGAGAAGGTACATATAAAGGAGTGTTTGTAATTACCATTGAAAGAGTAAGAAGCTCAAATACGCCCATTCAATCGTACCTTTCACGGTACTTTTGCTGTCATTTGCTCTTCATAGAAGCTTTCCTTTCCCCCCCCCCTTTTTTTCTGTCAGTCTCAACGTCACAAGGGTGTTGATTTTTTGATACCCAGGATTCCAAAAGCATGAGCTCTCAGCAAAGTGGATAATCTGGCATTTGTGTGCCTGTTTAACTTCAGGCTTAGTATTGTCTACATGGCTTCAAGCACTTTCAGGCTGTTGCCAGCAGCATAGGCTTTGTCATCTTCTGCGCCGCCCAAAGCTTCCTCGATCACAACGTGCTCTTCGTCCATATATCCAGCAACGGCTGAATAGCCAGAGCTGCTATGTAATGCTTTAAATGACACAAAATAAAGACAAAAAAGTACTTTCTGAGATCAATCTTTATTCTGATATAAAGACAGAAGGAGCATACAAATAAATTAATAATCCACTACTTATAGTTTCTATCAAACGGCTGGTAAGCCACTTTTCTAATCGTGGGTTATAATTACTGAGGATATGATTGATTAATTGTTTTTAACTCGCCCCTGACACTGATCTCACTGTTTATTTCATAGTTTGGGTTATGATGCTGCTTTTACCGTGAGAAGAATTATATGTTAAAGAAGTTTATTCTTTTAAGTAAAGAAGTGATATATATGCTTACGTTTTTGAGCTACTAACATCTTCTCTTGATACATTTCCTCTGGCTATTTTGTTTTCTTCCTCCGGTAAAATGAGCTGTGATAAGGTATATACAATAAATGCCTAACGGATACTGTATAGTTATCCACGACAATGTGTACACAATACATATACAATCCATTCTTATTATGTCCATCAGGCACATATTCATGATATCTAGTATCACAAGATTCCGTTATAGGATACATGACCACCAATATAATAGTAAATATGTAACAACATTATTTTTAAAAATAAGGTTTATAATTAAAAAGTATATTGTATAAAAATTGATTCACTTTTAAATTCTGAAAATTATTTGCGAGTGGGTGGAGCATCAAGCTTTGGGCTATCGTCTGAAGCAGGTGTGTAACCAACCGCGTGGCCAGGTACGTAATTAGGCGGGTAGACAGCTGGGTAACCATCATGCGGAGGCGTCCCTAAAAGTAGGTCAAGAGCATTACCAACAATACCACGTTTGGCGTAAATTGGAGATGTCAAGGAAGATCCAAGTAAGCAAGCAGCTGCAAAAGTAAGAATGATAAAAGAGGATCGCATTCTTGAAGAAATATGTTATGAACAGTTAATTTGAAGGAAAACAACAAAAATATATGTCTTTTTATATGTATTCCAAGCGCTCACTTTTTCCTATAATGTAAACAAGAAAAGATTTTCAGTATGCAAATGTTGCATTAGCAAAATCTTAAAGGGAAAAGGAGGAGTGAAGAGAATGATTACTAATAGACGAGATGGCACATGTAGTTTTTGCATATCTCACATGGTGCAGAGCATAGGTTATGTTGATTTTAGTAGCTGTAAGTTATGACTTTATCCGATGTTTGCTGTTTACCAAATATTATGCTTATGATCTACTTTGGGTTATATCATTGTGCCCGCTTTCAGAGTTTTTCCTTCTTCTTTTTTTTTTAGCTTAGTTTGCTTAAACGATTTTCTTAAGGAGGTACTGCATAATACCCTTATGCGACACTGAAATATGTGACAACTTGGATGTATTTTGATTTAAAATAACAGCAGCTTGATGTTGTATATTGTCAAAGTTCGCATGCGCAAAGCTAGAGAAAAAACCAATAATAAGACCCAAAGCAAAGACAAAAAAGAAGTCCTCATTACTAGTCTTTATTCTGAGATAAAGACAAAAGGAGCATACAAACGACTAGTAATCCATTATCCTAAGCATGGATTATAATTACTGAAGTTTTGATTTTAGCTCGTTCTTGACACTGATCTTTTTGTTTATTTCATGATTTAGGTTATGACATTGCTTTTGCTGTGAAAAGGATTATCTTTTAAAGAAGTGTGTCCTTTTAAATAAAGAAACGATAATTTATATTCAAAGGAGAGATTCTATTTAATTTGAGTTATCACTGAAAGTGTGTACACATAATCTTAAAATGCATGAATTCACTCTATCCATACTGATTACAGTCGTTTATCTCAATGTCAGTCATAAGCAGACATTGCTCTACGACAAGTTTACGTAGAGGCTTGAGCGTAAATTGTGTTATATAAGGATTTTTGTCGCGTTACCACCAGACCTTAATAGATCAAAAGTAATAACTTGCGCTATATAAGAGTAAAAGTAAAAATAAAAGTGGATCTTATTGATACAAGGCTTCAAAGTAAGCGTATTGGTAGGTAGGAGTAATAAAAGAAAAATAAAAGTATAAAAGAGTAATAGAAAATATTTTAGAATACAAAATGTATTAGAAAGTAAGAGATTTTAAATAAGAAAGTATAGGACGAGTGAGTTGTACTGAAACTGTACTGAAGATTGAACTGACAACTGACTGATTTGATTTATTTAAAAAATATGATTACATTTATACTAAAATATTGTAATTAAATGTAGGCTTTGGGTTTGAGTGCGTTGTAAAAGGTAATAAAATAGAAGCTTGTGTGTTCGTAGTCTTTGTAAGACTTGAGATTCGTAGCAAAAGTGTTTAAAAGGTAAAGTTATAATAAAGATTCGATGTGTGACCACCAGATCGTGTAAAGTTGATCAGACTGAGTTGTACAAAGTAAAAAGAATAATAAAAATAATAAAAAGGTTCCTGAATCCACTTGATTGGATTATTCAGAAGCTAATAAAAGATAAAAATAAAAAGGAAAAGGTTGTGATTCAAATCGTAGGTGATTTATTGAATGAATTGAGCTTTTAGCAAAAGCATTGCTCTTTTTATATTGTTGTTACTGGGTGTTAGTAAGGGAAAAAAAAGTGTTAGTAGTAAGGTTAAAAATAAGTTTTATATGTAGAATTTGGTATTGTAGTGACCACCAGATCTTATTATAAGATCAATGTAAAGCAATATAATGCTAAGTCTTGTGAGATAAAGTAAAAGGTAAAAATAAAAAGGTTATTAAGCAATTGTTGCTTAAGATATAAGATAAAATAGAAGTTATTGTGATCTGAAGAT